AACAATTCCCGTTATTTTCTGAACACACCTCGTATATGTATATATAGGATGTTTCATTAAAAAATAGAACGATTTTTATCTTTTAAAATTGCTATTTTCCACGGATTGTAGAAAGCACCTTGTATAATATTTTGCAATTATCACCAAATCGTAGCTAAGTTTATAATGAAAAAAATGATAACTTCCAATATAAAAAATAATAATTTTTACTTGGTTATTTTTTAACTGACTACATCTGAAAAAAATTTGTTTAATTTTCTGATAAAAGTATTTACAAAGTACATTTTAAAAAGTGTGAAGAATTTAAAAATGCAAAAAATACAGGGTCTTTTATTAATAAAAATATAATATAAAATTAAAAAATTAATTGATTACTGCTAAAAAGTTGCTTTTATCTTTTTATAATGTCAACTGTTGACATTTAATTTTATTGCATACTTTTTTAATCTCATATTTGATGAAACCTTGATGAATAGCAAAATTAAATAAAAGACAAAAAAATTTCAAAATAAAAATATCCGTTATATTATTGTAAATACAAAAAATACAACACTGGTTTACCTATTAAAAAGTTATTATTTTAATTTTAAAAAATAAATATATGGGTGAATATATTGAGATGTCCCCCAAGTGAAAATGATTATTTTTTATTTTTGGTTGTTTCACTGTTAGTCTAGAATGGGGTTTTTGGGAAGCCACCAGGTCTAGTAATAACATAACATAAGTGGTCCTGCACTAATACAAGAATTTTAAGAAATCATACATTTTTAATATTAGAGCTTCACGGAGGTTAGGATTTCGTATGTTTTATAAAACATTTCTTTGTATATTTGAAATAAGTTATTTATCTTTTGACACCTTAATATTTAAAAAAATACAATTGTACACATAAAATATTTATAAAAACTAGAGATATTACACTTCACGGTGGATAGGTTTTTAAATAGCAAATTAATGAACTTAAACTTTTGAATTATAGAACAGCAACACTCTCATCTGCATATAAATTCTAACTGACCTTCAGGAATCACATGCATCTATAATGTCGTAAACAGAGGTATTTGCTTATTTAAAATGATTAAAGCGCCATCCGTTGCATAAAATTTAAAGCAAAAACAGATTCACGGAGGATAGAATCAATTTTTGTAACACCTACATAAATGGTTATAAAAATTATTTCTTATAATTTTCAATAATATTTTATATTTGATTTGATTGCGACATTTCGTGAGATTCACCTAACAAAAAAAAATATATAAAAAAATAATTTAAGAGCTTATTTTTAAGGCTAATCACCTCAGAAACAAAAAAATCAATCTATTAATATCGTAGCGTATACGCTATAGCGTATAGCTATAGGTATATTTATTTTAAAATCTATTTTTCCTCTAAAATTACTTTGTGTGGAATACGTTTAGTCAACTAATGCCAATAAGTTGTGTGATACCTCACAATTTGGCATTAACTACAAACTTTATAATTTTGACCACTAATTAGCTACATTTGTGGTTAATAATATCTCTTTACTATATTTCAGAGTCATTATTTTGTTGTGATGAAAGCAATGTGAATGAGCGTGATAATAAGATTTATGATCGTGTTTATCTAAAATTATTGTGATGAAAGATATGGACTTGTATTTTGAGTAATGTCAAATAGAAATTTTTGATATATTTTTTAGGTTCAAACCAATTAATGACTTAACACAACGAAAATTAATTTAATGTATATACATATATATGTACCTAAATTGAAACTTTAATTTTCCGACATCTTTTTAAATTACGCCCTTAAACGAATATCCACCCCAAAAGGGAATCTCCAAAATACACGCAAGGTCGAGCGCTAATGTTTTTCCAAGTCCCCCCCTCCCACTCTCCCCTCCCCCAAAACTTGGATTGCTGGCGCTGCTGATCCGCTCCCCCAATACCCGAAATTCGTGGATGATGCCAGTGGCGTAGACACGAAAAAAAATGTTTTCTAAATGTAAGAATACCCCTGATAGCACACTTTATTCTAAGAATGTTTTTTAAACCTTCCAGTGAGAATAATCTTAGGATTATGCTATATTTCTTCTAAAGAACATGCTTAAAAGACATATGGCATGATCCTAAGAATATTCTTACTGGCCTATAGGCAGGTTCTTAGAAGGTGCAAAGTTTTAGTGGTAAAAATTAGTCTACTCTAAACATATGCTTAGAATGTTAAGAAAGTAATTGCTATAGAAAGTTCATTTAGGAATATTCTTGTTCAGTTACCTATATAATAGTAAAATATACCATAAACTACGTATACAGGTATATATACCTATACTTAAGTACCCAATTAGTAATTAGTATTAAATACTAAGTAAAAACACAATCCAAAATATTTTTTATAGTTATTTGTCAAATTAAAACAATATTCGATAACAAAAATACTTTTACTATAGGTATTTTATTTTATGTTAAAAATAAATATTTATTAATTTGTATACCGATTTTTTATTTCTGAATTAACATTTTTATGTATAATAATCCTAACTATCTTCAACTTCAATCTAATCTGACTTATCCCACAAAATTTTCCAATTTTACTTTTTATATAATAATGTCATACAACTTATGGTTTAGAGGTCAAATTGTTTATTTAATATTTTTAAATAAATATATATTAATATGTCGCACATTTTTTTAAGGGGACGACAAATACATTTCACTGTCATATTATGACAGTGAGGCGTATTTGTCGTCTCCTGAAAAATTTTACGAATGTAGAATACAACATATTAGAACGTGGGTATCTGACATATTTGGGAATATTCTCAAAAGCTTCCTAGAAGCTCCATAAGAAACCTTCTAAGAACATTCCAAAAACGTATTCTTAAAATGTTCTTAGGATGCTTTTTAGGAAGGTTTTAAGAAGCTTTTAGGAATCTAAGGGAATGTTTTAAAAATCCCTAAGAACATTTTTAGCGATAAGGGAAGGTTCTAAGAATATTCCATTATTCCGGGTCATATCTTCTTAGAAGATTCTAAGTATTAATTTAAATTAAAACCCTGACGGGCCGCCACTGGTTGTTGCCAACGTTTGGGGTCGAAGCCCCCCAAAACATCGACGATGACGTCACATTTTTGGCTCGATACGGCATAGAAAGCCGGTGCTTGTTTGTTTTGAAATTCTTTTCTTACAGATTAATATTAAAAATTTCAAAACATAATGTAATATTATGCAATATTTTCAATGGGTGGAAAAATTAGGACGGAATTTTCCAAAAACTAAATATTATTGTAAAAATTTTATTTTTTATGCCAAAAAAGAAAATTTAACTTAGACTTAATAACAATGTCAAAAGTCAATTGTATGGTATTTGTTTTAAATTAAGTAAAAATAGACCTTCAATCCTTCCTTAACTATTAATTAAATTCCTACAAAACAGTTTCAATTTGTTGCGCAACTTTTAAAAAAAATATATTTTACAAAATCGTATATTGAGTTATTATTAAACTGAACTTTGTTTTATGGAGCAAAAACGTTTAAAGCGTTTTAAAATATTTCAGAAAATAAATCTTTATGATGCAATAAAAAATCCACATTACGTTATAAATTAAGTTCATTTTTTTTGTCTGGAATGCGGCAACGTTGCAAATTTAGGGGGTTGGTAAAAACGAAACCAAAATTACATTCACACTATTTATTATTAAAATAAATCAAAAGGGTAGAAAAACTTAATGCGAGTGTTTATTACCCCTTAATGTGTTAAATAGTGACAAAATGTACACTACAGTGCATGCCAATTTCTTTGTATGTTTTGATGTTACTAAGAGCTCTTTTTTCTTTACACTACTAGTGCACATTGTATCACAATTAAAGTTAAATTACACCAATAGTGGCAAAATAGACTGAAAAAACTGGTAATAACCGAAATGCGTTTTAAAATGTTTGGTTGGTACCTATCTACCTACGCAGTGCATATCCGAAGATACCGCGTTGTGGAAGTGTGGCATTTTTGTTCAGTTAGATTTTAATTACGGTGAATCCATAAGAGGACATTCTTATATTTTGGTAAGTATTATACTTCCATTTTCTTTAAGCCTTAATACTCAATAAATACCAATATGTTAAAAGGATGTCCATACCCGACCTTTTTTATATATTAATAATTTACGGCAGTAGGTCGGGTACTTGTAAAATTAATAATATTAATACATACACACTTGATTTACTTTTTATTTTCAAGCGAAATGGTTGTTATATTAACCTATACCTACATTTTTATTAATATTATGGAAAATTTGTACACGTGTGCTAAATCCCCGACATACAGCCGCCTGACGCCTCTCTACCAATGGGATCACCCATTTTTTATAACAGAAAAATGGATTACTGATGAATTCTCAAGATAATTCATTGCTTACAAGTTGACAGCCAGTAAAACATTGCATTGATCTAAAGCTTTTACTTTTTAAGGAACCATTTTGCTTAAGCCAGCCATACCACTCAAATATAAAATTATATTTTAAAAGGCACCGATTTTGATAATTGTCATAGATTTTTGTTCCGAATAAATGTTTCTCTTTAATTACCTTTTCGTTTTATTCACTACCACCAATAGGTTTTACTCAAATAATAGTGTTAATTTACTTATTGTGTGATTTGATTTGTGATTGCATGTTCTATATATTTTATAATTGAATTAGTTTTTTTGTTGTAAAAAATATCAACAAATAGATTTTATGAAATTTTTTATATAGGTATGTATTTTTAGTTTTGAAGTTATAAGATAATTTAAATGAAACTGTTATCAGTTATTTACTCTTGTTTTGAGTAATAAATTATGCTCTTTAAGATAACATTCTGAAAAATGTTGGTAGTTTACTAAGAAATAAAATACTATAAGGAAATTAGGTAATAATAAGATAAAACAAATGCTTGCGATATGGGACCTTCGAACTGTATTATTGCCTAAAGGTCCTTTGAAAGACATCAATTTTTTTGAAAAATATGTTTGAAAAAATTACCTGCTATTGGGAGAGTACGCCACCTCGTTTTCCTTGTTCTCTTCCCCATTTTCTCCAGCACTCCCTCCTAAATAAATCTCCCCAAGTCCTCTAACACATATCAACAATTAACACCCTGTGCAAAAAAATCGTAACAGCGCGACTTTCGAAATACCGTACCCGGTATCGCACCGATTTGAGTCCGGTTGATTTTTTCGAAAATACCACGACCCGCGTGTTATACTTAAAATATTTGTTTATAAATCACAACCAATCACGACTTTCATTCAGTTTTTCGACGGTTTCGGCCAATGAGAGTATTTCTTGTCGGTGGAGAGTTTTTCTGCGATGTTGCGTAATATGTTGGATGGTATCGACTGAAATTCTGACTTTCCGATACCGCGTTCAGTTGGCTGCTCGGGTGCCGGTGGAAATCGTTCGGGTAACATCGGGTGTTACGTGCGTTTAGGTCCGCTCTTGCCATGGACCGAGCTTTGAACGATATAGGAATGCGGTGTTGTCGGGTTGTGGTGTTTTGCTCACAATGCCACCACTCGTAACAAAAGTACAACTTTTAATAATCAGCTGTCAAACGCTTATGTTACAAACGAGTGGTTTTGAGAATAAAGCCGGAAAATGTTAAAAAATATAAAATAAAAATAAATTATACACTCACGTGCAAAATAATCGATCCACACAAATTTTCAGGTTTAAACAAAAATATGTTTTTTACCATAAGTTTAAGACACTCTGTAGAGTGGCAAAACCGTTATTGTTCTAAATTAAGTTTTATTTATCAAGTCACATCTATTCTTAACAGTTTTGTTTTTGGTTCACCTCGATATATTTATTTTTGTGGAAAATATGGATTTTTTTAAAAAACATTGCAATTTCCAATATTTTCCCTGTATGAAGAACTAAGGTTGCTATGGTCCATCGATAGGCTATGGAGAATGACAGTGACAGTTTTGTTGAATCATCCCATACTTGGACATGTCATACATGGCTTTCAAAAGCTATCATATTGTTTTTTGCAAATTAATGTTTAAATTTTGAGGTTTCTTCTTACTTTATAAAATGGATATGTCTCCGACTGATGTTGCCAGAGCCATTAATTTAATCCAGGATGGACGGTCACAGTATTACGTGGCAAGTGTTTTAAACGTCATAAGAAGTAAAGTACAAAGGGCAACATCAGTCGGAGACATTTTTAAAAGTAAGAAGACACCTCAAAATTAACACATTAATTTACAAAAAACAATTTGATAGCTTTTGAAAGCTGTATATGACATTTACAAGTATGGGATGATTCAACAAAACTGTAACTGTCATTCTCCATAGGCCATGGATGGACCATAGCAACCTTAGTTCTTTATACAGGAAAAATATTGGAAATTGTTTTTTTTAAAAATCCATATTTTCCACAAAAACAAATATATCGAGGTGAACCAAAAACAAAACTGTTAAGAATTGATGTGACTTGATAAATAAAACTTAATTTAGAACAATATACGGTTTTGCCACTCTACAGAGTGTCTTAAACTTATGGTAAAAAACATCTTCTTGTTTAAACCTGTATATTATAAACGTACGTCTATTTTTAAGTATTTTTTTAAAATGTGAGCGATTGTACATTAATTTATCTACAATATTCTTTAATATTCGTTTAAATCTGACATGAAATAAAAAAGTTATTTGCGATTGAAATTCATCGAAAATTTGTGTGGAACGATTATTTTGCACGTGAGTGTATGAGGTAAAGTTATCATTAGTTAATTCTACTCTCTTAATGTACTTACCGAATTGGATCCTTTGGCAAAACATCATAAGCAGCATTTTTGGTCCCAAAAACCATTACCAAAGTGGTGATAACATTAAATTAGTTAAGTATACTAAACAGCTACTTTAATTTTTACTTAAAAGTAAATCCAACTTTTAAATAGCAATATTTTGTAACAGAAACTTAATTATTTCCTTAAATGGTTACCATAAAGTAATAAACATTTAAATAAAACTTGGTTGCCCCCAAGAAGACTTTCCACCTTTAAAAAGGTGTTATAAGTAAAAAAAACTTTCAAGTAAATTTAATTTGTAGCAGTTACTTTCGGTTGCTACCTAAAGATTACATTATAATTATTTTTACTTTGTAGTCCCTTTGCAAGTTAAAATCTCGAAACTGGAACATGAGTTAAAAACTACAAAGTTAATAACTTAAAAGTTATTATTTTAGATTTTGGAACGTTTATGGTACTAACCAAAACTACCGTAAAGTAAATTAAGGTGGAAAAAAACTTTAAAGTAGCGAAAACTACTTGAAAGGAAAATGCTTCTTATCGGCCATTTTTTACTGTACAGTACCACGTGGTAATGTAAATAATAAATTATTTTAATTGTTTGTAAATGGTTGTTTACTTTTTAATAAATAGTAATTTTGTTGGTAATATACGGTATTAATAATTAAATAAAAAATTAATAATAAATATTAAGATTTTTTTATTTATAAACATTATTAAATAAATAATTTGTTTATACTTAAATTTTGATGAAGCGCATTTATTTTACAAAAACTAAATTCATGAGTTCAACAGTAAAATTTAAAGGGTTTATAAATTTACCTGCCTAATTAAACATTATAAGTTATAAACTACCAGTACATATTTAATAAACGACGACATTGAAAAGCCAAGTCCGTAGTGGTTCCATTAAAAAAAGGAGGGATAGTATAATCTAATATAAGTTTGACAAAGACAGTTAATATAGAAGTAAAAACAAATAAATAAAAGTAATTATAACGCTCTAGCAACGATATTGGAACGTTCTAGTAACGTAGCAGCTACGTTCCAAATAGTAGCAGGGTTTATAGCTAGTGACATATTTGTTACCTTTTTGGAACTCAATAATTGTTTCCCACTTTAGTCGTAACTTAGTAATAAAAGAGCAAAACACTTTCTTTAGCGTATTGAATGGCAAGGTAAAGCTGTGTTATCAACACGACGTGGCAACACTGTGAAGACTTTAATTTTCATCGTGTTCTACTTTATTTTACTTCTCCAAGCAGTGAGATGTTTCTAGAGCTTTAGTTGCATGAAAAATTACTGTTTTCTTCGTCATTGATAATTTAAAGTATTATTGGAATTATTTTACCAATTGATTTAAACCATTATTAATTATTAATTAATCCTATAAACGCCGCATTTTTTTGTCATAAATTTAGAAAAATAAAACAATTAAAATATAATAATATAATATAATATAATAATATAATATTCGTTTAAAATAAAATTAAAATAATTGACATGTCTATAGCAACCGTAACTAGATAAATGTTTTATTAAAAATGGCGAATGCGCCAGGTTTATAAAACCGGCAACCCCCAACACACGCGCGTAATCTCGGTTGCCATTAGCTGATTGTCAAAACTAAATGTCAATAAGTCAAAAAATAACAACACGGTCATTTCACCCTCTAAAACGAAAAAATATCGAATAATTTAAGGGTTTCGTAGTTTTTTATTAGTTTTAGGTGGTATATTTTCGCTAATATTCAATCTCTATAGTTTACTTTTGCTTTTTAGCTTTTAGATAGTGATACAATGAATTTACCGGACTCTGACAGTGAAGACGAACTGCCCCCAGGCTGGGAGGAAAGGGTCACCGTGGACGGTAGTGTTTTTTACGCGAATCACTTATCGAAAGGTACCCAGTGGACTCATCCGAGGACAGGGAAGAAAAAAAGGGTTTCCGGGGAACTGCCTTACGGTTGGGAGAGGTGCATTGATAAGAACACTGGAAAAGTTATCTATGTAGATCATGATAATCGTAGAACCACTTATACTGATCCTAGATTGGCCTTTGCGATTGAGGAGAAGGAGCATGTTAATGATTATCGGCAAAGATTTGATGCTTCTAGTACTGCTTTACAGGTAAATTATTTCCATCCTAATTTTTGTATTCAGACTTTGTTTTTAGTTACAAACAACTTTTTCCTATAAATATTTTCGAAAAAATTAAAAATAAAGGTACTTCTCTCTTGAATCGATTTCATGTTTTCCTAATTTTTGAACGCCCTGTACATAAAATCACAATTTTTTTATGTCAATGTTATTTTTTTGACAATCTTAACATTTCATCAAGAATGACTTTTCTTTGAAAAATCAAAAATAACAATATATGAATAGGTGGAAAAACAAAGAAAAATCAACTTAATAATTTCCGTCTTAATTTTTGTATTTATACTTCGTTTTTAGTTACAAACACGGTCTTATATACAGGTCTTGCAACTTTAAGCTTCCTTAACGTGCCAAGCCGCTAGGTGGCGCTAAGATCGAAGGGGTAAAGTCAATTAAACTACTACTTAGTTAAATGTGGAACTACTGCATAACCATAACCTAACTTTTTAAATTCTTTTTCTTTGTTTTGTTTACATTTTCAAAAATTTAATATTTGTGAGTTTGTTTCGGATAATTTACGTTAACAAAATAGGACAACAAAGTCTATACTCTATGCACAAAGTCCTCGGCCGTCACATGCCCAGACCAAACATGTTAATGTATAAAATACATACGTATATCATATATATGTTACGGCTAATGTGTAAACATGGATAGTTTATTAAGTAGCTGGGTAGTTTATAAACTAGCCAAACTGTCAGCTATTTTAATTGAAAACGCATTTTTAACTAAATTAGCGGCTAGTTTGTAAACCAACCAAGGGTCTTGGCTAATTTACTTGAAATTATTTAGGAATTTGTAAACTATCCAATTCAATTTGGCTAATATGAAAACCAAAATTTCTAGTAACACAACAAACTAACCAACCAATATTCTGGCTAATTTATTAATAACCGATTTTTTTATTGTCTTGGCGGGGATGGGTTGATTGTTTATTTAAAATAATATATGTATATTTCACCAACACGATGTGCTTAATTATGAGTCAAACCACGTCAAGTGGGACCAGAAAATTTCACGAAATCACCGATTTTGAAAATAACCACATTATTGAGTAGTAGGCATGACTCATATGTCACAGTAAAAAAATTGTTTTAAAATTCGTTTTTTTGGTAATGTTAAGGTTGACAATTTTGTCAAACTTTAGAGCACGGTAAAATTGAAAAAATAGAATCTCTGGGACCACTCTGTATAATTGAATTAAATTTTACACACTATTGTAGAAATGTTTAGAGTATATAATGATCATTTAATTAAGGTTAATTTGTTTAAATAAAAGAATTTTGCATACATTTATTATAAACAATTGAAATTTTGTATGTGTTCTTCACGCTGAAAAAAAATTAATCTTGTGTCATAATATGCGGCAAACGTTTCCGTTTAATAAGATGTACTCAAAAATTTGCCTTTCATATGTCATTCGGGAGATATTAATTTTTTTGTCCCGCTGTGCGCTTGATCAGTACGCGGCGCGCTTCGCTGCTAGCTCGTCAGCACACGGTGTGCCTGAACGAAGTTTAAGTCACATAAAAATTCCGCAGTTTCTTGTTCGGGACCCTTTGGTGACTTAAAAATGATATATACCAAAATCCTAGCTGCTCCTCTTTTCGAAATTTTTTGAAAAATCTTTTTTATGCATTATGCTTTTTACTATATAAAAAAGTGATTTTTGTCTAACCCTGTATAAATCTAAGCATATATATAAAAACAGTTTCTCTCGTTTAGAATATCGGTGTACAAATGTGTACTCTGGCAAAGGTAGACTTTGCTATAAACAAAAAATTTAAAAAAAATTGAATTTTTTACAAATAAAAAAAAACAGTTAGGATTTTGGTAAATATATTTTTTAACAATTTTTCGTTCAAAATTGAAAACTACTAAAAAGCCTAAATTAAACAACATTTTAAATACTCTCTAAGCGTTATTTTATTAAATGTTATTACAAATCTATTTTTCTTGTAAAAGGTTAATAATAATGCCATTTTGTAACCTGATAGACCTAGAAATATCTATAAAAAAATTGGGAATAAATATTTTTCGCGTGTTATGCTAAAATCATGAATTTACGCTTTTGCATTATTAAAAATAAGTGATTTTTGGCTAACCCTGTATATATCAAATGATGTGAACAGTATTAAAAAATATTCTCTAAGTCTACTAAATAATATACTCCAATTTTATAAAAATCCGTGTGCAAATGTGTACTCTGTCAAAGAGATAAACAAAAATTTGAAAAAAAATCATGAATTTTCGAACAATTTCGAAAAGAGGAGCAGCTAGAACTTTGGTAAATATCATTTTTAAGTCACCAAAGGGTCCCGAACAAGAAACTACAATCAGTTTTTGGCGGCATTTTTATGTGACTTAAACTTCGTTCAGGCACACCGTTAAACCGTTCGAACGGACGAGCTAGCAGCGAAGCGCGCCGCGTACTGATCAAGCGCACAGCCGGACAAAAAAATTAATATCTCCGGAATGACATATGAAAGGCAAATTTTTGAGTACATCTTATTAAACGGAAACGTTTGCCGCATATTATGACACAAGATTAATTTTTTTTCAGCGTGAAGAACACATACAAAATTTCAATTGTTTATAATAAATGTATGCAAAATTGTTTTATTTAAACAAATTAACCTTAATTAAATCATCATTATATACTCTAAACATTTCTACAATAGTGTGTAAAATTTAATTCAATTATACAGAGTGGTCCCAGAGATTCTATTTTTTCAATTTTACCGTGCTCTAAAGTTTGACAAAATTGTCAACCTTAATAACATTACCAAAAAAACGAATTTTAAAACAATTTTTTTACTGTGACATATGAGTCATGCCTACTACACAATAATGTGATTATTTTCAAAATCGGTGATTTCGTGAAATTTTCTGGTCCCACTTGACGTGGTTTGACTCTATATAATAATCATACAAAATGTGAAGGTGTCAATAATATGCTTTTTATTGCACATTGCCATGTTTTTAACCGCTCCTTATTTGTTGGCACTTTAAACATGGACCGCTTAATTTTAATGCCGGAACGATAGCTTTGCTGGTTACATTTTGGCACAACACAGGACTTCATGTCTATTAAAAAGCACAAATACAAATGTATAACAAGAACAAATATAACAAGAAAAAATAGAACAATATAATATAACAATAACGAATATCACAATAACAATAAGTAAAAACTCCCTGTAACAAAATACACAAGCTTGTTTATAAAAATGTAGGTTATGTTTCTTCACAGAACATAAGTAGGTAGTTCATTTGACCTATATCCCATAGACTTTAAGGACTTAGAGCCGATTTTACAATCGTTAGATTAAGTTAGCTTATTTGGCGGATAACTTTCATAGAAACCTTCTATCTAAGAAAATTATCCACCAGAGAGCTTATCTAACGATTGTAAAACCCAAAGATAAAGAAGGTAAAAACGACCTTTAAACATCTATGGTTCACCCTCAACTCGATGCGCCATCTGGTGGGTGTCTCATTAGAGAGGTCACTTTTCCTATTGAAATTGGGCGAAGTTGCAAGACCTGTATATAAGACCGTGGTTACAAACAACTTTGTCTTGTAAAAATATTCGAAAAAATTAAAAATAAAGCTACTTCTCTCTGAAATCGATTTCCTGTTTTCCTAATTTTTGAACGCCCTGTAGATAAAATCCCAATTTTTTTATGTCAATGTTATTTTTTCGACAATCTTAACATTTTATCAAGAATGACTTTTCTTTGAAAAATCAAAAATAACAATATATAAATAGGTGGAAAAACAAAGAAAAATCAACGCCCTGTAGATAAAATCACGAATTTTTTTCTGCCAATGTTATTTTTTTGACAATCTTAATGTTTTATCAAGAATGACTTTTCTTTGAAAAATCAAAAATAACGGTACAAATTAATTTTGGCCACATTGGCCATAATGGAATCTCGTCGTCCGCGTCTATTATATTTTATTTCAGGTGCTTCACGGGCGAGATTTAAACGGCAAACTGGCTATAATAACGGGCGCAAACGCGGGCATAGGCTTCGAAACTGCGCGCTCTCTAGCAAAACACGGCTGCACCGTCATATTCGCTTGTCGAAATCTAGCGGCAGCCGAAGACGCCATCGCGCAGATACGCGAGGACAAGGCGGCCGCGGCGGACACATGCATAGCAATCTACATCGATCTAACCTCACTTTCGTCCGTCGTCCAGTTCGCCAACACCGTCAAAAGCAAGTACGACCGCTTGGACATGTTGATACTCAACGCTGGCGTGTTCGGACTGCCTTACAGCAAAACGCCCGACGGTTTCGAGACCACCTTTCAAGTCAACCACCTGTCGCATTTTTATCTGGTTGTGCTGCTGCGCCCTCTATTGGTCACCGGGTCGAGGGTCGTGGTGGTTTCCTCGGAATCTCACAGGTAAGTTTTTGATATTTTTTGGGCCCATAACCTAAAATTTTAAAGTAATGCACTAGATTCTGGCAACTTTTTGACACAATCTGGTTGTTACCAACCGTAACATAGTAAATTAAATTAGGCAACCAGATAAGCCTAAAGTTCCTACTCGATCAGTGGCGTAGTTTTTGGTAGGATAAAAGTTATTATAAATCATTTTTAGTCTTAAGAATTTTGAAGAAAAAAGTTTCAGGTGCTTCTTTATGGACCCTAAGGAACTACAAAATTATTATTTTTTAGATATGCAAATTTGACTCTGGATTCGCTCTCCCCCCTAACTTTATCACCAGACACCTTAAATAGGTATTGGGACATGATGGCCTACAACAATTCGAAACTCTGCAACGTGCTTTTCGCTAGATATCTGGCTAAAAAACTGCAAACTGAGGGAATTTCCGTATTTAGTCTACATCCAGGTAATATTTTTAACACTACACATTTTAGACATTGTTAAATCATTTACTAAAAAAATATTATTCGTGTTTACCTATGGTTAATTTGCAGTTTTGATTTTTCTGAACATTTGGGACTGAATTTTTTTTGTTAAAAATCGTTTTTAGTCAGTTTTCGTTCATTTATCATTTCTTAAAAGTAATCTTTTCTTATACTAAAAATCACGAGGTTAGGCAACCCACTGCACAAACTCTAATGACGTTAACAATTCTTGTGCTTTGGGTTTGTGCTGTTTACACATGTTAAAAATCGTTTTAAACGTTGTGTTTCTTACAGAAGCACTTTTAAGCCTCAAATTCCGTCGTAATTTTTGTATTTATACTTAGTTTTTTAGTTACAAACAACTTTTTCTTGTAAAAATGTTCGAAAAAATAAAGGTGCTTCTCTCTTGAATCGATTTCATGTTTTCCTAATTTTTGAACGCCCTGTAGATAAAATCCCAATTTTTTTCTGTCAATGTTATTTTTTTGACAATCTTAACATTTTATCAATAATGACTTTTCTTTGAAAAATCAAAAATAACAATATATGAATAGGTGGAAAAACAAATAAAAATCAACTTAATAATCGTAATTATTGTATTTATACTTGGTTTTCAGTTACAAACAACTTTGTCTTGGAAAAATTTTCGAAAAAATGAATCGATTTCATGTTTTCCTAATTTTTGAACGCCCTGTAGATAAAATCCCAATTTTTTTATGTCAATGTTATTTTTTTGACAATCTTAACATTTTATCAAGAATGACTTTTCTTTAAAAAATCAAATATAACAAAATATAAATAGGTGGAAAAACAAAGAAAAATCAACTTAATAATTTCCGTCGTAATTTTTGTATTTATACTTGGTTTTCAGTTACAAACAACTTTGTCTTGTAAAAATTTTCGAAAAAATTAAAAATAAAGGTACTTCTCTCTTGAATCGATTTCATGTTTTCCTAATTTTTGAACGCCCTGTTGATAAAATCTCAATTTTTTTATGTCAATGTTATTATTTTTGAAAAATCAAAAATAAAAGTAAAAATTAATTTTGGCCACTTATATTGGAATCTGGCCCAGGGTTACCAGATTCTGCCAAAAAAAATCGGGACAATTTGTATGAATTTATCTTAATTGCAAAATTGACATAATTATTATTGACGTAATTATTGTTGATTGTGTAATTTTTGTTATTAAGGTTAATTTACACAAAATGTCCCGATTTTTTTTGACAGAATCTGGTAACCCTGATCTGGCCGCACCGTGGGCCGTCATCAAACTGTCAAATGTCAATTTTAAGGTTAATTTACCATAATCTACAATTTGGTGACAGCCCTTATAGAATAAGGTTTATTTGTTACAAACGAGGAGTAAAATCCTTGACTTTGGCACAACGTTTAAAACGATTTTTGTTATTATAATGCTCCTTATTTTTCTGATGGTCTGGTCAGTTTCCGTACGCTTTAAAAATAGCATCCGTTTGTTTTGAAAAAGATAAGCAATAATCACGAAACTTTTTCTTCTTTTAATTTGCAAGTTACTGATCATTCAGAGTCCTGGACAATATATACATTATGATTATTATGAAGCCACACATTCACGTGTGTTTACATAAAATTTTAATTTCTTTTATATAAATTCTTTTCAAAGCGCACTAGGAATGCTTTGTCTCTCCTGGCCGTAGTCACCTATATTTAACTACTTTTTTATATGATTTTACTCCGCGTTTTCGGGTTCTTTTGGCAGCTGCTGAACGGTTCTTCTTGCAGGCAACATGGTGTCGTCAAAGTTGGCGCGCAACTGGTGGTTGTACCGCCTTCTGTTCGCCATAGTGCGCCCTTTTACTAAATCGCTTCAGCAGGCGGCTAGTACGACTGTCTACTGCGCAACAGGTGTCGAATTGACCGGAGTCACAGGCGTCTATTTCAACAACTGCTGTCAGTGTCAAGAGAGCGCCGCTGCCTGCGATGATCAATTCGCCAAGGCACTCTGGGACACTAGCGTCGACATGATTAGAAACGTGCTTGGCCCGAACGCGCCCGGTCTAGAGAAAGATCGGATTTAAATAATACGATAGATAGATAGACCTTTGTTCGGCCCATGTCCAATCGGGCGAAATCTTCGAAAAAAAAATCCTAGCTCAGATTTTCTCTTTGATTCACCCAAGAAACAAATTTGCCAGTTGTAAAAAATTGTTACTAAGCATTTTTATCTCCACGCGGTCTATAATTTAAACTTTATTGTTGTCAACATTCAATAAAGAAATACCTTGTTATGGCCTAGGCCATTAAATATGAATAATAAAACAAAAAGTGAGGTTAGACAACCAGGAAAACGCACGATTCTTTTTCTACGATTTAAATTATTAATTAAGTTTTAATTTGCTTTAGGTTTTCAGTGAAAATAAATGTTAAACACAGCTTAAACATTCCAAACTACCTATTTTTTAAATAAAAATCCAAACAAATTGAAATTAGATACCTACCTATTTATTAAACAATTAATTGAATTCAATGTAATAGCAAAAATCCATTTCTACTTAAATCATGTTGCTAGGTATTGTCAAACTATTACTGCTTCTAAAAGCAATAATAATTATTGCACATTTAATGTAATCTTTAGCTAATAAATAAATGAGATTCTAAAAAAGTGAGGTTAGGCCGCTTTGATGTTGAATTAAATTGACCCATATAAAGTGCTTTGAAGATAAAATGTTGTATGCCATTCGGCCAAGAAGTGCCTTTTTGAGCTTAACACAAAAAGCCTTACTTCTTAACCTAATGACATAAATAACTATTCTTGCAAAAAATAAATAAAAACTCAAAACATTAATTCATTAAAATGAATAAACTAAATAATAATTATAGACAGTGTCAGCAAGTTAGAAATTATAACCAACTACTAATTTTATTTTTTGCTCCACAACCAAGCTTCAATTTATTTTTTACTCGATAGCAAGCTTCAGTTTTAATTCCAAACTGAGGAAAGTAATATTTACCCAAATTTTTTTTTTTTTATTATGTTTTCTGACAAAAGGTTGGAATTTTTGGAAAATTAAAACATTGTTTAAATAATTTAATTTTTTAAAGGTTTTTCAACAAATCGCTTGAGAAAAACCACTTGAAATTAGGCAAACTTCAAACAATAATAACGTTTTTATTATAAATGTAAAATCCTGTATGTTTTAACATAATCAAATAGAAAATTAAAGAATCTTTCGATTGGTATTATAATAACTGTTTCCTAAAGTTAAAACTTCAGAGACATTTAACAATTTCTAATATTTTCAATACTATTTTGTATCAACAAACCTGTGAAATTCTACTTTTGGGTTAATATGGCAGTATCCATGGTTACCACTTAATCTTTCATTGTTTAAAATTAATTAAAATATTTGATTGAAAAATAAATAACTCGAAAAATATTGATTTTAGGTATAGAATATATATAGCCATTTTACTCAGAATTTTATTAGAATTTAAAAATGTAAAAATATATAAGGTGTCCTGTTTAAAATAACAAAGTTAAAGACATTTCCGGTAAAACAGGAAGTATTATTTTGTTCAAAATAATTTAGGAAAAAAGTCTAAATCGAATAATTTACGCTATTAAAATTTTAAATCGATGTCTTTCGCGATTCCCTAGAAACTTCTAACGGACTACGTACGTGAAACACCCTGTATATCAAACTTCATTTATACGTTATGCTATACTTAATTATTAATAAGGTACAACAATATTTGTATAAAAATTACAAAATGTACTAAACTAAACATTTATGAATACTGCTACTGCTAATTCAAAACTGATCCTGGCCACAGAAACATCATTTATATAAAAAAGTTAATAAATCAAATAATAGTCAAATATCATATGTAAATGAAATTTCTTCATTTTTAACACAGTGAAGAAAAAAATATAAATAAAAACAAAGTTGTCAATGGACGAGATTTTTTTTGAAAAAAGTAGTGCATTTAGATGTAGAAATAAGGTATTTGCCCCTATGATTCCAAAGAAAATCTTGGCTAGGATTTTTTTCGAAAAGTAAAACCAATTTGACAGGGCTTTATCTGTTTTAAAAGATTTTTTACCATACCTCAGTCTATTTTGTTAATTTTTTTTAAGAAAGGTATGATGAAAAAACTTACAAGAGATATAACTAAATATTTTGTGGACTAATAATATTTCAAACAACTCTGCCAAACATTAAACGTACTGTTGTGTATAGAGTAACACCAATTTATATTAAATAATAAAACATCGTTTTTATTTTTAGTCGATATCAAATTTTATATAATATATTTATGAGAAATCACAACTGAAAACATATCTTAAAAGTTCTAGCAGGAATTATTGTTTAAATAAATCCTGCTTTGTAGTCGATGTATAATTAATTTGGCATCGAAAAAATTCCCCCCCTTAAAAAAAAGTTTTAAGACAAAAATGGCCTATAAATAAATATTATATTTTTTGTTTTATCACTTTTTTTGTGGGGGAAACACAGACATTTGACATTGACTGTTCTAATTTAATAATATTCATTAAAAAATACAACTAATAGAGTTACTTTTGTGCCACAATACTGAATACTCCTAGTATTAACTTAAGATAAAATTTACTACTAACTAGTCCAATTTTAAGTAAATGTATTAATGTTAGTAGAATAGAGTGAATATACAACTTTGGAACCAAAAAAATTATATGGGTAAAAACACCAATTTTACTATACAGGGCGTGCGAAATTTACCTTTTTTATCAACATAGGTACTAAAAATCAAAATAGTTAAATCAATTTTACAAAATTTTATCAAATTAGCAATAAAAATTAAGTAAATTTTTAACACCCTGTATAAACACATGCAATATAGTAAAAATTATTATAACCAATGTGCAATCTTATTTTTTATGCATGTAATTAACAATAATTAATACTATATTCCATGTGAAGTTATAATATTAATTAGAGACTTTATTGTATTTATTTATTAAAATTATTTGAATCCCAAAATATTATTTTGAGATTCAAATTATTTTAACTTTGTCCCCATTTTAGATTTTTATATTTTTTTGATACGTTTTATTTTTAATTTTGTATAAAATATATTTGTACTTAGTTAATTAGATATAATAAAACGTGTACCTGTAATGATGATGGAAAAATAAATTATTCTGCGAATTGTGTGGTAGAGGTGGGTTGCTATCGCGTAAGCTGCTATTTTTTAACAGTTATTTTGCTGAAGCAGCTATCACTGTTACCCGGTTTTAAAAAAAGCTGCTACCAACAACATAACCTAACTCCGCCGTTTGTGATCGCATTTAACGTATTGTTTCGAATTCCGCTATATCAAAAAGCTGCTACTCGGCCTTGGACAGCGCCACTGCTGTTTGATGTCGGGATTTTAGTAAAATCATTTTACTAACGGAGGTAAAGTTACAGACTAATATGTTATACACTTTAAATAAAAATGAGTTTTAATTTGCAGCCGAGTAAAAAAAATTTTAATTTTTAAACTCGGATTTTTAATACTAAAATTTATTCATATCTAAGCTATTTTTAATTTTTTAAACCTAATCCTAGCATAGAAAATCATTATTAACAACATTATAATTTCCAATCATTGCAAAAGATCGCGATTATTTGCTAGTAAAGATCTCTGTGAACTCTCCCTAGACGTTTGTAAGCCAAGCAGAAGCGATTCGCTACTATAGCGCTATAGCAAACCCAAATAGCCGTTTTAAAATGAAACATGCGCAAGAAACACGCGTGCCGCTGTCAGCGGCTGTGGTCTATTCCCACGAGCACCGTTTCGGATAAACTGCTTCTTTTAAGCAGCTATTTGATAGCTGCTACTTAAAAAAAGCGGTAACTGTTTTAACTGCTACTTAAAAATAGCGGTTTAGCCCACCACTATTGTGTGGTTTTAATTTAATATATTATTTAATTCGGTGGTAAAAAAATAATATTTTTGTAATAATTTTACCGAGTTTTATTTATCCTGCAGGTGGCGTTGAAAACATGGTTCATTCGAACTACTCTGAATACATTTACACTAAGCGACATAAAATTGTAATCATGTCAAACTAAATAACGCTTTTTCTATAAAAATAAATTACGTTTGTACCTTGTAACCAATTAAACCAACATTATAAATTAATATATGCCATTTTATCGATCATTTTGTATTATATAGCCGCCAAAATAGTGGATTTAAAGTTGATGCCATTTTTATGCCTCGCAGTGTTCATGTTTGATGTCGGATAATGAAAGTGACAGCTACGATTTCATTTTCGACGTATTATTCAAAATATCATGTCAGATTTAGTGGCCAAATGTGTATTGAGAGTGGAAGTGGACGATAAAAAGAAGGAAACAGGTAAATTTGTTTATTTAATGAATACAGTCCTCTATTTGTTGTATCTGCGATTTTGAGGGTTATGTTGTTATACTGTCATAACAATTCTTTGTTATATTTTAGAGTCCCGGGGAGCTGAAGCAGCTCCCCAGGGGGGCGACAAAAATAAGGGTCGGGGTTCGAGGAAAGCCAGAGATATCAGTGTGGAGACTTTTCCTAGTAGATTGGAAGGTCCTAGGGAAGATTGGGGTATTTTACCGCTTTGTTCAAGGGAAACAACCCCTTTAACCGATAAAGATCCCTACGAGGAAAAGTCGGAAATTGGATTTTTCAGCGGGAATCCTTTTGTGGAGACTACAAAGGGTATCCTGCATCTATATAAAGAAGAGTATGTATTTATCTAATATATTTTGTGTATTACACATAATTTTGTTGTTTTAGTGTTATGAGCAGCAGGGCTGAAGCTCTAACACTTTGTATCATTGGTGTACCTACGTCAATGACTTGCCATGATGTTCTTGCTTTTACAGCCCCCTGCCATGCTGATATAGCGCACATTAGAGTGCTTAGAGATAGTTCGCCCAATCAGTACATGGCTTTGTTAACGTGAGTAACTGGGGTGGATTTAAATGCAACAAGTTTATTTTTGTAACTTTTTGTAGGTTTAGGAATCATGACTCTGCAATGGAGTTTTATGTGACTTTTAACGGTATAGCATTCAGCAGTTTGGAGCCCGATAGTATTTGCAGGGTGGTGTGGGTTTCTAGGATGGAATGGGCACATGATGGTCAGGCGCCTCCGGGTCATACTGAGTTGCCCTTATGTCCTGTATGCTTGGGTAATTTAAATTACATTTTATTTAGTGTTAGTATATTTATGAACTTTATTATTCATAAGGTGGTAAAATTTTGTTCTTTTTATAATTTGAAAAGAAAACCAGATTGGATGAAAATGTACATAAATGAGTGAAATTTACTTTTTTTCTAAATTCACAGGAATAACGAAGTTATAACGATTTTTTGTTTTGACAGTTTTTTACTTTTTTTCAAATTATTTGAAAAAAAAAATCAGTTTTTAAATGCCATTTTAATGGGCTCAAAATATACAAAAAATAAATAAAAAAACACAAGGTAAACAAATTAAGAAGAAAAGCCCAAATAAAATTAAAAAAAAAATAAGGCGCAAAAAATTAAAAAAAATCATAAAAATAAAAAGGAATAAAAGTTAAAAAAAGGAAAAAAAAGCCAGATAAAAGTAAAAAATCCGAATAAAAGTTTTTAAAAAAGTTTAAATAAAAGTTAAGTCATAAAAGTAAAAAAAGAAGAAAAACTCTGAATAAAAGTTAAAAAAAAAATAATTTGGAAAAAGTAAACAAAAATTAAAACTAAAAAGGTCGTAAAAGTAAAAAAAAAGGCCGAACAAAAGTAAAAACAAAAGAAAAAAAGGCAAAAATGTAATGAAAAATCAAAAAGGAAAAAGACTGAATAGATGTTAAAAAAAAAGTTTAAAAGACGCAATAAAAGTAAAAAGTTTAAAAAAAGTCGACAAAAAAGAGTTGCAATGTTCTGGCCCTGAAACACTTGAAAATTAATAAGCAAAAAAAGTTAGTAAAGAAAAATTAAAACTGAAAAAGTCGTTAAAGTAAAAAAGGGCCGAATAAAAATAAAAAAAATAAATAAAAAAGGCAAAAGGTAAAAAAAAATATCAAAAAAGCAAAAAGAAAAAAAGCTGAATAAATGTTAAAAAAATGTTAAAAAAAGTCAAAAAAAGTAAAAAAAGGCAAATTAAGTTTTAAAAAAATTAAAAAAAAAGTCGAAAAAAAGAGTTGCGATCTTTTTCCCAGCAACGCATAAAAATTAAGTGGTAAAAAACAAAAAGTCTTAAAAGTAAACAAATAAATAACTGAATGAATGTTTAAAAAAATTGGGAAGAAGTAAAGAAAAATTAAAACTTAGAAAGTCTTAATAGTAAAAAATGCCGAAAAGTAAAGAAAAAACAACAGCCAAAAGAAAAAAGGCCGAATAAATGTTATAAAAGACAATAAAAGAAAAAGTTTAAAGAAGTCAAAAAAAGTCGACAAAAAATAGCAATTATTATTAATAACAATAAAAATGATATTTTGTACTTCACAAGAAAGAGAAACAAAACATACAAACTTTCGCATTTATATGTATATCGTATTAAATGTTTAAAAAAAATTGGGAAAGAGTAAAGAAAAATTAAATTTAAAAAGTCTTAATAGTAAAAAATGCCGAAAAGTAAAGAAAAAACAACAGCCTAAAGAAAAAGCTAAAAGAAAAAAAAAGGCCGAATAAATGTTAAAAAGACAATAAAAGAAAAAGTTTAAAGAAGTCAAAAAAAGTTGACAAAAAAATAGCAATTATTATTAATAACAATAAAAATGATATTTTGTACTTCACGCGAAAGAGGAACAAAACATTCAAACTTTCTCATTTATATCAGAGATATCTCTGTTTATATGGATATCGTATTGGTAACAACGAGGTGGGAAGAGGTGCGAAACTATCGAAAAATAAAACTTCACCGAGTGACAGCAACCCGCAACAATGCAAAATACCGTGGGTTAAGCCATGGAGATAACACAAGGAGAACGAACTCAAATAGGAAAATTGACAGAATACTATCGCACAAATAACGTTTTCTCTTTTCACCACTAGAGGCGCTGATTTCCATTTTTGTATACATATTTAATGTTTATCTTTTTTCAACAACCACATGTGTAAAGCCTGATTTATAGATTGCCTTCCTTCCTTCCGTAAAAGATAAACAATATGAAAACCGTAGTGCTGTTTATAGATTACCGTACGGCAATCTATAAATCAAACTTTAGTGTCATTTCGCGTCTTTCAGAGCGCATGGACGAATCGGTGGACGGCGTGCTTACGATCCTCTGCAACCACGCCTTCCACGCCAGCTGCCTCGAGCAGTGGGGCGATCTAACGTGCCCCGTGTGCCGTTGCGTGCAAAGTCCCGAAGAAGCGGCAACGTCGGAGTGCGAGCGCTGCGGCGACACCGCCCCATCGCCGGACGCCCTCTGGATCTGCCTGATATGCGGTCACGTGGGCTGCGGTCGCTATCAAGGCGGCCACGCCGCCACTCACTACAGAGAGACCGGCCACTGCTACGCCCTGCAGCTGGGCTCGCACAGGGTGTGGGACTACAAGGGCGACAATTTCGTGCACAGGTAGGGTTGAGACCATAGACCACCAAAATAAATGGACGGCGCATTGCCATTCAATAACAATGCTTTGTTTGCGGTCTACTAACGGTCACAGTCTAAGCGTCAAATTGGAGATAGAATTTTATGTTTTCTTCCAGTGACGTCAACAAACGGTCACAGTCTAAGCGTTAAATTGGCGATAGAATTTTATGTTTTCTTCCAGTGACGTATTGGGATTAAAAAAATAATAAGTAGGTAGGTACTTACAAACGATATTTCCATGTATTGTTATTTTTTGTAAAAAATAATGTATTTAAAGTCCATAATTAACTTAAACACGATAAAAATACGAAAACGAAATGACAAAACAAGCTGTCAACCTTTTTCTATGCTTTCAAATATGACGAATTTACCAACGTTGTTAATATTTAATTTTAATAATTATTAAATGATTTACTTTCTTTAAATAGAGAAAAATATCTAAAGAAAATGATGAACAAATCCTTTTTACAATTTTTTTATTATTAAAACGAATTACTGGTAATTTTTAATGTTCATTATGTTATGATGAACGTCCAAAAAGGCGTGTAATCTATACTTCTGACAACGTTGGAAGCCGTGTTTCTTTCGACGGTGTTTAGAATATAAAAGTATGCTTTACTCGCTTTTTAAACGTAAACAAATCCGTCCATTTGTTTTGGTGGTCTGTGGTTGAGACCGTTGAAATTTTCAAATGAAAATTTCAACTTTGAAAGTTTCAAACTTGAAATATTTCATTTAGTTGGAAAAGTGAAATTTTTAAAAATTTCAAATGAAATTTTCAATAATAATATATTACACTTAAAGTGATTGAAATATATTGAAAGTTTCAATAAATTTCAGAAATTTCATGAAATTTCAGAAATTTATGAAATTTTAATAAATCTCATAAATGTCATGAAAATTTCAAGTGAAATTTCAAGTACAAGCAAAAAGTGAAATTTTCCCAACCCTATGCACAGGTTGCTGCAAAATAAAGCCGACGGCAAGCTTGTGGCGGCCGAAGGCCCGCCATCAGAGGCGGAATGCGCCCAAGAAAAAGTCGACTCTGTACAGCTCGAGTTCACGTATCTGCTGACCTCTCAGCTCGACGAGCAGAGGATGTACTTCGAGGAAAAACTGGCCAAGTAACTACTAAGGTGTAACCACTAGACTGGGCCAAAAAAATCGACACTTTTTTTAATGTATTTCACAATAATTTTTTTTGTCACAGTAATATTTTCGATAGTCGATTTTTTGTCCCAGTCTGGTAACCACATCACACGCAAATTATTTTTGAACTTACAGGACTGAAAATCATCTCATGGATGAGTTGTTTCACCTTAAAGGTAACCTGGATAAGCTAGCGGAAGAAAACAAAACCCTCAAACATAACATCGCCTCCCTAACCAAAGACAAGCAAGGACTGGAGAAGAAATTAACACAGCAAAACTCCAAGTAACATAAAAAAAAATATGTCGACATTTTTTTTTATTTTATTTTCGATTTTTTAGACTCGCCGCCACTCTAACCGATTTGAATGAAGAAAGACAACTAGGCAAAGCTTTAAAAAACAATCAGCAACAATGGCAAGCAAAATTAAGTAATGTTGAGGAAAAGTTCAAGCAACTTAAAGAATCCAAAGAGAAGGAACTGTTTGATCTGAAGGAGCAAGTCAGGGACTTGATGTTCTATATAGACGCTCAAAATGTGAGTATACATTTCTAAAATTAACTAGGTATATCTTAATCGAAAAAAATACGGTTTATTTTTTATGCGTTTTTAGATTGGTGGTCAAAAAGCACCGTTTGTATTTTAAATACATATTTCTTATTTCTTTTTTACTGTGTTAAGTAAGACTTATTACGCATAATTTACTATGATTTAATAGAAAAAAAGAGGATTTTTATTTTTTTAATGCGTTTTTAGATTGGTGGTCAAAAAGCATCGTTTTGCGGAAATAATTAAATAACTTTTTTATTTTAAGTAAATATTACATTTTTTCTTGTTTTACTGTGTTAAGTAAGACTTATTACGCATAATAAACTATATTTTAATTAAAAAAATAAGATTTTTATTTGTTTAATTCGTTTTTAGATTTTGATAAGTTTTGTATTTTAAATAGGTGCATATTTCTTTTTTCTGTTTTACTGTGTTAAGTAAGACTTATTACGCATAATTTCCTATGTTTTAATCGAAAAAATAGGATTTTTATTTTTTTAATGCGTTTTTATATTGGTGGTCCAAAAAGCACTGCTTTGCGGAAATTATTAAATAACTTTTTTATTTTAAGTAAATATTACATTTTTTCTTGTTTTACTGTGTTAAGTAAGACTTATTACGCATAATAAACTATATTTTAATCTAAAAAAATAATATTTTTATTTTTTTAAAGCGTTTTTAGATTTTGATTAGTTTTGTATTTTAAATAGGTGAATATTTCTTTTTTCCTTTTTACTGTGTTAAGTAAGACTTATTACGCATAATTTACTATGTTTTAATCGAAAAATCTACGATTTTTATTTTTTTAATTTTTAGATTGGTGGTCAAAAAGCACCGTTTTGCGGAAATGATTAAATAACTTTTTTATTTTAAGTAAATATTACATTTTCTCTTTTTTTAATGTGTTAAGTAAGACTTATTACGCATAATGAACTATAATTTAATTTAAAAAAATAAGATTTTTATTTTTTAATGCGTTTTTAGATTTAAACAAGTTTTGTATTTCTTTTTTACTGTGTTAAGAAGGATTTATTACCCATAATTTACTATGAATTAATCGAAAAAAAGAGGATTTTTATTTTTTTAGATTGGTGGTCAAAAAGCACCGTTTTCCTGAAATAATTAAATAACTTTTTTATTTTCAATAAATATTATATTTAATTTTACTGTGTTAAGTAAGACTTATTGCGCATAATAAACTATATTTTAATCTAAAAAAATAAGATTTTTATTTCTTAATGCGTTTTTAGATTTAAATAAGTTTTTTATTTTAAATACATATTTTTTTTTACTGTGTTAAGTAAGACTTATTACGCATAATAAAGTCTATTTTAATCGAAAAAAATAGGATTTTTATTTTTTTAATGCGTTTTAGATTTAGATATTTTTTTGTATTTTAAATAGGTGCATATTTCTTTTTTCTTTTTTTTTACTGTGTTAAGTAAGTAAGTTTTTAGATTGGTTTTTAATAAACAACTTTCTTAAATTTACCATGTGTATTTAAAACGTTATAAGGTAAAAGTAAGATTTAATTTACTATTATAATGGTAAATATTTTATAGTTAAAAAAATTATTCGGAATTTGATGGACCACAACTATCTGTTTTTTTTTTTAAAGGCCATTGAAAAAACTGGCGAGCAAGAAGATTTTGCGTCTGGTTCTGTCACAATCGTAGACCCGCCACCGCAGAAGGGCAAAAATCGCAGGAAAAAACGCTAAAATCTCTCCTACGTATCTGCGTATCAATATTTTGTGATTATTTACTTTACCTTAATAAAAATTTATTTGCTGGTTTAAATTTTATTTCGCTCAGTGTAAATCGAAAAATGTCGCTCAGCGTACGTGCGATCTAGTAGTTGAAATGTCCCGAAACGTCACAAATCAGGGCGGCCAACTGCAAAATCAGTTTGCAAACAGCAGTTGTCAGCGACGCAGGGACGGTGATAAAATGTGCTAGTTTTCGGCGAATTTGGGCAAAAATGGGCAATCACCATGGACACGGGGCTCACAAATCCGGGGACTCGTCGCCCAGCTCCGGGCTGTCTTCCAACAACGGCTCCAGGAAAAGTATTTCGCGTACCACTTCTGGCAATGACATCAAAGATAACCAATCTACGGTTATGCAGCCAGTGGAGAAGCTTGCCAAGGTGAAGTTATTCATTTTATCTTATCGTTAAAATGCAATATTCGCATATAATTTGCATTACTACGCTGAATTTTTCGTATTTGCTTTGTTATGTTACCGTTACGTTGGTATTGCCGTACCAGACCAATTTGTTTTGGGCGCCATTTTCAAACGCATTTTTTGCAGATTTTAACGGAGAGATCTCAAAAATCCGAAGGAGTTAACGGAATTACACTCGCCGTGTTTCAAGTTAGTTCAAAATATAAACAGAACATAAACTAAGCTGCAAAAATAACGTACCACTTAACATGATTGCCATTTATTAATTGGTCTATTAATCTTTAATACTTAATGGATTTTAATAGGTTTTCTGTATTATGTTGGGTATTATAGGATATTTATTAAAGAAATTGCAGGAATATTTCTATGTAAATAATTATAATAATTATTATTATTATTCAAAACAATTTTTTACCACTTAAAATTGTCATTTCAAATTTCGTGCTGCCAACATAATAAACATCAAAATATGAAAGTTTAAACCTTAATTTTGACATTATAACAACAAATTAACAATTTCTATTGTTACTTATTTCATTTGTATGGTGTTTTTAGTTTTTAATAATACTTTAATTTGTAGTAAAGTATTAATTTGTTAATTACAATTCAACGTTTTATTTTTGCTACATTGGCACCGCCGAATTTTCCGTCATGGCCTACTGTTTGTTTACTTATTTATCAAACTTCAAATGGAGATTTTTTTTTTTAATTTGGACTCATTCGACTAAAAATGGGTAGATTTAGTCTAAAACATTTTTTCATATTTGTAATAGATGGCGCTGTAATAAAAAAAAACAGTTTTGTTCGATTTTTCTTCTGTATACGATTCTCCAATAATTTTTGAATAAAATACTTGGTTTTATTTTTTCTTCCACTGTTAAAAAATCCATTATGATTCATAATTTATGAATAACTGCTTAACGAAAGGAGGTCTTTTTGTTTGCAAATTAATCAGGAACTATATTGATTAAATAATGCTAAACTATGTATAAATAGTTTCTTTATGCCTCAATAATAATTATTATTTATAACTAAATACCATTTTTATACCTCAATTAGGATTAAATTAATTAATTGAGAAAATAATGTTTTTTTTTTACCTTAAATGAGGTATTTTTATTAAAAATAGTACAATTATCCTTAAATTAAAGGATTTAATGCTGGCAGGTAAAAAATGGTGCGCACTTAAACCAAAGGAAACTTAAATATTAGTTGAAAAATCAGATTTAATTTAATATGATAATTATTACCAAAAAAGTGATATTTTTATAGAAAAATTATTGCAGAATCGTATACAGAAGAAAAATCGAACAAAATTGTTTTTTTTTCATTACAGCGCCACCTATTACAAATATGAAAAAATGTTTTAGACAAAATCTACCTATTTTTAGTCAAATGATCCGAATCTGCAATAAAAAATATGGTATTCCATTGGAAATTTTAAAGTTACCAACATCAGAAGTGGGATAGTGATTTCTATTATGGTCCATGAAAGATGGTGCGTTGTTTTGGTGGCTTAGTTTTCAACAAAAAATCGTTGTGTTTAAAAATATTTTCGTAGAAATGCCTGTTCCCAAGGTACCAAGTATTCGCTGAGAGACTCTACAAATACATGCTGAGTAGTTCTAAAGCCAAAACAAGCTACATAGGCACGACAGCTTTCAAACAGCAATGCGAAAAATACTTGGGCATACTGGACGACGACCAAATTAGGGAATTGTTGGTTAAAATGTTCTCAGATGCAGATGACAACATCGCAATTGATTCTTTTCGGTCTTTGCTGATGTGCGCATACCACATATCCATGGATCACTATTCCGAAGGGCCTCAAATGTGCTTTTCCATCAACAAAACCCTAACAAGCGTCGTGGAAAGCTGCTATCACGGCAAAAAATCCTTAATGAACAAGTACGTCGCCTCCTGGATAGGTTTAAACATACCGAGGTTGCTTTTTCCCTTGCACAGATTCGCTGTGCATTCGCTGGCCACCTCGTGGCGGAATTTGGAACAAGAAGAACCCTCATTGGCTGCCGGTAAGCATTCGTTTATTTTCCACGTGAAATGAAAACTATTTTAATGATTTTTGTTCATTGTTGGACAAAATGTAAATGCTGCATTTTTACTTTTGTCAATATCCCTATAAATTCTAGAAAAAAATTGTTATGTTAAGACCACAATCCACACAACGTCTGTTCTATCTCATGCTAAAAATACTAAAAATCACTGCAACACTGCACAGAGTTTAACGGCGGCCATTTTTGCTGTTTACAAATCTTGTGCTTTGGGTTTGTGCTGTTTAATAGTTGTTTTAAACGTTGTGTTTCTTACAGCGCACTTGTAAGCCTCAAATAAGGCCTTTAAGTGCTAAGGACAACCATTTTACTCTTTTTTTATAATAAATATACCTTATTCTATCAGGGCTGTCAAATGACAATTTGAAGGTTAATTTGTGGGTTATAATTTAACCTCAAAATTGACATTTGACAGTTTTATGACAGCCCTGCAAGAATAAAGTTTATTTTTTACAATAGAGGAGTAAAATGGTTGTTCTTAGCACTTTAAGGACTCTTTTAAGGCTTACTATAAGAAACGTTTAAAACGATTATTAAATTGTATAAACAGAGGACAAACCCAAAGCACAAAAATTGTAAACAACAAAAATGGCCGCCGTTAACCTGTGCAGTGTTGCAGTGATTTTTTGTATTTTTAGTACGAGATAGAACAGACCTTGTTGTGTGGATTCTGGTTAAGACGACATTTATTAGGTTATGTTCAATCTTACACGTATAGGGGGCGCTGGTGATAATTTAATTTAAAATTTAACAATTTTTAAAGGGTATACAAATGTTGTTGTAGTATAGCATAGCACATAAATGACGTTTAATATACAGGTTGTTTCACGTACGTAGTCCGTTAAAAGTTTCTGAGAATCGCGAAAGACATCGATTTAAAATTTTAATAGCGTAAATTATTCGATTTAGACTTTTTTCCTAAATTATTTTGAACAAAATAATACTTCCTGTTTTACAGGAAATGTCTTTAACTTTGTTATTTTAAACAGGACACCCCTTATATTTTTACATTTTTGAATTCTACATAAAATTCTGAGTAAAATGGCTATGCCATATTCTATACCTAAAGTTAATATTTTTCATTAACCCACATGTAGAATTTCACAGGTTTGTTGATACAAAATAGTATTGAAAATATTATAAATTGTTAAATGTCTCTGAAATTTTAACTTTAGGAAACAGTTATTATAATACCAACCGAAAGATTCTTTAATTTTCTATTTGATTATGTTAAAATATACAGGGTTTTACATTTATAATAAAAACGTTATTATTGTTTGAAGTTTGCCTAATTTCAAGTGGTTTTTCTTAAGCTATTTGTTGAAAAACCTTTAAAAAATTAAATTATTCCAAAAATTCCAACCCCATGTCAGCAAACCTAATAACAAAAAATTATTTTTGATTGACGTTCATTTAGCAAAATTTTAACGAAAAAAATTAATATAAATATCTTGAAAACTATTGACTTTAGGTATAGTCTAAATCAAATTGTATACGCTATTAAAATTTCAAATCCATATTGTTTCTCCAGAAACACCCTGTATAACATTATATTAAATATAAAAAAATGCAAAAATAACTAATTACAAAAAGAGAAAAACAATTGAATAAAAAATTTACATATATCTAAATAGGCGATCGCAACATAAAAAATAAAGTCTTTATTATAATTTATTTATTGGGTAAATATTACTTTCCTCAGTTTGGAATTAAAATTGAAGCTTGCCTATCGAGTAAAACATAAATTGAAGCTTGGTTGTGGAGCAAAAAATAAAATTAAAGTAGGTTATAATTTCTAACTTGCTGACACTGTCTATAATTATTATTTAGTCTATTCATTTTATTAAATTAATGTTTTGAGTTTTAGTACACTTATAAATTGAAACGCAATCTGTCAACTTATATACTGAACTGTCATATTATCTTTCACGCTTCCAATGGTAGGTTACCATAGAGGAAAGTCTATGATGCCTGCTATTATCAAAATTAGTAAACTTTAAAAAAGTTTAAATTTATAAATAAAAGTAATTTTGGCTCCATCTATGGCAATTGTTTTTAATTTTAATTATTTTTTTTATAATAATAATAATAATAATAATGTATAATAATAATTTTTTTATTATATGTAATAATGTAGATAAAAGAATATATATACTCAAAATTATAAAACAACGTTGCTTCTTCGATTTTTTAACCCTTAAAAAATGGTAAAATTTTAAATTAAATTGTCCCCAGCCCCTTCTGTATGTTAAAATCTAAAAAAAATAATACGTGGATTTATTGCCATTAATAAGGTCTACATTTTATATTAATTTCAAATCAAAAATTACACCATTTATATGTAGAAACAAGGTTAAAAAAATATATTCAATTCTGGCATCACTTGCAAACAAAGTCCAAAATTTGTTCGATTTTTACGCGAAACCATAGTTAAGATTTATTTATACATTTTTTATTGGTTTTACTTGAATTTATCCTGTTTTATTGGGTTTAAAATATAATCAATTCTGATTGTTTAATCAGAACCTATTAATATAATATTGTGGTTCTCGAATTTGATAAACTTTTTGGAAATTACTCAACATTAGATAAAAAAATATTTTCGTTTGCAAATTTAAATATATTACATCATATTTTTGTATTACACAGTTTGTAAATATAAAAATATTTATTCTTAAAATTCCATCAAAAAACTTAATTGAAATCAAAACAATAATTGAGTGAGATTATTTTGCTGATCTTGCAAAACACATGTAAATATTTATCAAGTTTAAACTACTGATTTTTATCTGTATACAGGGTGTTATGTATTTAATGTAATATATTAAAAATATTTTTCCAAAGATGAAAAAAAATTATGCATTAATAATACCATTCTGTATTTATTTACTCATCCAGGTATTAGCTTAAGCAATGATTAGAAAATTTAGTATTTACCTATTTTAAAAACTCCTTAACCACAAAATTAATTTTTTCATTGGTTTTTTCGTTCTGTTTAATTTGTGTAAATAAATCCAAAAGCACTTCCCTTAGTTAAGATATTTACAATTTGGGCCCATAACCTTAAATTTTAAAGAAATGCACTAGATTCTGTCATAAGTTGCCAGATTTTGTTTGAATTTACCTTTATTACAAAAATGACATAATCAACAATTAATAAAAACGCCAAATTGTTGTTGCCAACCAAAACATAATAAATTAAATTAGGCAACCAGATTAGACTAAAGTTCCTAGTCGATCAGTGGCGTACTTTTTGGTAGGATAAACGCGTTAGGGTTTCTTTTGAATATTACAAAAAAACACAAAACAAACTTTAATAATCTAAACCTTACGGAAACCCCCCAAACGAAATATCGAAATTTAAATTTGTTTATTAACTTTTTTTTATTCTCCTTTAGACGAACAATGCGGAAAACATTCAGGTAAAAAAAATTGCTGTCTTGTCTAGTCTCGTTTCGTCTATTTGTTTAGAATAGATACGCTAATCAACACCGTTTATGTGCAAATTATTTTTTTATGTTAAAATTTTTTTAATTATCTCGAATAAAAAAAAATGTGCACGTAAAAATACTTGTTGTGTTGACTTGTGTTTTTTTTACAGTGGCGTCCTTATATATGCTTTAATAATTATAATTTTTACCGCTTTATTAAACTTCAAAATTTCCTATTTCAAGTGTATAATTAATATGATTAATCACATTAATAATATAATTTTGTACGAACCCATAAAATTAATACCGAATTTGTGTTGATTTTTTAAATATACAGGGTGAAATACTTAACTGTTACAATCTGTTCTATCTCGTTTCGCGCATACTAAAAGTTAGGCAACCACTGCACTATATCATTCAAATTATAAAACCCAAATTTCCTAATTTGGTTACATAATTATATACCACTTAAAGAGCTTAAAGAGCTCTTATATAATTTGACAACTCTTATATAACCTTTATAAAATTTATCGTTACCATAAGTAACGATTTTAAAAATAATAAAAATAAAAATGGCCGCCGTTAAAGTCTGTGGAGTGGGTTGCCTAACTAACATTTTAAAAACAACGTACTTAAAAAAAAACATGTCAACTTTAATTTTTTTTTTATTACTACCATAATTTAATCATCAAAAGTTAAATTTGACGTGTTTTTAGAATTTTTTAAAAAATAAGTTTTTAAAATACATAATTTATTCCAGTTTCACCCTGTGTATTTTTTTATTATTTTTGAGTTTTTTTGGTGGGTAAATTTAGGTTTGGAACTGGCCACCCCCGTACTGGAGCAACCGCCCCCCTTTTCGCAGGACAAAGTGCATCGCCACCTGTTGCACATGAGCATGTCCTGGCTTTTGGCGGGAGCCCTGCCCCCCATATATTCCAGGCCCATGAAGGCCCACTCGCCGCACAACAGTGGCGTAGGTAGGGGGTGAATATAATTTTAATTTAAATAAATGGTGGGACAAATTTCCACCCTAGTTTAAATGGGTCATTATACTTTTTAGCCTCATCTATCTCTAAAAAATTAAAATTTTACATTGTCATTACATTGTGACTATTATTTAGGCAAACTAAAGGAAATAAATTGGTTTACTTTACTTGGAAAGGAAAATGAAATACTGTGACGAAATATATCCTTCAAAAACACATGCTGCTTGTTTGTAACGCGCAAAATAACAATGCCTATAACAATATTACAATAAATTATAATAATTAGTATAATGACCCAAACATCAAAATTTTGTTTCGTTGTCGAGTATTTACCTCGATTTCTTTTTGAGGCCTTGCCAGCGCCAACTTCCTATCGAAACTACTCTGCGCCGTGCCGTCGCATTGGACCCTACTCTACGATTCCGACGATAACGGTCTAGGTACGAACCGATTTCTGCACCACGTGCTAAACTACCGCGGCGCCACGCTGTGCCTTATCAAAGTAGACGGTGGCGGTCTTTTCTGCGTCGCATCTCCCTGCGAATGGAAGGAGTCGAACCACTACTGGGGGGGTGAAGAGTCCGCAGTCCTTCAGCTGTTTCCCAAGTGAGTTAATTTCGCGTGCCCGGGCCGCAAAACAAATAATTGTGAATATGTTTTCTAGATTTGCGTTGTTGGAGAAGGGATCCAAAATGTTGTACTTGAATACAACTGTTAGGGGTTACCCTCTCGGGTTAAGGGCCGGTAAGGACCCTAGGGCGCCCATAGTCAACATTGACTCCGGTTTCGAGAAGGTAAGATACTGTTTGGTTCTTGTTGAAATGTTGATTGTATCTCCGACAGATGGAGTTCCAGAAGATTCCCTACCACCTGGAAACGGTGGAGGTGTGGGGTTGCGGCGATCAAGTGAGCCGTGAACGCCAACTTGAGGTGAAAAAGTGGGAGTTTAAAGAAGCGGAGCGGCAACGCTGCGTCAAGTTGAACCCCGCCGATTGGCTGGACCATCCCGATCGCTACTTGCTGGAACTGGCAGGTCGCCCTCAGTACCACACGAGCGCGAACTAACTAACAATATAGAAAACTAGAACAGCACAACAGGTATGTGCCATTCAAAAAAAAAATATATTTTGTTTTATTTTTCACGTCGAATATTCGGTCAAAATATTTTATATCTGTATTTTGATCAATTTACCTCGTTTCTCATTGGTTGGACGAAAAAAGTTTTAAAACAAAATTTGGAACATATTTCTTCCCAGGCAAAACTTTCTGTATTTAGTCCCTTAAAAGATAGAAGCTGTCTAAGCGCCAAATTAGTTTTTTTATATTTTGACCCTCTAAAATTGATCAAAACTAAAACTGCCAAATAAAAAAGTTGTAGATCTCGAAAATATCCACAAAAAATATATAAGGTTTTAAACCATTTGGACAACCGTTTTCGAGTTACAGCGGCCAAAAGTTAATCACAAAATATAACTTTAGCGCCCTCTATCTTCTTAACAACTGAACACAGAAAGTTTTGCCTGTAAACAAAAATGTTGAACAATTAAAGCCCTCCATTTTTTGTCCCAACACTTTTTTTCTCCGACCAATAGAAAACGAGATAAAGCGCCTGAAGTTATTGAACAAAAAACATACGGGTAAGTTTAAACATTAAATGAAAAATTAACGTTATTAAAGCCACTTTGGTTTCCAACAAAAACAAAAAAACCCACAACTATTTTTTTGTTTTGAATGGCATATCATATTTTTACAATTTTTGGTGTTTTTATTTATAATGAAAAAAAACAGTTTCAGTGTATTTTTTGTGGTATCATTTTGACTAATTTAGTGTAATTTTTTACATTCCAAAATTCGGCTTCTTGTATTTCTAACCCACTACTTAATAACGAAAACGATACGTATTAATATTTACTTAACATTTTTTACATTTACGTTGAAAAAACGTAGTTGTACTTAAACTAAGTTAAAAAAACGGCGCTTATTCTGAATAATCATATTTTATAATTACATTAATAGTGTGCCATGTAGAGCTGTCAAATTGACATTTGAGGTTAGTGCGCCTGTCACTTTTGACAGTATTTATAACCGCACAATCAAAGTACAAATTTGTGCTTTTTGGTGTGTTAAAAAACTGTATGCACCTTGTTAAGAACACGAAATTTTCTTACTTAGTATTTATACAGGGGGTTAATTAAATTTTGTTGCCCTATTATAGCCATTCAAGTAATTCGTGAACGCTTTTTGTGCCTTTTTAAAAATATAATAATGATAATTAGCTCAATTTTAACGGAAATATAGTTAATAATGTTAAATAAAATTTTTCTGAAACAGTATAATAAAATTGTGAATATTTATATCTTATTGTTAGCCGATAGTCGCCATTTTTATTTTTGTTTGTTAATTGTTCAAAAATTTATCACCCCCACTTACTTAATTCATTGAATTGTTACAGGGTTTCATATAGTTTTAAACTCATTGTATTGAATTGAATCATTGATATTATTTATTTATTTAAATTCGCTGTAGGTACACATACATAAAATTATTTTTGTACAAATTATTCAAATACAAATCGATACAAACCAAACCGACTGTTTTTTCTATCCTACTTTTGTCGCTGGGCTTTATCCGTCTACAAATTGTAATGTCGATGGTGCGTTGCGAAGTTAGCCGCGTTGTGTCAAATTTCTAACCTTACTTTAGTTGAATTCGCATTTTTGGGTTTAATTACGTGGAAAATGTCTCTATGTCGGCAGTCGGCCTTACTTTTAACGAAATGCATTGCCAGTCAACTTAATGTAACCGGTAAGTAGGCAAATAACGTAAAAAAAGCGTTTCTTAGAGACATTTTAGGTCAAAGGAATATAAAAAGATGGGTAGCCCCTACTCTAAGAGTTATAGCAAAAAGGCGTGAAAAAATCGGCCCAGAACCCCTTAAACCTCGGTCAACGTATTTAGAGTGGAATTACGAGGCAGAAATATTCGCTTTTGGGAATCGTTTGGGAGAAAAATTTGATCGGAGTTTACTGCTTCGAGCCTTAACTCAACGTGAGTATGCCAATTTAAAGGAAATTGAAGCACAAAAGGAGGGAAACGTAGCCGTTAAAAACGAGCACAATCACGAGCTAATAGCAGAGGGTTTCAAAATTATTAGCGATGTTATATATAACGAGTACAAAAATCATTACCCTGAAGAAATTGTGAATGCAGTGCACAAGTTTTTGACCACCGATGAAATGTTGGGTTTGGTTGGAAAACATATTGGTTTATCGGACATTATTTTAACAAATGTAATGTATAGGGTTGAAAATTGAACCCCTTGAAAATAAATAAATTTTAGGAATTCCCAGTTGAAACCCACACTCTATCAAAAACATTTAAAGCTGTTGTGGCAGCTTTAAAGTTATCTCAAGACACCCAAAGGGCAGAATTATTTGTGAAAGACATTTTACTGTGCCAAATGAATGGTAAAGATGTTTACGATATTTGGAATCCGGAAAGACCCTTTGAATATCTTACTGACTTGCTTAAACAAAAGGGAATCAGTGATATTGAACCCAGGTTGTGTAATGAGTCTGCTAAAAACACTATTTTAGCAAGCTACCAGGTTGGGTTGTACAATAATAAGAAATTGCTTGGATTGGGTAATTTTTTAATATCATATTTGTAATATTTTTATTTTTTTATTTACTTATTGTAGGATGGGGTGAAAGTATAGCAATAGCCAAAGATACAGCAGCAATAGATGCCATACAGAGAATTTATGGAAATTACATGCAAAAATAATTAAGTTTTATGTTAGTTGTTAAATAAAATAAGAAGAAAAAATACACAGCAAGTTTTATTGTTTTTAACCAAAGGAAATTGAGAATTTATTTTATCAAGTGACCCAGTGTTTGTTTGAACCAATGGGGATCAAGAAATTTGACAGTGTGTGTGTCAAATGTTAAATTTAACCAATCAAAATCAAGAATGTGGTTTTTATCAAGTAAGCTATGTATGTTTGAACCAATGAGGATTCAGGAACTTGACAGTTCATGCGTCAAATGTAAAAGGTAAGCAGTTGATTTTATTTTCTTTATGTAACAGTACAGCCAACAAAAAATAGTTTTTTACATTTTGACCCTTTAAAATTGATTAAAACTAAAAATGCTAAACATTAAGGTTGCAGATCTTAATTGTATAACCTAATAAAACAAGTTTTTGCGTTTCTAAACAATTTATTTTTCTACAAAACTAAGTCATGTTAATCTTCTATGTTGGCGGTTTTGTCTTCAGCCAGTACTGCCAATTTTTTTATCATGTTTTTGGTTCTGTCAGTCAAAAAAGAATCCACCTGTCCTAGGATGTTGACCAGTTGTATCATTCTCTCGAAATTTTTGTTGACTTTCTCAGCTTTTTGAAGTTCTTCTTCTTTTGTTGATATTTGGTGCCTTAGGGATTCGATTAATTGAGCTGTGCTTTTGTCCACCCCACCTTGGTTTATTGTGTTGGTTTTTAAGTTGGCACAGTGGATTAAGGAAACAACCTGAAACAGATTTTTTTTTAATTTTTATTGTTTTTTTATGAATTACAAAATTATGTATTTTAAACAGTTAATAATTTTAATTAATATTTAAATTATTACTTACAGTTAAAATTACTAAACAGCATAATGCAATTTTTGGTACACCCATTTTTAATTTTTTTTTTTTGAACCAATCAATTCAAAACTTTATAAGTAACTGAACATTATATTGAACTATATTAATATTGCTGAAATTTGGTTTTAAAAAAATGTTTAATTTGCAATTTTTTGACCTAATATGGTTAGACAATATAATTATTAATAAAAGTTAATTAAGTAAGTAATTATTAATATACAAGGGAAACCAAAAAAATAATATTACATTATTTTGTTTGCCTATTTTTCTATATTTCCTTTGAAATTGTTTTAATAGTAGGTATATTATGTATCAAATTTGATAAACGCCATTTTATACACGAATTGCGAGCGAGTGCTTAAATTAATGAGTGTATAGAAAAGTTTATAAACGAGGTGCATACTATACTTTTTCTATGACAAATACTTATTATTATCTTAAAATGATTTAAATCAAAAATTTGTATAGAGCGCCATCTATGAAACAATAGGGGAATCTGTGTGTCACCGTCAAATGTCAAATTTTTACATTTTATAAACACAATTATAAAGGTTATAAATCGAAATGTATTTCTTGAAAATTGACAGTTTTTAACAGCGAAAGTAAAGAAAATATTTTATGAGCACTTTACAGTGGAGTCCGTGCCCGAATTTAAGTTATAGTTTACTGCCGGCGAAATTAAAAGGTCAGCACAATGTTCATATAAACTTTTCAAATATTGGCGTTGAGAAACTATTTAATACTTTTGTATTTTTGTATTGAGATAATAAAATATTTTCACATTTAGTATTATTTTACAAAAAAGGCAATTTATTTTAACGATTGTATGACATTTGACAACTGTCAACTAACTTAAAACTAACTTCAGCGCGTGACTAAAAACCTGTTGCTAACTTCAGCCCGTGACTAAAGCTCCATAAAGCCACAACTTGTCAATGTGTATTTAAAAGGTCACTTAGTTTCATAAAAACATGTACGATAAAGGGCGTTTTAAAAGTGGGAGTAGAAAAAATACTTTATTACTTAAATTAGGTATTTAAATATTTTAATTTTACAAAATAATTTTTAATTAAACTCCATGATTTACAGCGGAAAATATAAAATTATTATTAAAAAAAAAAACCGAAAAAATAAATTAAAAATTTTACAGCAAGTTTGAATAACTTTTGGACCACCCTGTATAAATATAAATATACCAATATGTTTTGTAGAAATGATTTTTAGAAAAAGGTGTTTCATTTTTTTTGGCCGTTTGTTTAAAACTACTTATCTTTTCATGATCTTAATCGAATTGTTATCAAAACTCGTAGTGAATGGGTTGAATGAATTTTTTACAATTTTTATCAGCGAAATAAGGAAACCCGGTTCAGTGACCCGATAAAAAACCCGATTGCAATTTTCTGCCTATTAACAATTTTATCGCGACTTTTATTTCCATCATTTTATATCGTTGACAAAATTAGTTTTTTTTATATTTTGAATGTCTAAACTTGATCAAAAGTAAAAATGCCAAATAAAAAAGTTGTAGGTACATCTAAAAAATATCTACAAAAAATATAAAAAATGTAAACAAACATTCTTGAAAAAAATCCATTAACACAAAATTAATTTTTTCATCGTTTTTTTCTTTCTGTTTAGTTTGTGTAAATAAATCCAAAAGCACTTCCCTTAGTTAAGATGTTTACAATTTGAGCACATAACCTAAAATTTGAAAGAAATGCACTAGATTCTGTCATAAGTTGCCAGATTTTGTTTAAATTTACCTTCATTACAAAAATGACATAATTAACGCCAAATTAACACTTTGCATTGTTGATTTTGTCATTTTTGTAAGTAGGCTAGATTTAAACAAAATCTGGCAACTTTTTTACAGAATCTGGATACATTAATTACCCTGCCTGTGTAAAATATAAAAAAGTAATTTATTGAGAAAATATTGAATAAATTTGTCTATCCAAGGTGATGGCAATGAAAAATTTGGGTAACATTGACCCACTTATAAAACTACGTATGTATATGATAAAAAAAATTCCGTACAAATACTATTAAAAATGATTATTTATTTTGACTTATAAATATGTATTTTAATACTGATATGTTATTTTCTTTCTTCTATGTTGTAAAACATTTGATCTTCCACAGGTTGATCCTGTAAAAAAGTTGTTGTTAAACACCCTGTATATTAAATGTACACGGAAAAAATGTTTTCTATATGTAATTCTTAATTTTGGTTAAACAGGCCAATATAGCAAACAAAATCAACGTGTCTGAAGTTTGAAAAAATCATTGCCGTATATATTTATTATATTTATATATAGGTAGATAGGTATTTGAAACATTGTAAAAAAGTTATGTAATAAAGACAATGCTATAGCATATATATAGACCAAAATCATTTTTTTCAGGTTAAGTTAAGCAATAATTGTTTCAAATATTTTCTATTCTTTTTTTTACTTTTGCTCGACTTTAAAGGTTAGGATATAATGACCAAGTATATTTTAAAAGGTAAAGAGTGGATTATCCTATCTATTTTCTCTATCTCTTGGATTGAGATGATTAATCTTTAATATAGGATAGCTTTTTTCCGTATAGTTAACTATACTAACCTCTTGTATTTTCTTCCAAAAACACTGAGTGAAAATAAACGATCTCTCGCATTTATCCACCGATTTGGTGGCTGTGCACTCGTACAAAATAAACTCCAAACTCGCTATTTCCACGTCGGATTCGTCCAGAGTTTTTTTGATGTCGTGGAGCAAAAATCCGCCTTCTTCGTCCATCCAGCCGTATTTTGTGAAGAGACAGTGCAGGAAACATTTGAAGGGAGACGACTCTTGGTCGCTTAGTTTTTTGTTAATGAGGACTTCATTCATTGTTGCTGAAATTTTTTTGTTATATTATCATTTTTTATAAGATTAATTGCAATAGACTTACTCATACTGATTGGAGACGTTCTATTGCAGGTTTTAATGTACTTTATATCCGTATCCATATCCTCAGTGGTAAACCCTACTCCAACATCAAAACATAATGCTAAGAGCAACAGTAAAACAACATTTTTGAAGTTGAAAAACATTTTTTCCCTGGTGCACCAACAAACTTTAGAAACGTACTATTTTTTAAAAGTAAGAATAAAAATTCTTTTGCCGTTATCTTTGTGTGGGGGAGTAAATTGGGATATTTTACTTGCGCACAAATGATAAAAGCTATTCTTATATGTAATTTAAATTAATACTTATTTGAAGGATATAGGGAGTTGAATGCAAGAACTAACCTATACTTATTTGGATATAATTTTAATGTTAGGCGCAAGGGTAAATTTCTTATTCAAATGTTATAATTCTTGGCGATACAATATTTACTTTTGGATTAAATATAAGGTATCTTTATGTAAGTTAAGCAATAATTGTTTCAAATGTCTATTCTTTTTTTACTTTTAGGATATAATGACCATGTTTATTTCAAAAGGTAAAGAGTGTATTATCGTATCTCTTTTTTTCTATCATAATTCCAAACCAAATATTAACTAACACAAAAAACAATCATCCAAAATTTCGGACGGTTTCGTGAGTGGGGGGTATTTTTAAGAATAGGCCAGTTGTACCAATATTTACTAATCTTGAAATAAATATAATTATATTTATATCCAGTAGACTGGGCCAAAAAAATCGACTATTTTTTGAAAGTATATCGAAAATTTTGTTTGGGGTGACAAAAAAAATTATGGTGAAAGTTTGAGTCCATAATATTAATATTAAGAGGTCTATCATCGCAATTTGTCTCAGAACTCCCAAATCATTGAGTTTAACAAAATTGACTTAGGAATATTTTTTGAAGAAAATTTAATGCTCTACAAAAAAGGTTTAATTGGAATTTCCCGTCAGATGAACCGTTTTCTTACAATCATGCCTTAAAAATTGGTATAGTTTTACAATTTGATCTTTTAACTTTGGAATTTTGTAATTCAAGTAAAAATCAGTACCCTAAAAAAAATATTAATATTCTTATGGGAAATCAAATGCTCTACAAAAAAGTCTTTTATCATTTTTGGCTAAATACACTCCATTAAAAGTTACTCAAGGTTAAATTTGAAGTCAAAACGAAATTTTAACCTTGAATAACTTTTGATTGAGTGAATTTAGCCAAAAATGTTAAGAGGCTTTTTTTGTAAAGCATTTGATTTCCCATAAGAATATTTATCGGTTTTTTATGGGTACTGATTTTTACATGAATTACAAAATTCAAATTTAAAAGATCAAAATGTAAAACTATACCAATTTTTAAGGCATGATTTTAAGGAAACGGTTAATCTGACGGAAAATTTCACTTTAACATTTTTTGTAGAGCATTTAATATTCTTAAAAAAATATTTTCAAGTCAATTTTGTTAAACTCAATGGGTGAGTTCTGAGCCTAAAACTTGCTGAGAAAAAAAAATTAAAATTGCGATGATAGACCTCTTAAACCCAACCCCAAACCATATTTTCGATATACTTTTCAAAAAAAATAGTTGATTTTTTTGGCCCAGTCTAATATCCAGTATGGTTTTATATATTTAAATATTTCTCCCATGATATTTTTAATTTAGCGAATTAAAGAGGCAAATATTTTAAATTAACTAAATAAAAAATATCAGTTTGGCATACAAATTAAATCTAATTTTTAATTAAGCGAATTAAAATGTGTGTTTAGCAAAAAAAAATACAAATATTTTAAATGAATAAATTAAAAAATCAGTTTGCCATAAAAATTAAATCTAATTTTAAAATATCTGCTATGATATTATTTATTTGCAGAATATCCTAAGTACTTTTCTGTCTCGTAAATTTTACTTTTTAAACGACCCCAACGTTAAACAGTCTAGGGTAGTAAAATCTGGAGGTCTTGCCGGCCAATTGGAATATGAATGGTGGTATCAAAAAAATAATTGTCCCCAACAGTGTAATTTTTTTTATCGCACTTATTTGAATAACTATGGGGCCGCGGTTTTAAAGCCTTAGATTTAGAAACAATTAAGTAATCATCATAATTAGGACACTTAACTAAGTTTATGCAAACTTATCTTATTTTTTGAGTTTTATGTATTATTCAAACAAGTTCCAAATACATATATAAACTCGCAAAAAAATATACCTGACAGTGTAGTCAAACAAACCTTTGTAAAATGTTGGTGATAGCGATTTTGGGGAATTTTATTTTGGCGGTTATGTGCGCCCCGTTGGAGGAGGAGATGCGCGCGCTGGACATCTCCCATTTGGGGGAGAGGGTGTTCAAGAAGCCTCTCAACTCGACGGGGAAAATTTTGGAGGCTTGGGATCCCACTTCTGAAGTCAACCCCGAAGAGTTGGGGGAGTATGCGGAAGGGGATATCCGGTTTCCGGTTTTGAGCAGGAACGGTTTGGTCGGGCAGAGTTTTCGCTGGAAGAACGGGGTCATTCCGTACGAGATAAACGGGAGGTTTTCAGGGAATGATATTGCCACCATCAAGAGGGCTATGGGAATATACCATAAGTATACTTGTATAAGGTGAGCGGTATTTTGTTTATATATATATATATTAGGGTGTCCCTTATTTTTATTGCTTGTTTTGACTTATCCCCTTATGCCTTTTACCCACAGATGTATTTTACGAAAAAAATTTTAAAATAAAAATTAAATGATTCAATTGCGCACCATGGTCACTTATCACCTGCCAGCATTAAATCCTTTAATTTAAAGGATTATTGTTCTATTTTTTAATAAAAATACCTCATTTAAGATAAAAAAAAACATTATTTTGTCAATTAATTAATTTAATCCTAATTGAGGTATAAAGAAACCATTTATAGTTTAGCATTATTTAATCAATTTAGTTCGAAAATTAATTTGCAAACAATTCGTTAAGCAGTTATTCATAACGGATTTTTTATCGTGGAAGAAAAAATAGAAATGATTTTGATTTACGGAGAAGCAGGAATCTTGATAATGCTGTTAATATCTACGATCAGCGTTTTTCGCATGGAGCCTACACAAGGAGCCCGAACTTCATGTAAACAAGAATCTTCCTAAGATAAGAGGGCGCTGGTGTACTACCGGCCCAAAACAGTAGAGGGGTATAACCAGAGATGGCGCCACTACCTACCACTTATTATTGTGCAAATAATTGAGGTTATGCAACTGTCAGTTTATCGCTTTCTGAAAACAATGTACCCATGTACCTGGTTTTGTTTATAAAGGTCTTAATTTACAATAAATTTATATCAAATTTAACATTGGACTTTCTGATGTAGAGCATAGTACAGTTTTTTATAAATACGTGTTTTGTTCTATAAAAGAATGTCGTGTGGTGTTAAAGCGTGTAAAACTTACAGAATATTAAATCCATATGGTATTTATTTTTAGTTTTATAGGTAGATGGCCTAAATAAAAGTTCAATATAAACAAATAAAGGTGGAAATTATTAAATAGCGGTGTATTTCTAACCTGGAAATCTAATTTTGCTTCTCCAGAGTCGTAAAATCACTTCGCAGATTATAAAGAATCACTTATATTTCACAACCAAAACCTATTCATTAGCATGTAACTATCAGGTACAGCCATAAATAACAAAACGATTCGTACGTCAAAATATTATTGCAAATCAATTGTCAAAACTTACTTGCTTACTTCACATGTATTTTCGATACTATTTTCACGTCATACGGACGCATCGACAATCAGCGCCGCTGGTGGTGAAAAAAAAGACTTAATTTGTGCAATTTAGTGGACATCATTTATTTTTTATTTTAAACATTTTGTTTGTACCTATGTTCCCTTGCTCAGTTTTCGCCCGAGACAGAGCAGCGACAAGGACTACATATCGATAGTGAGCGGAACTACAGGGTGTTGGTCGAGCGTTGGCCGCATCAGCGGCAAACAAGAAATCAACCTGCAAAGCCCGCAGTGTCTCACCAAAGTTGGCACCCCTTTGCACGAACTGATGCACGCGGTGGGTTTTTTGCACGAACAAAACCGACACGAGAGAGACGGTTACATCTCCATCGCATGGCAAAATATACTGAGAGGTGATCGATTTAGTTTTCCAGAAGAAACAATAAAAATTAACAGGTGTTTTATAGGGCACACGAATAATTTCGACAAGGCTTCCAAAGACGAAACCAACGGTTTTAGTGTTCCATACGATTTTAGATCAGTTATGCACTACTCAAAAACCGCATTCTCCACAAATGGACAACCAACAATTATACCCAGGGTAAAACATTTTTTATATGCATTATGCGACGTAGGATGAAAAAAATCATTCCATAAAACTCAGCTTACATTCAACATTCCACATATGCGCTAAAGAAGTATCGGGTTATTTGTGTTTTACGTTGCAAGGAAAAAACTAAAAAACTGGTTTACTACTCGATTTCGATTGATTATTCTTTATATCATTGATTAAGAAACTCAACGCTTAAATGCTTATATAGGTACGTTAGTGTGGGTATTTTATCTAAGGGATCATGGTGAATTATTGCGTTTCTAATTGTAAATAAAATTCAAGAACTAAATCCTTGCATTTTCATGTTTTGCCAAAGGATCCAATTCGGTAAGTACATTTGTTGGTGCAGAATTAACTAATGATAACTTTACCTAATATAATTTATATTTAAGTTAGGATATTTTTATGAAATTAGTAAAAAATAATTTTTGCACAAACATAACCTTAAAATCAACCATTATTTTTATATTTGAGTTCTCTAAAAACGCCGACAACTGCATTTTAAACAACAAAATGTACCAACGAATTCATGGCAAAGAATTCTTAATCAACGCTTTTAATAATGCTAAATGCTCTTTAAATTTAGACGACTAATTTGTTTGACGATTATTACCGAATTGAAATGTTTACACTTTTCACGTTAATCACTACTAAAATGTGTATTTATTGTATCTAATAGATACAATTTATATTTACAGGGACTGTATGAAATTTATTTTCGGATTAACACGGTTTATTGGAAAACCGATAAAAACTCAACCCAGGATTTCCTCTCGAAATACACCCAACAACACAACAAATACTAGCAATACTTCTTTAGCCTATATGATGGAAATTGTTACAGTTCTTGGTAAACAATACGCAAATTAATGATAGTTTTTTTATAACACATCAGAATTACGCCTTAAAAAGCAAATTTAACGGCGGTAACTTCCCAAAAATACAACTTCCAATAAATATTCAACATATACTGTATTTATCCATTGAAAATCCACAAATATTGTATTACATAAAACATTTCATGAATTCTGCAAAAATTTTAATCTAAATTTTATAGGTTAGCTTCGTTTTCCTTTTGTCCGAGGTCGTACCTGTACTTGTCAAATGTATGTAAATGCTTAGATCCGACCCCTGAGCGAGAAGCGAGTAACCCTGTCTATATCCCTTTGAATGTCTCTAAATTATCCAAAGCTTTTGTTGTGCATTAGGTTCATTGATAAAGTCAAATTAAGGAAATTGTAAAAGTTAATATTAAACAAGTCGTGGCTGTATAATCACAGGATTAAAGCCAATTAAATTAATAAAAAAAAAAAAAAAAAAAAACGGCGGTAACTTTGCAATTCAAAGTTGGTAATGCTGGTTTTTTAGGAGTCTGCAATGGGTTCGAAAATGGGACAAAGAGATGGGTTTAGTAGAGGTGACATCACGAAAATAAACAACATGTATGGATGCCCGGAAAAAACACCGGGGTATAAGGAACCAAATTTAACTGGCCCCCCCAATGGGGAAACGGGGGGGAATAACATCGCGGAAAATATTATTGGGGGTATTTTATCGATTTTCACCGGAAGGGATGAAGAAAATTAATCGATTTAATGTTCAGTATTAATAGATTAGGTTTAGGTGTAAATGTATTTATTGAAATAAAAAATCTATAAGTATTTTATAACTCCTTTATTCCTTGTAAAAAAATACACAAATAATACTAGCGCATTACACAACAATAAAAAAATTACCTCTATATAAAATTTAACGGATAACGAACACTTACAATAACGAAAAGAGTGCGTAGATTACCGGTAAAACATAGGCGGCCTTGGTCATTGTAAGTCCAAAAACGCACGCTACGATAAACCAGATTAAAGAGTAAATCAAGGCTTGCACGAACAAATGGGCAATATATAATCTAAAAAAAAAAAAAAAAATACTGGATTAGAAAATAGTCCGTTATTAATAAACTTACATTCTGTCGTGGGACTTGGCAGCCGCCAGTGTTTTCATGGGCTCGTTGTTGAGATAGATTCTGCTGCCGATCACCATGCCGACGAAAAAATCGGGCCACTTCAACGCCGACAAATCGGTGTTAAAGTCGGCCTGGTCTTTTTCCGTCAGCCATTTCTGAAGTTTCTCCGTGTTCGGTGCTGGGAACTTCCATTCGGTGAAAATGAACTTCTCCAACCTGTCTAGGGAAGTGTTGATGTTCCTGTGCAGTCTCATCAAGCTAAAATATTTTATTTCTTAGCTTAAAATCAAGTACAGTTGAAGCAAGATGATTGTCAAGGCTAAAACTAACATTAAACTAAATATTAATCTTTCTTTAAACAAGCAGATGGAAAATTCCCTCTATTCTGTTCTTAAAGACATAAAACTATACTGGATACAAATATAATTATATTTACTCCAAGATTAGTAAATTAGTCAATATTGCATTTAAACTAATATGATAGTTTTCTTGAAGTAAGAATAAGTTTACCCTTGCACCTAACATTGAAATGATATCCAAATAAGTATAGGTTAGTTGCTTACATGGGTCTTCCACCTGTGAGACTCAAGACTTGGTCCAGAATTAGAGCCGGCAGAATGTGGACAAAGATGGCGGATATCTTGAACCACATTATAGATGGCAGCAGCTTAAGGTGGGGGTACCACACGGCTGACTTGACCGGGTAGTCGTGTAACAAACCGTTGATTCTGTCTTCGACAGAAGCCCAGCAAAACGGATTGCGCGTGCTGGAGGTCGCGTGGTAAACCTCCACCTTTTTGGAGTTTGAAACGCCTAAAATTTTTAATTTGACAAAAACGTTTCTTTTTTATTTAAAAACGTTATTTTACCTGCGTGAAACCCAGCAGTCAGTAGAGTATTGACGACGATGTCCACTGGCACGTAGTCGTAGACCAAATCTTTACCCACGGGAAGTCTACGCACCACACCTTTAGCGGCTCCCATGAAAAAACCTGGAGGACCGTTCTTGCTCATGGTCCAGCCTGGAATTGGGTCCTTCCAACACCCCAAAACTAAAAAAATTTAGGTCTTGAAACCTGAACACTCCAGATGCATAGCAAGCAGATTGCCGGCGTAGGCGACGATTCAGTTATGTTTTGCATTTGCTAGTGTGTATTTCGAGCGTTTTAACATAAATTAATTTCTTTTATTTAAAATTACAAGTAATAATGTCCTACACATTGCAAGAGAAAATTGACGTGATAAGCCGGTCTTCAGTGGGCAATTCTCTACGTCAAACAAGAGACCTATTCTCAATTGAATATCTATTCCTTCAATTGGAACAATAACAAGCCTTATCCAAAGGTTTAAAACAAACGGTTGTATTTTGGGGTGTAAATGTCACAGTACTCCCAGAATTGATGTAGATGCGGAGATAAAAGAAATAATGGTTTGTGCAATGGTGGAAGAAAATTCAAAGACATCAATTCCTAAAATAGCCGAAGAGACTGGCATTAGTGCGAGTAAAGTCCACAAAATATTAAAAATAAATAAATATCGTTCCTATAAATACCAAGTACATCAGGAAATTTTTCAAGACGACGAGTACCGGGGAATGAAATTTTGTGAAAATATGATGGAACGCGCAAATGAAGATTAAAAACAGTATTTACCGACGAATTCACATTTCCATTAATGGAAAGCACAATCCTGCTATTGCCCGGGACTGGTCTATTGAAAATGAGTACAGGCAACTAAACTTAAAGACTCAGTATCCTGAAAAGTTGAACGTGTGGTCTGGTATTTATGCGAATAATATTATTGGTCCCTTTGTAATTGGTGGCAATTTAAATGGAGCGGGATATTTGGATCTTCTTCAAAATAGAATCCAAAACATAACCCCAACTTTGGATAACGTTTGGTATCAACAGGACGGTTGTCCATCACATAACACAAGAATAGCGATGGAGTATTTACAAGAGATTTTTCCCCAAAGGATAATTTCTACCAGGGGCGCTATTCGCTGGCCAGCAAGGTCGCCAGACTTGGCTCCTAACGATTTTTTCCTATGGGGATGTGTAAAATCTACCTTGTACCGCCATGAAAAAATGAATAATTTGGGCGAATTAGAGGCAAGAATGCATACAGCGTTTGAGACAATTACTCCAGATATGCTAGCTAATGTTCGCACCGAATTTTATGACGGACTGGGCTTTTGTTTGACGCAATTTGGGGGAACGTATTGATTTATTTATTTCTTTTTTTTTTTTAAACAGAATGCGGCCTGTCTAGAGGAAAAACGAAAATACGGTATATATACTGTACTTACTCATACTGGGCCTGACGATAGCGCAAGGCACCGTGGTCTCCACTTTTTGGACTTCATGCTCAGCCATGTGTTTGGTGATGGTGTAAGTATTTGGGTGATCACCGAGTATGGCTGGCGTTTGAGAATCCAACTCTTCTTCAGAGAGCTCCTTGGCTTGTTTGATCAACTTTTCCGCATCGTAGTTGAGGGGGTAGATTATCTGTAAAAAAAATATGCAATCGCATCGCGTATATTTCGTTGTATTTTTTTACCTCATCCGCTTCTAGTCTCCACGAGTTAACATAGGCACTGCTGACGTGCACTAAGACGTTGAGTTTCTTGCATTCTTTTGCCAGTTCGGCGATGGCTCTGGTTCCCAGTAAGTTTATATGCACCGTGGATTTCAGGGGTTCCCCGAAGTCAAGGGTAGCCGCCGAATGGAATATGACGTTTACGTTGTCAATCAGCAGCTTGCGGTCGGCCGGGGAAAGACCGAGGCCTTCTTGACCTACGTCTCCAGCGATTGCTTTCACGTTGGCGAATATCTAAAGATTAATGGTTTAAATACATTGTATTGCACCAAAGAATATATTACATATATATTAGTGTGTGTATTTTATCAAAGGGATCATGGTGAATTATTGCGTTTTTAATTGCAAATAAAATTCAAGAACTAAATCGTTGCATTTTCATGTTTTGCCAAAGGATCCAATTCGGTAAGTACATTTGTTGGTGCAGAATTAACTAATGATAAATTTACCTAATATAATTTATATTTAAGTTTGGACATTTTTAAGAAATTAGTAAAAAATAATTTTTGCTGAAACATAACCTTAAAATCAACCATTTTTATGTTTGAGTTCTCTCAAAAACGTCGACAACTGCATTTTAAACAACAAAATATACCTACGAATTCATGGCAACATAATATATATAATACATAATATAATGGTATTTTACCGTTGAGTGAAGACTTTAATCAACGCTAAATGCTGTTTAAATTTAGACGACCTATTTGTTTGACGATTATTACTGAATTGAAATGTTTACACTTTTCACGTTAATCACTACTAAAATTTGTATTTATTGTATCTAATAGGTACAATTTGTATTTACAGAGACTGTATGCAATTTATTTCTTCATTCGGATTAACACTGTTTATTGGAAAACCGATAAAAACTCAACCCAGGATTTCCTCTCGAAATACACCCAACAACAAAACAAATCGTTTGTAACATATGCTAGCCGAGTGGTGGTGCTACTAGCGATACTTTTTTAGCGTATGATTAAGCAAATTAAAAATATGTTTTTAGGAAAAAAACAAATTTTAAAATATCTGCTATAATATTATTAATTCGAAGAATAAAAATTCTTGTGATATTTTTTATCTAATTGAAAATATCACTCTTTAGAGTTAACACATAAAATTAATTCCTGGATAAAAAATAAGTAAATTAACACAACTATGCGATTGAAAATTGCATAATTATTACATTACTTCAAATAGTTTTTACAACAATAACGATAACATGAAAATAATATAAGAAGGTTACAAAGTGAACATAGAACCTTTTGTTAAAATGAATCAAAATAAATTAAAGGAGTGTAAGGAAAGTGATGTCATTCAAAATGAAGAAAATACCTTTACATTCGAGATTGATGAGACCACATTGGAGAAAAATGAAAATACAAGACCCATTTTATTTTACGTTACAATATTCACAGGTAGGTAATTTATTCTGTATTACTTGTTGATCAACGCATTTATTTTTAGTGCAGTTGCTGGCATTCTGCGCCGGTTGTCCTATATCGTGGACCTCGCCAGTGCTACCAATGTTGGAGGCACGCGGAGAAAAAGACGGCAACCCTTTAAACGAACCGATAAACGCCCTGCAGGCTTCATTAGTCGCGGGGTTTCTCCACGTGGGCTCCGCCATCGGTCCTCTGATATCGGGTTATATTGCCAACAAGTTTGGAAGAAAAATAACATTGCTGTGCATCGCGATACCTCTGATGATCTCGTACGTCGCGTTGGCGTTTGCAAGGCACCTAAACATTTTTTATGCGGCCAGAATAGCGGCTGGGTTGAGTTTCGGTGGGTTTCTGCAAATCGCGCCTATATACCTCAGCGAGATATCGAGGAAATCCAACAGAGGCAAGCTGAATTGCTTAACGTTCTTCTCCTTCTCCCTTGGGATGCTTTCCGCCTACACTATAGGCCCCTATGTATCCATCAAATGGTACTGTATGTTCTACACCGCGCCTTTGTCGGTGTTTTTCGTTTTGTACCGGTTTATACCCGAGAGTCCTTTCTATTGGGCGAGCAAAGGCGATTTGCACCGATCTAAAGTAACCTTGATGAAACTGCGTGGCAGAAGAGCATCGGTGATTGAGGAGGAATTAGTGGAAATGAGGGAATTTTCCCAGGAAGACGACCACAAAGCGATTGTTGGATCGAGAGCCTTCACCATTTGCTTCGTCCTCGTCACAGTGCAAGTTTTGTCCGGGATAGTGGCGATATTGGCCTTCATGCAGACCATTTTTGACGCCGCTGGTGGCACCATGCCTCCGAGTGTCTCACCGGTTATCGTAGGCACGATAAAATGCATTTTTACGGTTTTTTCGTCGTATATTGTGGACACCAACGGCAGGAAAATAGTACTTATAGTCTCTCTCATCGGGTGTTCCATATCGCTCTACCTCCTGGGCGGATTTTACTTCCTACAGAGCACAGAACATCATTCAAGTTACATCTCCTGGCTACCCGTGGCAAGTTTAGTGGGCTACGTAGCCTTTTTCAGCATAGGACTATCGCCCATTCCGTTCATTCTCATCGGGGAAATGTTTCCGTTGAAAGTTAAATCCGCCGTTTCGGGCTACTTGAACTCTTTTCACTTCTTAGTAGCTCTGGTGGAGAGCGTGCTGTTCGCTAATGTTGCCGATTCGTTCGGGATGGCGCCGTTGTTTTGGCTGTTCGGCGCTTTTTGCACTGTCGGGGTGTTTTTCGTGCACTTTTACGTAATCGAAACCAAAGGCAAGTCCTTTCACGAAATACAAATTTTGCTGAATAATAACTAACATTTTACAATGTAAGAATATACTTATTATTTTTTTTTGTATTATTAACTAAGATGCCTTATTAAATCTAATCAATTACGTGTTGTTTGTGCTATACCTGTAGACTAAACCAGTATATAGCTTTCCTATATGCGATAATTAAAAAGTGAAAACAAGTATTTATAACTTTAAAATTACGAAAAAACATCGACTTATCATTATCATATGCAAGTTTGGATAAAATTAACATTAAAAACACATACCGATTCTGCACTCCTTTCCTTCAACAAAGGCTCAAATATTTTATTTTTCTTAATTTCCTCCAGCCTTTCGCTGATTTCCTTCCCCTTTTTGGGCCTCATCAGAACGTAGATGCTTCCGCATTCCGGAAGGTTGCGGAGGATTTTCTCCAAAAGGCACACCCCCAAAAATCCCGTGCCACCAGTGAGAAATATGTTCTTGCCAGTGTAAAAACCTTTGACGCCTTGCGCCGAAGACATTTTCCTGCAAAAAGATATCCAAATAAACAATTTGTACTACTTATGGTAACGATAAATTATATAAAGGTTATATAAGAGTTGTCAAATTATATAAGGTTTTTTAAAATCGCCATTTAGTCTTATTGTTAACAAGTAATGAATAAGATGACAATAAGAAAGAGAAATATTAAAAGAATATTTATCACCTGATTTAAGAGCGTTTTTATATTGTTGAACACAATTCCGCGCGCGGTCCCAATTGTAACTAATAAATAAAAACGAAAAACCTAAAATGTGAGAAAGGTAAAGAAAAATAATGTTTAACTTCATATTTATTATTTGCGTATTCTTATCACAAAAAAGTAACAATTATGGAACATAGCTATCAGTAAAAACTTTTTTATTGGTCAAGGCAATATTCATACATCTAGTGTAAGGTTTTATGTATAAATCATCGTAATAGAAGTCCCAAAATTGGAAAATATATTGCTTCGCCTTTTCAGGGTCGTAGTTAACTTCAGCAAAATGGTCCTCGAATAAATATTTGTACAATGAAACACTCGCATAGGTTTTTCCCCAACGTTTCCACGTACATCTGAAATGGTATTTTTTCAATCTTTCAACATACACCTCCCTGGGGTCACCCTGTATAACGCCTTTAAAGTGTATCGAATCGTACATATACAGTAACCATCCTTCAAATGAACTAAATAAAGAAATAACATTATAAGTTATAACCTGAAGATAACTTCAGCCCGTGAGGGAAATGCCATTTCGCTCACGGGTTGAATGAAATAATAAAATATTTTTACTATAACATTGTATGTACAAAATCTTACTTATAGTCATATTTCCTGCTTTCTATTAATCTTTCAATTTTTTGCCGAGGTGATTCGCAATTTGTTATAGCAATTAAACCTGAAAAATACTCAAAAACTTAAATTATTGTGCCTATAAAAATTATGAATACCCATACACAGTAACAAAACAAAAATATTTGACATGTTGCTTGAACAAGGCAAACCTTCATTAATAAAATATCTTGGTGAAAAAATAATAAAATGGTACTTAATGAACCCATTTCTAATCACCAATTTTTTTTAATTTTAATGATGAACAAAAATTTTGTAAATTAGAAACTCATTGCCAATTTGAAATCCAAAATTTAATTCAATAAAAAAAGTTGTTATAAAAATAATTTGAAATAAAATGTACTTAGTTAACAAACTTTTGACTCTAATTTTTTATTTTATTTTTTATTAAAAATTGTATGCTTTTTTTTTAAATATGTATGTTCGTTAAGTTACTTTTAAAAGAAACCATTCCAAACCTTTGTTAAAAAAACAATACCATTAATATTTTCTTTTAGTCACTGTATTAGTGAATTTATAAACACGCATTACCAAGTGATAGTGTATGAAAATAATTTTAAGTATTTTTTTTAACAAAAACTAAAAAAAGTAACGAAATAGACATTGGCGCCACAACGGACAAGGGTACACAAAGGTCTTAATCAGATAACGTAAAAAAGAAACTATACAGGGTGGTACGATTTTAGAGTAATGCATAAACAAAATCCCTTGTAGTGGTGCTCACTTGCAGAATAACAACTTAGGTTTCTAAATTGTAGCCACAATTTTTCTTTGACTATAAGCTGGTGAAGGTCCCTTTTAGTACTTTTATATTGCGTGGAATTTTTCCTTGGATGTAATCCATATCATGAGTTGTAATTACAAATAATTTTAAATTGGTTAATCATAAACTACTTTTAATAAAAGCGACGGTAAATATCCACTTTGTTGTCGAAAAATTCTATTGCGTTACCCTAAATTCCATTGCGTTACCATAAGGTAACATAGTGGACTCGGTAACGCAGTGGACAAAGTTTTGTAAAACCATATTTAAAAAATAATAATAAGACATTATAGTCATTAATTACTCTCAATGAGCTTTAGTGCCCTAAAATAAACATAAACATAAAAAATAATATTTTTTTTTTATTTTTATTATTTTTTTGAGTAACTTAGCGGACAAACAATTATTACATTCGCGTTACCCGCACCTGTTTCAACCGATATCTTCTTCCTGATTGAATAAATAAATTCAGCTGGGTAATGTGTACGTCCGAACATTTGTTGATCACGTGAGTGCCAAAAAAGTTGCCTATATATGTTTTTTTAAATATTCTATCGGTAACGCGACGGACGTAACGCAACGGAAAAACAAACAAAATTTATTGCCAGAAAAGTATATACACTTAAATGACCCTAAACTTTGTACTATTTTCATACAAATACAAGTTCTTCTTGTCTATTTGATGATGTAACATTTATGTAAACCATAAAAAAAAGAAATAAATAAAAACGAAAAACCTAAAATGTGAGAAAGGTAAAGAAAAATAATCTTTAACTTCATATTATTATTATTTGCGTATTCTTATCACAAGACATGTAACAATTATGGAACATAGCCCTCATCAAAAACTTGTTTATTGGTAAGGGCGGTATTCATACATTTAGTGTAAATTCTGACGGGACGAAAATTTGAATTTAAACCCCAAAATTGAAAAATATATTCTTTGGCCTTGTCTGGGTCAAAGTTAACTTCAGCAAAATGCTCCTCAAATAAATATTTGTACAATGAAGCACGTGCATAGCTTTTTCCCCAACTGTCTGATTCACATCTGAAATGGTATTTTTTCAATCTTTCAACATACACCTTCCTGGGGTCACCGTTTATATCGCCTTTGAAGTGTATCGAATCGTACATATACAGCAGCCATCCTTGAAATGAACTAAATAAAGAAATAACATTATAAGTTTTGATATGTTTCATTCACTTCTGGTACAGATAGTCTCAAACAATGTTTTATTATTATTCAACCTCGCTTTTTATCCAATTTTATCCTGAAGCTAACTTCAGCCCCTGAGGGAAATGCCATTTCGCTCACAGGTTGAATGAAATAATAATAGTATATTACACTACTAGGGCAGAAAGTGTGAGATTCCTGCACTGCGGGCCATGCATGGCCATCATGATATCATGGCGCGCAGTTCAGGGCTCTCACACTTTCTGCCCGTGTAGTGTATACTATTTTTCTTGCTACCCCGCAGAAAATACGGGAAAAAATTAAATGTATATGTATAAAAAAACTTGTGTCAAAATTAAAATCTGACGTTTAATTTAATTCTGACGTTTACATTCAAAATCAATCAAACTGTAGCGTTGTCATGGTAATTCAGCGGTGCCAATACAGTAAAAATAAAAGGTTGTATTTTAATTAACAAATAACTACTTTATAACAAATAAAAGTACCATTAAACACTTAAAACAACATAAAAAGTAAAAAAGTAAAAACATAAATTGTTTATTTGTTGTTATAATTGCAAAATTATGGTTTAAAACTGTCATATTTTTGTGTTTCTCATGTTGGCAGTACGAAATTTGAATGTTAAGCACACGACTAAAAAATTTTTACTCCCGCTATTAGAGTGTGCGCGTATAGCTTGACCAATGGAAGAAACGTAAACTTTCTGCCGTGAAATCGGGGACGAAACAACGTATTTTGAGTCGAGGTAGTAAGAATAGTATATTACACTACAAGGGCAGAAAGTGTGAGATTCCTGCACTGCGCGCCATGATGCCCGAGGCGAAGCCGAGGGCATCATGGCGCGCAGTTCAGGACTCTCACACTTTCTGCCCGTGTAGTGTATAATATTTTTCTTACTACCCTGCAGAAAATACGGGAAAAAATTAAATGTATATAAAAAAATTGTGTCAAAATTAAAATCTGACGTTTAATTTAATTCTGACGTTTACATTCAAAATCAATTAAACTGTAGCGTTGTCATGGTAATTCAGCGGTGCCAATACAGTAAAAATAAAAGGTTGTATATTAATTAACAAATTACTACTTTATAATAAATAAAAGTACCATTAAACACTTAAAACAACATAAAAAGTAAAAAAGTAAAAACATAAATTGTTTATTTGTTGTTATAATTGCAAAATTATGGTTTAAAACTGTCATATTTTTGTGTTTCTCATGTTGGCAGTACGAAATTTAAATGTTAAGCACGCGACTAAAAAATTTTTACTCCCGCTATAGAGTGTGCGCGTATAGCTTGACCAATGCAAGAAACGTAAACTTTCTGCCGTGAAATCGGGGACGAAACAACGTATTTTGAGTCGAGGTAGTAAGAAAAATATTTTTACTATAACATTGTATGTACAAAATCTTACTGTAAGTCATATTTCCTGCTTTCTATTAATCTTTCAATTTTTTGCTGAGGTGATTCGCAATTTGTTATAGCAATCAAACCTGAAAAATACTCAAAAACTTCAATTATTGTGCCTATAAAAATTATTAATACACATACACAGTAACAAAACAAAAATATTTGACATGTTGCTTGAACAAGGCAAACTTTCTGATTAGCTGCAAAACCTTCATTAATATATAATATCTTAAAAGTAAAAAAAAACAATAAAATGGTACTTAATAAACCCATTACTAATTACCCATTTTTTTTAAATTTTAATGATGAACAAAAATGTTGTAAATTAGAAACTCATTGCCATTTTTTCTACCTACTTATTATCTAAAAGATATTTAAATTAAATATTATTTTAACGATTGTATGACATTTGACAACTGTCAACTAACTTGTTACTTACTTCAGCCCGTGACTAAAGCGCCATAAAGTCATGGCTGGTCAATGTGTATGTAAAATATCACGTAGTGTCATGGAAACATGTAGGTGCGTTTTAAAGATGGGAGTAGAAAATAGCGAGTTTTTTTATGGACCAGTGCGACAAAAGGTCTTATGACATGAGCTCTTTATGCTATTTTATCTATTTTGCAAAAATTCTTTAAAAAAAATTAATTTTTTACCTTAAATTTAAGCAATAAGCGGCTGTTAATATTTAAGAAGAAAAAAAGGATTTTCTTGTCTCGTGAGTACTAGAAAAATCATAAAAATATTATAACCAATATGCAAAATAGTATGCTGTTTAAAGTATAGCCAACCTATAAAATCAAAATTATGGGTGGGATAAAGTATTTCATTACAGCACTGAAAGCGATGGTATAATGAAGTCATTATGAACGCAAAATAGATAAAAATAGTTATGACTTTAGTTAGTTTAAGTGTAATGGTAATATTAATACATAATTAATACATACTTAACTTGTTTGTTGAATATCCAATGTCCACTCAGTTAACTATTAATGCAGTAATTAAACCTCAGTAGTTTAATACGTATACTTTTAATTATTTTATTACCTGGTTATAGACAACTTCAAAGTCATTGTAAATAGTTTTTTATTAGTTCATTAGCACATCAAATTAATAAATTTAATATAAAAATAAAATAATATATCCTGTACCTACCTTCACATAAAATTAATGAGGTATTTATTAAATTATAATTATGTTTAAATGATTAGGTAGGTAAATCCTTTTAAACATTTTTTTTAAGAGAGAAAGAAGAATTAAGGGATTACTATTTTAAAAATAATCATTATTCAAGGTCTTCAAATTATGTAAATTATAAAAAGTATATATAAATGACCCTAAACTTTGTACTGTTTTCATACAAATACAAGTTCTTCTTGTTTATTTGTTTTGTTACCAACAGCTAATATTTTTTATTTGGTAGTAGGTACTATCGCTAACAAAAAAAACTCATACAGCTATATTGTGGCTGTGTGAATAAAACTTTTCCGTCAATGTCAAGCTGTCATCGAGCTTTGTCACATCCATTATGACTTTTTTAACATTTTCAACCAAACAATGCAGACGAACTCTGGCAAGCCATTGAAGCCATTTGGAACTAGATAAAGCAAGACAGCGACTTCCATGCTTTGCCGTTTGCGGGCAGTAATTGACAAAAACAGAGGGATGACGAAATATTATTTTTTTTTTCAAACTTCAACCTAACTTTGTATTTAATTTTAGACCTTTCAAATGTGACGTATCATGTTAAAAGCCATAATTACTCCAACGAAATTATAGAAAATCAGGAACACTAGATTTTTAAGCTGTATGAGTTTTTTTGTTAGCGATAGTATATATACTAAATCCTTTTTCTATGAGTATACCTATCTCCAAACTATTTTTAGAATAACATGACATTTTTAAATTGTATTTATCTTCCAAAGTAAGGTGTTTGTAAGGTTAGTTTTGGACACCCTGTATCTGACAAACTAATGTGTCAGCTTGACATATCCATGTAGCTGTCAGATTTGACGTTTATACGTTTTGAGGTTAAATTTAAACCAATTATTAAACTATTTTCGACATTAATGTACATATAAATTAAAGTAAAAGTTTTCAAATGTTAAAATTATACACCATTAACATGCATGTAATTATAAAGCAATAATTATTCATAAAAACATACCACCGGCGAATACATATTTCTAGTATAGGTTATAAAACTCACCTTTAATTTTCCTAAAACTTCTTTTGACCACTAAAATGTATCCTGAATGCAACACGGCACAAAACAGGTGCAAACTGAATTAAATTAAATATCGAACTGAATTTCCTTTTTAACAAATTACAATTTTTATGAACTAACCAGTTAGGAAGGCAGTTTTGAGCCACTGGACGTACGGGGAGTCATCAAAATGTGTGACCACATAAAAATGTGAATATTGTTATATAAAAAGTTTCGTATTTTGTGGTTTATTTAATTTTTGATAAAAAATATAACTTTGCTACAAAAACTTTGGATGCTATAAATTAATTAGCTTATTACTGCAGTGAAAATAAGTATTGACTATGCTCTACTTTCAAATGAATTAATTATGAAAATTAGTGATGTAACCAAGAAGATTATCTTCTTAGTTGTGTCAAATTTACACGGAATACTATAAATAATTTAGTTTTTCACATATTTTGTAAATTTAAACATTGAAATTCAAACAAAACTTCTGCAACCCAGTACACGTCATTTCCGAACACGTCCACCTTGATATCAGCCAACCACGTGCTGTCATATGCGCAAAGCCGATTTGATTTGGCAGTCCTTGAGTTTATTTCCACCTTTTCGGTGCAGCTGCCATATTCTTTGGGGTAAGTCTACTTGATTGCCGCTTTAATTAACGATTTTTACCTAAATTAAACTAAAATAAATGATTATGAAGTGCTAGATCGCTTCCAAATGTGATATTCCTGCCTCGGTTTAAATAATGGCCGGCGATTTATCGATTTAGGGAAATTTTCCGCTTATGTAATGTGGCAATGAGATTTTCGGTTTTTTGGATCTTTTGGGGTATAATTAGAGGGTTTTTAGTGTTTTTTGACCGCTGAGGCATAAAACAAAGTTACCGTGGGGTCTTTCAGGGGTGGATTATGTAATTTTATGGAATAAATCGATTAATTTATAGGTTTTCTTGCAAGTCTAGTAAAAAACGTTATATAAGCAGTAGGCGCCGACTAATCTTATTGGTCCGCCGCGTATATTGACGTACGTCAATGTCATATGTCAAATTGTTATGTCAATGTCATTGATAATTGGCACAGAAACAATGGCAAAATCAAAGTTCTATTAATAATAATAAATTATTTTAGAGCCGAATTTAAAACACACAAGATGTTCTCCTCATTGATATCGAAAGCCATGTGCACCCCAAATGAGCTGTGCACGAAGAATGAACAGCCGCAAGTCAAATCAATGGGGTTGGTGCAGTCGATGACGGCTGGTAGAACTATTGCAGCTGCTGCAGTGGCGGAAGGAGACTCCTGTGAGTTCGGCTCGGGCAAATACTTTGCCCTGTGTGGTTTGGGTGGTATCTTGTCTTGCGGTATCACCCACACTGCCGTCGTGCCCTTGGATTTGGTCAAGTGCCGGATGCAGGTGGACTCCGTCAAATACAAGGGGCTGTTCCAGGGATTCGGGGTAACCTTGAAAGAGGATGGAGTTAAGGGTTTGGCTAAGGGGTGGGCGCCAACTTTCTTTGGTTACTCCGCTCAAGGGCTGTGCAAGTTTGGTCTCTATGAAGTATTCAAGGTTAGTGGAATTTTTTTTTATTTTAGATGCTTTCCCTCCTTTTTTAAAGAAAATAATATCTTGTTTCCTATTGGTTACTTTTTATATAGCATTCTTAGTTTTAATCAATATTTGTGGGTCAAAATATAAAATATAAAATTTAAAGCTTACTTAATTTTATTTAATAGATATTTATAATTTGTGGTATAAAATGTTATCTGTGACATTTATTTAACCTCAAGTATTAAATTAGATTTAAAATTAAAAAAATTGCACTATTGCAATAAAATTATTTATTGAAAAATTATTAGAAAAACATCATTTTAAAATTAAATTTAATTTTTATATCAAACAGTGTAATTAATGTAATATATTAAAATACTGAATACCTTTTGACATAAGGTGTAAAATATTTAAAAAAATATTTTTCCAAAGTTAAAGGAAAAATATGCATTAGAAGTTTTTTATATACTTTTTTTGTTGTTACTAACAATTTTTCTTGCAAAAAATTAAAAAAAAACTCAATAAATACAAAAGTTTTATGCCCTTAGAGCTCTAATACCCTTCTGTATTTATTTACTCATCCAGCTATTAGCTTAAGCAATGATTAGAAAATTTAGTACCTATTTTGAAACAACATAACCACAAAATTAATTTTTTCATCGGTTTTTTCTTTCTGTCTACTCAGATGAAATTAGGACAAGTTCACAGGTTAAACTTTAAACATTCAATTTGTGTAAATAAATCCAAAAGCACTTCCCTTAGTTAAGATATTTACAATTTGGGCCCATAACCTAAAATTTGAAAGAAATGCACCATATTCTGTCATAAGTTGCCAGATTTTGTTTGAATTTACCTTCATTACAAAAATGATATAATCAACGATTAATAAAAACGCCAAATTATCAATTTTTATTGTTGATTTTGTCATTTTTGTAATTAAGCTAAATTTAAATAAAATCTGGCACCTTTTTTTACAAAATCTGGAAACGCTGGTTGTTGCCAACCATAACATAATAAATTAAATTAGGCAACCAGATTAGCCTAGTCGACCCTAAGGAACTACCCATTTTAATATATTACATTAATTACATAATATTATGGTTATAAATATTCGAAAATTGTATTGCTATATAAACTTTTTTTCATAAAATAAGTTTTGTATGTTTGAAAATAGCAATAAAGTACATAAGAATTTTAAATTTAAGAACATAATTTTAGCAACTTTATTCTAAAATACGCTGTGAATGGTTTTATAAGGTTTGAACTGTCAACAAAATAGGTCATGTTCGTATTTTTATTTATTTTTGCATATACCTTATTTGTAAGTCTTGACACGCCTGTTACACCAACGGTTATAGCGTTCTCAAAATAAGGCAATAAAAAATGTGTGGAATATTAGAATGGGCCAAAAAAATCGACTATTTTTTTTTTAAAGTATATCGAAAATATTGTTTGGGGTGACAAACAAATTATGGTGAAAGTTTGAGTACATAATATTAATATTAAGAGGTCTATCATCGCAATTTTAGATTTTTTTTTCCTGAGCGAGTTTTTGTCTCAGAACTCCCAAATCATTGAGTTTAACAAAATTGACTTAAGAATATTTTTTGAAGAAAATTGAATGCTCTACAAAAAAGGTTTGATTGGAATTTCCCGTCAGATGAACCCTTTTCTTACAATCATGCCTTAAAAATTGGTATAGTTTTACAATTTGATCTTTTAACTTTGGAATTTTGTAATTCAAGTAAAAATCAGTACCCTGAAAAAAAAACGATAAATATTCTTATGGGAAATCAAATGCTCTACAAAAAAGTCTTTTATCATTTTTGGCTAAATTCACTTCATCAAAAGTTATTCAAGGTTAAATTTGAAGTCATAACTAAATTTTAACCTTGAATAACTTTTGATTGAGTGAATTTAGCCAATAATGTTAAGAGGCTTTTTTTGTAAAGCATTTATTTCCCATAAGAAAATTTATCGGTTTTTTATGGGTACTGATTTTTATATGAATTACAAAATTTCAATTTAAAAGATCAAAATGTAAAACTATACCAATTTTTAAGGCATGATTTTAAGGAAACGGTTCATCTGACGGAAAATTTCACTTTAACCTTTTTTGTAGAGCATTTAATTTTCTTAAAAAAATATTTTCAAGTCAATTTTGTTAAACTCAATGGTTTGGGAGTTCTGAGCCTAAAACTTGCTGAGGAAAAAAAAATTAAAATTGAGATGATAGACCTCTTAATATTAATATTATGGACTCAAACTTTCACAATAGTTTTTTTTGTCACCCCAAACCATATTTTCGATATAATTTTCAAAAAAAAAAGTTGATTTTTTTGGCCCAGTCTATGGAATATGATAAAAACACATTTTTCGTCTCTCTATCAAGGTATTCTACTCCGACGCGATGGGCCCGGAAAACGCGTACCTCTACCGCACCTGGTTGTACCTCGGAGCTTCCGCATCCGCGGAATTCTTCGCCGACATCGCCCTTTCCCCGATGGAGTCGGCCAAGGTCAAGATCCAAACCACCCCCGGATTCGCCAACACCCTCAGGGAGGCGTGGCCAAGGATCATGCGCGAAGAAGGTAGGTGGTTGCTCTCTATCTAAAGTTACTCAGCTCTATGGTTTTTCAAAATGCAATTTTAATGTAGATTTCCTCGTCATTTTGATGATTTTAATGTAGATCGACTTTTCCATAACGATTTTATGGTGGACATTTTTTTTTTAGCATATACAGGGTGTTACAAACGAGTGTTTTTAAAAATAAGGCCGAAAAATGTTAAAAATATCGATAAAAAAATTCTAGGAATTAAAATTCTCGGTAATTTTTATTCTGCCAATTAAAATTATGACTTTTTAAAATTATGTCTTTACAGAATAAAAATTAATTAAAATTATGTTAACAATAAAAATAATTCAATTTCGGGCCTTTATTTTTCCATGTATTATGATTTTTTTATGTCTAGACATAATTTAAAATTCGTTTTTGTGCTCCTTGCATAATAAAAATTAACTTGTCGTCTTTTATTAATAATTTTTATTTTTCTTGGCCATTTTTATTTTACTTTGAATTTATATGGTATTAAAAATTAAAACGTAAAACAAATAAGTCGACTAAATTCATTATGCATTATTAAACGCGTTGTTAAATAAATTGTTTTCCTTTAAGAGGATGATATCATTTTTGCAGTAGTGCCATTTTTAAATAAAAAATCATTAAAATCTTTATAAGTAAAGTAGAAATTTTGGGCGGCCCCTGGTTGTTCCTGACCTATAAAAACTGACGCAAAATATGTGTTATCATTCATTACTTTGTTGATAGTTGTTTTTTTGCTTTGCATACTCAGCTATTTTTAGGTACTTTGAATCACAATCCACACAACAAGGTCTGTTCTATCTTGTACTAAAAATACAAAAAATCACTGCAACACTGCACAGTTTAACGGCTGCAATTTTTGTTGTTTACAATTTTTGTGCTTTGGGTTTGTGCTTTGTCTATACAGTTTAATAATCGTTTTAAACGTTGTGTTTCTCATAGTAAGCCTTAAAAGAGTCCTTAAAGTGCTAAGAACAACCATTTTACTCCTCTATTGTAAAAAATAAACTTTATTCTATCAGGGCTGTCATAAAACTGTCAAATGTAAATTTTAAGGTTAAATTATAACCCACAAATTAACCTTCAAATTGTCATTTGACAGCCCTGATAGAATAAGGTATATTTATTATAATAGAGGAGTAAAATGGTTTTCCTTAGCACTTAAAGGCCTTATTTGAGGCTTACAAGTGCCTCGTGATTTTCCCGTCGATTTTAAATTTCACTTACGTCGATTGATGCTCATGTAGCAATTTTTTAAGTGTTCCACAAAATCATAATAAATGTTTAACTATCCCGTCGTTATTATCCACGCAAAATTGACAGCGGCGTAGAAAATTATGATGTGTCGATCTTGCCATCATACCCGGGTGATTTATGATTTCTTCTGCCGCTGCAGTGACAAGTTCGCGGAGTTGTTCTAATGTGTCAACTTCGCTTTGGTACACTAAACTGTTTATGTAGCCCCACAGAAACCGCAATAACAATTGAACTGTCAGTAATCAATGATAACAAAGTACCCACTAAACGATTTTGAATAAGCTTAAAAGTTATTACATAACACACTGTCACGGTGCTGTTCTGAGAGGTGATTTTTGGACTTTCTGTGAAACCTATTTTTTTTATATTCTTGTTAATTAGGTCATAACTAAAATTTTAAGAGCAAAATAAAAAAAAATTGACGGTTAATTTTGTTTTAATTGGATGTTTATTAAAAATATGTATGCACACTTTCAATTCTCCAATTAAAACTTGCGATTTTATTTAAATATTATCATAACTTTTTAAATCAGATTAAAGATTAGTTAACTTCCTAAAAAAAGGCCTACCTATACATTTTTTATATCTTTTACTGTTTTGTTGTAATACACGTTTAAAGTTTTATTTTAAGGTTAAATGAATAGTAAACATTTATTAAACAATAACTCTAAGGGTGCCACATTTTATTTAGGGCCGATTTATTCATTTTTGATTTATTTGACGAATAATTTCTTTGGATAATAGATATTGCCAAGACATGAAAGTTATCGGCCCGATAAACTTTACTAAAGATGAATAAACCGGTCCTTAGTTAAATTTCATGAATTTCTTCGTAACTTTTACTACAATTTTTCATTTTTGTTTATAAAAAACACTTTAAAAAACTAAACAAAAATTATAGAATACGTATACCGAAAATGACAATTCAAACGTCAAATAAATTTTTAATAGATCTAAGTTTCATGGCAACCTTTAAGTATATATTAATTAAGGGAACATAAATGTATACGTCAAAGGTTAGATTCAAAGTTTGAACGTTTACTGCAACAAAACAGTAAAATATATAAAAAAAATTGTAAAAACCTTTTTTTTTAGTTATGCAAATATTAAATATTTAAATTAAATCGCTAGTTTTAATTGGATAATTGAAAGAGTGCATAATATTTTTAATAAACAGCCAATTAAAACAATTCAAACCGTTAATTTTTTTTTATTTTGCTCTTAAAATTTTAGTTATGACCTAATTAACAAAAATATAAAAAAAATTAGGTTTCACAGAAAGTCCAAAAATCACCTCTCAGAACAGCACCGTGACTGTGCGCATAGAAGAAAACAACATTAAAATTTCTATTTGAGAGAAAGGCCACCATCGACATTAAACGCAACGATTTCAGGCATGAACGGTTTCTACAAATCCCTCGTCCCCTTGTGGATGAGGCAGATCCCTTACACGATGATGAAGTTCGCGTGCTTCGAAAAGACCGTGGAACTTCTCTACGCGCACGTCGTTCCTAAACCGCGCGCGGAATGCAGCAAAGGCGAGCAGCTCGTTGTCACTTTCGCAGCTGGTTACATCGCGGGAGTTTTCTGCGCCATCGTCTCCCATCCGGCCGACACCGTAGTCAGCAAGCTGAACCAAGAGAAGGGCGCCTCCGCCCTCGACGTGGCCAAAAAATTGGGCATGGCCGGCATCTGGAAGGGTCTCTTCCCCAGGATCGTCATGATCGGTACCCTCACCGCCCTGCAATGGTTCATCTACGACGCCTTCAAGGTAATTTTTCTATTTTTTTCAGGTCTATGGTTTTTTGTCTACAAATTGTTTAGTCTATGGTTTTTTTCTACAATTTGTTTAGTCTATGGTTTTTGTCTACAAATTGTTTGGTCTATGGAAATTATTTTGTTTTCTAGGTGGCCATGCGCATGCCCCGCCCACCCCCACCAGAGATGCCAGAATCACTCAAGGCAAAACTTAAAGCCAGAGGAGAGTTGTAAATTTAATTTATTCCATTATTTAAAGTCAAATAATTTCAATTCGCAACAGTATTTTCTTCCTGTTAAACAAAAAAACGGTCATCTGTTTAATGTATTTTATTAATATTTAATTTTGTGTATTTTAGATTGTATATAGAACAATAAAGAGACACTCTTGTGATGTTAAGATTTCGTCTTATTTCACTAATTTTTATTTTAGCTACATATTGTTTAGTCCATGGGAGAATTTCCGAGATTAGACGTCAGAGTTACCAACTTTGAATTGTAAAGTTACCGCCGTTAAATTTGGCGTAATTTTGATTTGTTATAAAAAAATATCAATCATTTTGCGTATTGTTTACCAATAACTAACAATTTCCCAGTTTTAAAACGTTTTTTTTATGAAATTATGAAGATAAAACCATTCATTTGGTAATTTTTGTTTGTGCGTGTTTTTTTTATTAAGTTGGTAGCGTACGCCAGTTTGATTCAGAGATATCCATAGATAATAAATATCTAATAATAATAATAATAGATATCTGGTTTGATTTTAAAATATGGTGTACATTTCGGGTTTTGGGACAAAATCGGGATTCCAGCACAAAAATACGCTGGTTATTGTGAAATATACAAAAACTACCATAGATTAAGTAATTTACGAAGGATTTCCACGATGTATGGGTGAAATTTTTAAAGAAATAACAGTGTATGGTTGGAACTATAAAATGGATTCAACACCGAAAATGTATTATATTATTTATTATCTTTAAGTGAATGGGAGACGAAATAAAGAAGTGTACGTATGAATTTTAAGTGTATTGTAACAATATTTATGAATTGAACAAAAATAGAAAATAAGTATTAAAAAGTGAAAAAGGGAAAAAAAAAGTAAAGAAGAAGAAGAAGAAAATGTGGTAACTATAGTTGTCGCGGCGAATGTTTCAAATTGCGTCATCAAATTCTGAACCAAGCACAGACATTACAATTATTGTTGTTTTCTTTTACGTATATAATCCAAAGAACCGCTAGGTTAACCATATGTCGAGAAATCGGTTTTTAACATTCGACATTGATGACGCAATTTGAAACATTAGCCGCGACGACTATACCCTGACACTGTCAAATTGACAGTAATATTTATTATTGATAATTTACTTGTTAATTATTATATAATATCTATATAAAAAGATAACTATGCCAAAATAGTATACTTTGTATCAAGTTTGATAAACGCCATTTTAAATTTTAATTAATGATCACTCGAGTGTATAGAAAAGTTTATAAACGAGGTGCATACTATACTTTTTCCACGACAAATACTTATTATTATCTTAAAATGATTTAAATCATAAATTTGTATAGAGCGCCATCTATGAAACGATAGGGGAATCTGTGTGTCACCGTAAAATGTCAAATTTTTGTATTTTATAAACACAGATTATAAAGGTTATAAATCGAAATGTATTTCTTGAAAATTGACAGTTTTTCACAGTGAAAGTAAAGAAAATGTTTTATGAGCACTTTACAGTGGAGTCCGTGACCGAATTTAAGTTATAGTTTACTGCCGGCGAAATTAAAAGGTCAGTACAATGTTCAAATAAACTTTTCAAATATTGAGAAACTATTTAATACTTTTGTATTTTTGTATTAAGATAATAAAATAATTTTCACATTTAGTATTATTTTACAAGACGATTGTATGACATTTGACAACTGTCAACTAACCTAAAACTAACTTTAGCCCGTGACTAAAAACCTGTTCCTAACTTCAGCCCGTGACTAAAGCGCCTTTCCTGGGCCGTAGTCACCTATATTTAACTACTTTTTATATGATTTTACTCATCTACGCACCACCAAAGCCAAATTAATTGCATTTTTAACTACGAATTTTGACAACTCAACTTGACAACAACTAATCAAGTTATATCACATTGTTTTGGTGTCAAAAGAGGATTTTGTAATTTTTTGAAAAATAAACCAAATAACTTCTCTACTTTGTTTACTCTATGCGAAAAATCTCTCTACACCTTGTTAACTCAATGGTAGTAGTTCGAATCGCGCGCCTTGACCTTTGATCTTTCGCGAAAATCTGACAACCGTCAGCCGTCAAAAACTACGAAATAAACAAATTGATTAAAAGCGAAATAGATAAGAAATGGGTTAATAATGGTAACGATAGTCGATAAGCGATGAGTGCGGGAGCGATTAAAAACGAAAAATGCGGGGTTTAGTGCCGTGAATAAGAAAAAACTGCGAAAATGGAGACTAGCTCTGCTTTGGACGAGGCTAAAGCCTCTTCGTGGAATTTATCCAGCCCCGCCATACATTTGGACAACATCAACATTAAAATGGACTCTAATTTTGCGATGTTGCTGTGCAGTTTGGTTTTTGCCGTGGCCTGGGTGGTTTATATCACTTATTACAACTCTCGGGTGTTTGGTTATGTTATCACCAAAATCATCAACAAGGTTTTCATTCGCGATGGTTACTTTAAAATAGGATCCCTTACTTTAAATGCTCTCTCTGGTAAAATTATGTTCAGAGATATTGTTTATATCACTCATGATTATACTATAAGAGTGCAGGATGGTTATTTGATATTCCGGTGGTGGAGATCGTATGTCCCCAAAGATGTCAGCGAAGGTAATAACAAAAACACAAAAATATCAATAATTAAAGTGCATTTTTAAGATTTATCACATTCCGATACGAGACTGTCTGTTATGCTCAACGGCTTTGAGCTTCACGTTTTCAACAGAAGCAACTTATATGCACAGTTGGAAAAGATTTTTGATTTAGATCCAAATTTTTTTCCCGAGAATGACAATAAACATCAGGATGAGGAGGATTTGGAACCGTAAGTTTATTGTAAATTTTGTATGTGTTAATTATTTTTGTGTTTTTTAGTTCCGAGACTCAGATAGAAAATACCACAGGCAGAAAACAGAGGCCTGAAGCTGCCATGGCAAGAACTTGGAGGGATTTGATACCAGTGATAAAATGTGATGTTTCTTCTGTAAGTTTTTATTTTTTGTACTTTAAACCACAACTTTTTTATATACCTACCTAGGCATTTTTTGCAATTATTTTTATTATTTTAATGTTTTTTTTCTTATTTTTATTACCATAATTAAGTACCTATTTAAAAATTCAAAAACATTTTAATAGATGTAAACATGTTTTGTTGGTGTAGAATTACTAATTGTCATATAATAACCTACTTAAAAACTTAATTTATTTCCAAATATTTGTTGTTTTTTTTTGTTTTATTAATTTTCAATAGGCCTTTTTTAAAATAAAAAATAAGACTGTGTAAAGTAGATAAAACATTAAAAATTCCTGTAAAGTGCTCATAAAACATTACCTTTAATTTCACTGCAAAAAACTGATTCTATATCGGTTTTAAAGGGTTAAATTTCGCTTTACACAGAAAAATTTGACATTTGCCGGTAATACAGATTTCCATTATTTTATTAGTTTTATAGATGTCGCTCTTTACAGGGTGTTATGTAATTAATGTTATATATTAAAATACTGAATCTTGCAAAAAATAAATAAAAGTTTTATGCCCTTAAAGCTCTAATACCCTTCCGTATTTATTTACTCATCCAGCTATTAGCTTAAGCAATAATTATAAAAATTTAGTACCTATTTTGAGAAATACATAACCAAAAAATTAATTTTTTCATAGGTTTTTTTCTTTCTGTTTACTCAGATGAAATTAGGACAAGGTCACAGGTTAAACTTTAAACATTCAATTTGTGTAAATAAATCCTTAGTGAAGATATTTACAATTTGGGCCCATAACCTAAAATTTGAAAGAAATGCACTAGATTTTGTCATAAGTTGCCAGATTTTGTTTGAATTTACCTTCATTACAAAAATGACATAATAAACAATTAACAAAAACGTCAAATTAACAATTGCGTTGTTAATTTAGTCATTTTGTAATTAAGCTGAATTTAAACAAAATTTGGCAACTTTTTTGACAGAATCTGGAAACGCTCGTTGTTACCAACCATAACATAATAAATTTACATCTAACATTGAACAATGACAGATTGTTAAAAAATGTTAAAGAATTGACATGGAATATTTTAAAGATTCCATAAATGCAGTATTCTCAAAATAATTATTTTTTTCAAGAGCCGATTGGTATTCGGCAACAGATTAATTCCCACAACCCTCAGTATAACATTCGAGGAATCGCATTTCGTGTATTCCACCAAACCTGCCGTGTGCACTTTGGATAGATTCATGCATTTCGTGAAATGCAAGGCAGAAAACGTTAGGGTCATGTTGGCCCCCAGCCCCAAGTACACAGGTAAATAAAAAGATATAAATATCAAAATAATTTTATTTTTTTTTTAAACGGTAAAATAATAATCAAATGATTCTAGGGGGGAAATCAATCATACTAACTGAGATATTTAAAAGTTTCAAGTTGGGGGGCTGTATTTTTTTTTTGGTGTAAAAGTGCAATTTTAGGAATGCTTGACGATCCCCCGCGATACATGGGCGAAGGTTTCGTGCTCATGTCCACCAACGAAATGGAACTGTACTTCTACATGGACGAACCAGGTCTGGTCCCCTTAGAACCGGTTCTGGTAACCCTGGCCAACGGGGACATCGTCGAGTCCAGTCCCCCCCAATGGGGGGTCGACATAAAGTGCGGGAAGGGCACCGACTTCAGCTACGGCCCCTGGGCCGACAGACAGCGCGAGCATTTGTTCAAATTTTTCTACCCGCAAGACTATTTGCCCATGGAGTTGACCAAAACTCCAAAACCAGGTTGGTGCCATTTTTTAGGGTTAGAAATAATCAACCAGTGATTTTTGATCTTTAATTACCATATTAAGTCATTGAAACAGGCTAAAATCGATAATAAACAAAAATGCAATACCTCGTATCTTCCTTGGTGTTTTTTATAGCGAAAAATAGTAAACGCAAATCGATCGGGATTGTTTTTGATGGTATACCCTGAAAATTTCATCAAAATAGCACTTCTATTAAGCGTGTTACAGTCGTTTAAGTAGTTAGCCCTTTGGTGCTAACTAGGGTGCTAAGGCTGTAACTTTAACATTTGTTATCCGATTTTAATGAAATTTGGAGGTTATATTAAGTAAAATATGCCCTTTAAAATTTTTACAGAATCAATCATTAATAACTTACAAAACTTGTGTTATAAGTTTTTAAAAATGCATTTAATAGTTCACAAAATAATTTAATTTTTAATCTACTTTAACAAGATTTTTATAGTTAAACCAGTATAAAATAAATTTATCCAGTCTTACATTTACAAGTTGTGGCTTTATGGCGTTTTAGTCACGGGCTGAAGTTAGCAATAGTGACTTTTGGACATTTTGTTCGATTTTTCTACGATTCTCCAATAATTTTTGAATAAAATACTGAGATATTTGAAAGTTTCGAGTTAAATGACTCACCCTCCTTATATTATAATATCATCCCGCGACTAAAACTTTATACTTTTGACCAGGCGACAAAAGACAAATGCAATCGTTCGACATCAGACTAGTAATGCAAAGCGACGCCACCATAGATATTCTCTTCACCAAAGACAAAGAAACGAACGCCACCCATATCAACGTGGGCGCTGGAAGCTACTTGGAAGTCACAATTCCATGGATAACTCTGCAAGACGGGTAATGACCGGTTCAAATGATCCAGGGTTTATTAAAAGTCATTTAAGTAGGTACACCACGAAAGTCAATGGCCAGCTGCTTCACCTGGAGGCGACAACCAGTCTGCAGTTTAGGGATTTTGTCGAGAGCGAGACGTTGGAATTTTGCTTGTTGTGTCACTATCCGTTGGTTTGGAACGATCATCAGCTGTGGGAGATCAACTTGACTGGTTGCAAGGCCACGGTGAATTTGATTTTTTTTCACAAGTGGTTTTTCACTGGTAAGTGTCTGTTCTCTTCCTTTGTTCTCTTTTGTTCTCTTTCTTTCTCTTCTCTTCCTTTCTCTTCTCTTCCATTCTCTTCTCTTCCTTTCTCTTGTCTTCTCTTCTATTCCTTTGTCTTCTCTTCCTTTCTCTTCTCTTCCTTTCTCTTCTCTTCTCTTCCTTTGTCTTCTCTTCTGTTCCCTTCCTTTCTCTTCTCTTCCTTCCTATTCTCTTCCTTTCTCTTCTCTTCCTTCCTATTCTCTTCCTTTCTCTTCTCTTCCTTTGTCTTTTCTTCTGTTCTCTTTCTTTCTCTTCTCTTCCTTTCTCTTCTCTTCCTTTCTCTTCTCCTCCTTTCTCTTCTCTTCCTTTCTCTTCTCTTCCTTTCCCTTCTCTACCTTTCTCTTCTCTTCCTTTCTCTTCTATTCCTTTCTCTTCTCTTCCTTTGTCTCTTCCTTTCTCTTCTCTTCCTTTGTCTTTTCCTTTATCTTCTCTTCCTTTCTCTTCTCTTTCTTTCTCTTCTCTTCCTTTCCCTTCTCTACCTTTCTCTTCTCTTCCTTCCTCTTCTCTTCCTTTCTCTTCCCTTCCTTTCTCTTCTCTTCCTTTCTCTTCTCTTCCTTTCTCTTCTCTTCCTTTCTCTTCTCTTCCTTTCTCTTCTCTTCTCTTCCTTTGTCTTCTCTTCTGTTCCCTTCCTTTCTCTTCTCTTCCTTCCTATTCTCTTCCTTTCTCTTCTCTTCCTTCCTATTCTCTTCCTTTCTCTTCTCTTCCTTTCTCTTCTCTTCCTTTGTCTTTTCTTCTGTTCTCTTTCTTTCTCTTCTCTTCCTTTCTCTTCTCTTCCTTTCTCTTCTCTTCCTTTGTCTTTCTTTCTCTTCTCTTCCTTTCCCTTCTCTACCTTTCTCTTCTCTTCCTTCCTCTTCTCTTCCTTTCTCTTCTCTTCCTTTCTCTTCTCTTCCTTTGTCTCTTCCTTTCTCTTCTCTTCCTTTGTCTTTTCCTTTATCTTCTCTTCCTTTCTCTTCTCTTTCTTTCTCTTCTCTTCCTTTCCCTTCTCTACCTTTCTCTTCTCTTCCTTCCTCTTCTCTTCCTTTCTCTTCCCTTCCCTTCCTTTCTCTTCTCTTCCTTTCTCTTCTCTTCCTTTCTCTTCTCTTATGTTCTCTTATCTTCCTTTCTCTTCTCTTCCTTCCTATTCTCTTCCTTTCTCTTCTCTTCCTTTCCCTTCTCTACCTTTCTCTTCTCTTCCTTCCTCTTCTCTTCCTTTCTCTTCTATTCCTTTCTCTTCTCTTCCTTTGTCTCTTCCTTTCTCTTCTCTTCCTTTGTCTTTTCCTTTATCTTCTCTTCCTTTCTCTTCTCTTTCTTTCTCTTCTCTTCCTTTCCCTTCTCTACCTTTCTCTTCTCTTCCTTCCTCTTCTCTTCCTTTCTCTTCCCTTCCCTTCCTTTCTCTTCTCTTCCTTTCTCTTCTCTTCCTTTCTCTTCTCTTATGTTCTCTTATCTTCCTTTCTCTTCTCTTCCTTCCTATTCTCTTCCTTTCTCTTCTCTTCCTTTCTCTTCTCTTCCTTTGTCTTTTCTTCTGTTCTCTTTCTTTCTCTTCTCTTCCTTTCTCTTCTCTTCCTTTCTCTTCTCTTCCTTTGTCTTTCTTTCTCTTCTCTTCCTTTCCCTTCTCTACCTTTCTCTTCTCTTCCTTCCTCTTCTCTTCCTTTCTCTTCTCTTCCTTTGTCTCCTTTCCCTTCTCTACCTTTCTCTTCTCTTCCTTCCTCTTCTCTTCCTTTCTCTTCTCTTCCTTTGTTTCTTCCTTTCTCTTCTCTTCCTTTGTCTTCTCTTCTGTTCCCTTCCTTTCTCTTCTCTTCCTTCCTATTCTCTTCCTTTCCCTTATCTACCTTTCTCTTCTCTTCCTTCCTCTTCTCTTCCTTTCTCTTCTCTTCCTTTCTTTTGTCTTCTCTTCTCTTCCTTTGTCTTCTCTTCTATTCTCTTCCTTTCTCTTCTCTTCCTTCCTCTTCTCTTCCTTTCTCTTTTCTTCTGTTCTCTTCCTTTCTCTTTTCTTCCGTTCTCTTCTCTTATATTCTCTTCTCTTCCTTTCCCTCCTCTTCGTTTCTCTTTTCTTCTTCTCTTCCTTTCCTATTCTTCCTTTTATCTTCTCTTCCTTCCTCTTCTTTTCCCTCCACTTCTTATCTCTTCTCTTGTTAACTGGTGATCTCATTCCCTCTCGCAGACCTGATAAACGACTGGTCCTCGAAGCAGCGCCCCGACCTGATGCACTTCGTGCCCTACACCTGGCGCTTCGGGCTCACGCTGAAGCACTGCGAGCTGATCACCTTGGTGAACCAGTACAACTGGATAGACTGCAGCAGCGTTGGCCAACGGAACCGGTTGGAAAACACGCAACTGGCGCTGTGCGCGCACTTTCTTCACCTATCGTTCGATCTCCCCTTCGACGAGTTTCTGCCCGAGAAGATCCCTTTAAATTTCGCGATACAGGGCGAGAGCATCGACTTGTCTTTGTTCGTGCCTGAGTTCCACACCAGCAGGAATATTGTCGGTTCGTTGGAGAGGTACGCCAAAGTATTAAGCAAGGATGGTTCTACGACCAGTAAGAAGACCGAAGCGATACCCAAGTGGCGCAATGTGTGTATGACGAGGTGAGTTGTAAATATCTCGTATCTCCCCTGGTGTTTTTTATAGCGAAAAACTGTAAACGCCATTCGATCGGGGTTGTTTTTAATCGTATACCCTGAAAATTTCATCAAAATAGCACCGCTATTAACCGTGTTACAGCCGTTTAAGTATTTAGCCCTTTGGTGCTAACTAGGGTGCTAAGGCTGTAACTTTAACGTTTGTTATCCGATTTTAATGAAATTTGGAGGTTATATTAAGTAAAATGTGCTCTATAACATTTTTAATGCAACAATTTTAAACAGCTACATTAAATTTTTTGTGGATAAAAACTATTTTGTCATTTTAAAACCTAAGAAAAATAAAATAAAAAAGGAAACTATTCTTCTTTCAAGGTGAATGATTATAAAATCAGGTTGGTCAATAACGATTTTTGACCTCCCCTCGTAAACAAAAAATACGCGGTGCTTGATCGATAAAATTTCAAAGCTTTGTTTACAAACGGTTCCGAAGACTGGGCGTCACTTTTAACATTTAGTTGACGCTTTACAACCATGTCGGAATAGTATATTCTGTAACAAGTTTGGAATACAGCATATTCCGGAATATGCAATTCCAAACGTGTTTCAGACTATACTTTTTCTACGTTTCCAAAAAATACCATAAAAAATAATTTAATTGGAAGGAAGTGAGGTTGGATCGGTCTAAAATTTGTTAGATAATAAAAACAGAGATGTCGCCACGAGTGATTATTCTGTCATCCGATGATAGAATATTTCATTCTGTAACACTTTACGAAATATATGTCATTCCATAGATAAAAGTGATATTAGAACGGTCAAATTCCGTAATAGGAGTAGAAAAAGATTCATACCGTCCCTGAACACTTTGGTGAAGTCACAGACCACCAAAACAAATGGACGGCGCATTGCCATTTAATAACAATGCTTTGTTTGCGGTCAACGAACGGTCACAGTCTAAGCATTAAATTGGCTATAGAATGTTATGTTCTCTTCCAGTGACGTATTTCGTATTCCAAAACAGCTGACATATAACAAATATGACAGCTGACTGCTGGTGTTAAATAGAGATAATTTAAAAATAGTTTGATTTAATTGTGATTACTTACCTATAAAAGGATAGATTTGGATTTCCTTGGTTAGTTTTTTTACAAACAGTACACTGTCCCACCATTTTTAGTAAAAAATAATGTATTTAAACCTTAGATTTAAACTCAATAATTAACTTAAACACGATAGAAATACACAAACGAAAACACAAAACAACAAGCTGTCAACCTTTTTCTATGCTGTCAATCCACTGAAAGCAAATATGACGAATTTACCAACGTTGTTAATATTTAATTTTAATAATTATTAAATAGAGAAAAATATCTAAAGAAAATGATGAACAAATCCTTTTTACAATTTTTTTTATTATTCAAACGAATTACTGGTAATTTTTAACGTTCATTATGTTATGATGAACGTCCAAAAAGGCGTGTAATCTATACTTCTGACAACGTTGGAAGCCGTGTTTCTTTCGACGGTGTTTAGAATGTGAAACTATGCTTTACTCGCTTTTTAAACGTAAACAAATCCGTCCATTTGTTTTGGGGGTCTGTGGGTGAAGTACAACAACCCAGTTCCGATCACCAAACACAAAAAAAAATGCAATATCTCGTATCTTTCGTGGTGTTTTTTATAGGGAAAAACAGTGAACGCCATTCGATCGGGGTTGTTTTTGATGGTATACCCTGAAAATTTCATCAAAATAGCGCTGCTATTAACCGTGTTACAGCCGTTTAAGTGTTTAGCCCTTTGGTGCTAACTAGGGTGCTAAGGCTGTAACTTTAACGTTTGTTATCCGATTTTGATGAAATTTGGAGGTTATATTAAGCAAAATGTGCTCTATAAAATGACCTCCCCTCGTAAACAAAAAATACGCGGTGTTTGATCGATAAACGCTTTGTTTACAAACGGTTCCCAGGACAAGCACTGACAGGCGTCACTTTCGACATTTACTCGACGCTTTGCAACGATGGCGGAGCGAATCATACCGTCCCCGAACACCTTGGTGAAGTACAACAACCCGGTTCTGATCACCAAGCACGAGAGGAAAAAGGATGCGGAGGTTGCTGGGCCTTCCGGCGACGACTCGCCTCGGAAGTTGCCTTTGGCCAGCGATTTCATGAGCGAGGAGGAGGAGATCTTAAACACGATACTTCCTCCTAAAGAGTGGGAGGAGGACGGCAGGCTGTGGAGACAGGAAGTGTCCACTGTACCGGCTACGAGATTGGACGTCATAAACTTGCAAGAGCAGCTGGATATGAGGCTGCAACAGAGACAGGCGCGCGAGACCGGTATCTGTCCTGTCAGACGCGAATTGTACACTCAGTGCTTCGACGAAATCATAAGGCAGGTCACTATAAATTGCGCTGAACGCGGTCTTTTACTGCTGCGCGTGCGCGATGAAATGCGCATGACCATCGAGGCGTACCAAGCGTTGTACTGCAGCAGCGTAGCCTTCGGCATGCGCAAGGCTCTGCAAGCCGAGCAAGGGAAGTCAGATTTGGCTCAGGACGTAGACGTGTTAAAAGGAGAAAAACTCGAGCTGGAACATCAAATTATAGAGTTGAAACAGAAGGCAGAACAGGCGGAAAGAAGGGCCGCAGAAACTAGGTTGGCCGAGGAAAGAAAACACACCGAAGAAATCGCTTTTTTGAAGAAGACGAACTTACAGTTGAAGACCCAGTTGGAGGGAATCATAGCACCGAAGAAATAACAAATACCTACAACTTATTTATGTATTAAAACTTTTGTATATATTATTTCTTACTGTATTGTAAAATAAAGTTAAATGACTGATTGCGTTTCAATTTATAAACTCAAAACATCAATTTATTAAAATGAATAAACTAAATAACAATTATAGACAGTGTCAGCAAGTTAGAAATTATAGCCTACTTTAATTATATTTTTTTGCCCCACAACCAAGCTTCAATTTATTTTTTACTCGATAAGCAATTTATTCAGATGTTTTTCGCTTTTTTGTATTTAGTTATTTTGGATTTTTTTTTATTATTTAATATAATGCTATACAGGGTGTTTCTGAAGATACCATATGATAACGATATGGATTTGAAATTTTAATAGCGTATACAATTTGATTTAGACTGTATCTAAAGTAAATAGTTTTCAAGATATTAATTTTTTTCGTTAAAAACTAAACTAAACATTTATGAATACTGATACTGCTGATTCAAAACTGATCCTGGCCACAGAAACATCATTTGCATAAAAAGTGAATATTTCAAACAATAGTCAAGTATCAATAATTTTGTATTTTAGTATGGGTTGGGTGGACTTCTGGTGGGTGCCAATCGGGGCCATTAACATAGTGTACACCTACCACCCCTGCCCGCCGCTGGGCCCGCAACCCCAAGCGGACATTTCCACCCCGGTTAAAGAAGAAATTCTACTGTCTCCCATGCGATTCCCTCATCAAAGAAAAAATCGCAAGAGGAGCCCAGACGGGGCCCACAAATTCGATCCCACCACCCTCAAAGCTGACACTGTCAGTGTGGAGTTGGAGATAGGGCCCTCCGTGATTTTGCTGTACGGAACGGCACTGAAGAATTTCATGAATTTTAAGGAGAATATTTTCGGGGAAGACCAGGTATTCTCCGACATGCAGAGGTCGGCGCCCAGCGAAAATACGAGCACCACCGAGATAAAATCCGACGATAGTTCCGCAAATTTGCCCCTTGAAATGAGAGACGACTTCGATCACAGACTTTACCGCCCTCTAGAGGTCGATGTTTCCATTATAATGCACGACATACAGGCTCATTTATTGAAGGTACAAATAAGCATAAAAATGTTTGCTTGTAAATATTAAATGTGTTTTAGAACTGCACTGACAAAGACCCACCCTGCCCGGTCATTTTAGTTGAGAGGTTTGGCTTTGAAATGAAGAAGAGGTACGACCAGACTGAGTTGCAACTTTTGGTTAGCCCTGCCGTGCTTCTAGTGTCCGATAATTTAAACAGGCCTTCAAAGGATAGGCATTTAAACCAGGGAAAATTGACGTTGTCATCTTTACAGGTATGTTAAATGTTAATTTTAATTAATCACTAAATGCAATACCTCGTATCTTCCGTGGTGTTTTTTATAGCGAAAAACCGTAAACGCCATTCGATCTGGGTTGTTTTTGATGGTATACCCTGAAAATTTCATAAAAATAGCACCGCTATTAACCGTGTTACAGCCGTTTAAGTATTTAGCCCTTTGGTGCCAACTAGGGTGCTAAGGCTGTAACTTTAACATTTGTTATCCGATTTTGATGAAATTTGGAGGTTATATTAAGTGAAATATGCTCTTTAAAATGACATTTATATTTTTAAGTTCTAGTCTATTAAATTCTTTTTAAAATGATATATCACAACACACTTTTTTCTCAAAAATCAACAAAATATAAACAAAAAACTAATCCATGTAATAGCTTCTAGACTTCTGCAATTTTTATCCAAATTTCGTTGGTTTTCGACAAAAATTAACGTGTTATATATAAAACAAAAGGATTTTTAATTTTCTTTTAAATGATAGCTAAATAGCACACAAGCTAAATAATGTTTTTTTCTTAAAATATAAATATAACCTCATTTGACTTTGGCTTAGTTTTTTAGCTAAATCTATCGACACGTTTTTTTAAATAAAATTAAAAGTGTGGTGAAATTTCTACTTGTGTATATACCTCAGATATATACAAAAGTAGTAATTTTACCTCACTTTTAATTTTATTAAAAAAAAAACTCGTCGAGCGATTTGGCTAAAAAACTAGTTACTTATTTGTATAAAAGAAGTGATATTTATTTATATTTTTGTTAAAAATAATTCAGTTCAGTGTAGAGTTGTTTTTATTTAATTAAATTACAGAAATTCATTTGCATACTTTATTTCTCATAAAATTTTACAAAAAACCTCCTAAATTCCTAAATAAAATTTGTGGGAGCCCTGAACAGACTAAAATCAATAAGAAATTGTTTTTGATGGTATATCCTGAAAATTTTATCAAAATATCACTGCTATTAACCGTGTTACAGCCGTTTAATTAATTAGCCCTTTGGTGCTAACTAGGGAGCTAAGGTTGTAACTTAACATTTTTAATCCGATTTTAATGAAATTTGGGGGTTATATTAAGTAAAATATGCTGTTTAAAATGGCTTTTTCCATTTTTATTTTACATTACATTTTTTCGGGATTAAAGTATTTTGTCATGTAAGAAAAAAATTAAAAAGGAAATTTGTGAAATTTCAAGGTGTTGATCCATATTTTACTACAACTAAAATCAATAATAAACAAAAATAAAATACCTCGTATCTTCCGTGGTGTTTTTTATAGCGAAAAATAGTGAACGCAATTCGATCGGGATTGTTTTTGATGGTATATCCTGAAAATTTTATCAAAATAGCACTGCTATTAACCGTGTTACAGCCGTTTAAGTATTTAGCCCTTTGGTGCTAACTAGGGTGCTAAGGCTGTAACTTTAACATTTTTCATCCGATTTTAATGAAATTTGGGGGTTATATTCAGTAAAATATGCTGTTTAAAATGGCTTTTTCAATTTTTATTTTACATTACATTTTTTCGGGATAAAAGGATTTTGTCATGTATTTAAGATCTAAGAAAAAAAAATTAAAATGAAAATTTGTCAAATTTCAAGGTGGTGAGACATATTTTACATACAACTAAAATCAATAATAAACAAAAATAAAATACCTCGTATCTTCCGTGGTGTTTTTTATAGCGAAAAATAGTGAACGCAATTCGATCGGGATTGTTTTTGATGGTATATCCTGAAAATTTTATCAAAATATCACTGCTATTAACCGTGTTACAGCCGTTTAATTAATTAGCCCTTTGGTGCTAACTAGGGAGCTAAGGTTGTAACTTAACATTTTTAATCCGATTTTAATGAAATTTGGGGGTTATATTAAGTAAAATATGCTGTTTAAAATGGCTTTTTCCATTTTTATTTTACATTACATTTTTTCGGGATTAAAGTATTTTGTCATGTAAGAAAAAAATTAAAAAAGAAATTTGTGAAATTTCAAGGTGTTGATCCATATTTTACTACAACTAAAATCAATAATAAACAAAAATAAAATACCTCGTATCTTCCGTGGTGTTTTTTATAGCGAAAAATAGTGAACGCAATTCGATCGGGATTGTTTTTGATGGTATATCCTGAAAATTTTATCAAAATAGCACTGCTATTAACCGTGTTACAGCCGTTTAAGTATTTAGCCCTTTGGTGCTAACTAGGGTGCTAAGGCTGTAACTTTAACATTTTTCATCCGATTTTAATGAAATTTGGGGGTTATATTCAGTAAAATATGCTGTTTAAAATGGCTTTTTCAATTTTTATTTTACATTACATTTTTTCGGGATAAAAGGATTTTGTCATGTATTTAAGATCTAAGAAAAAAAAATTAAAATGAAAATTTGTCAAATTTCAAGGTGGTGAGACATATTTTACATACAACTAAAATCAATAATAAACAAAAATAAAATACCTCGTATCTTCCGTGGTGTTTTTTATAGCGAAAAATAGTGAACGCAATTCGATCGGGATTGTTTTTGATGGTATATCCTGAAAATTTTATCAAAATATCACTGCTATTAACCGTGTTATAGCCGTTTAAGTATTTAGCCCTTTGGTGCTAACTAGGGTGCTAAGGCTGTAACTTAAACATTTTTCATCCGATTTTGATGAAATTTGGGGGTTATATTCAGTAAAATATGCTGTTTAAAATGGCTTTTTCAATTTTTATTTTACATTACATTTTTTCGGGATAAAAGGATTTTGTCATGTATTTAAGATCTAAGAAAAAAAAATTAAAATGAAAATTTGTCAAATTTCAAGGTGGTGAGACATATTTTACATACAACTAAAATCAATAATAAACAAAAATAAAATACCTCGTATCTTCCGTGGTGTTTTTTATAGCGAAAAATAGTGAACGCAATTCGATCGGGATTGTTTTTGATGGTATATCCTGAAAATTTCATCAAAATAGCACAGCTAATAACAGTGTTACAGCCGTTTAAGTATTTAGCCCTTTGGTGCTAACTAGGGTGCTAAGGCTGTAACTTTGACATTTTTAATCCGATTTTAATGAAATTTGGTGGTTATATTCAGTAAAATATGCTGTTTAAAATGGATTTTTACATTTTTATTTTACATTACATTTTTTCGGGATAAACGTATTTTGTCATGTATTTAATATGTAAGAAAAAAATTAAAAAAGAAATTTGTCAAATTACAAGGTGGTGAGCCATATTTTACATACAACTAAAATCAATAATAAACAAAAATAAAATACCTCGTATCTTCCGTGGTGTTTTTTTTAGCGAAAAATAGTGAACGCAATTCGATCGGGATTGTTTTTGATGGTATATCCTGAAAATTTTATCAAAATAGCACTGCTATTAACTGTGTTACAGCTGTTTAAGTATTTAGCCCTTTGGTGCTAACTAGGGTGCTAAGGCTGTAACTTTAACATTTTTCATCCGATTTCGATGAAATTTGGAGGTTATATTAAGTAAAGCATGCTCTTTAAAATCTAGATACGCGGCCATGCCATGTTCTCCGACGTGGGCCAGAGCCTGGACCAAGACACCGTAGAGTACGCGTGGCTAGTGGAAATCCAAATGGGCAAACTGAGCGGAAAACTGACAACGCCGCAGTTATACTCGGTGCTAGCCTGTCTGGAAACGCTAATTTTACTGCTAACTGACGACGAGAACGAACTGAATTCGCCCAAAAACGATTCGCTGTTGAATCAGCCCGTCGCGAAGCCGGTAAAAGACACGCAGGCCATCACTTTGAGATACGTCACCGACAAAAGCAATCAGTTCGTTAACTCCATCATTGGCGCGCACGCCAGATCCAGTCAGAACCAAAGCGTGAAGAACGCTAAAAACGAGGAGAAGGAGAAGAAGAAGGAGGACGACAAGAAGGGGTCGATTAGGAGCAGCGCGGTGGTGGCAACGGTGCCAGAAGAGGTGGGGGAAAGTTACGGGGAGCACAGGTTGAAGTACAAGTTTTGCAGGGTCACAGTCGATGCCCTGGACTTTTGGTTGGTGGAGAGTGGGGCTGCCCTGCAACTATGGGTGAGTTTTTTTTTTTTTTTTTTTAGAAAAATACAAATACTTTTACAGTCTTTACAAATAAAAATATAATTTAATATTTCAGCCTCTAATTATATATTCTTCAATCAATGTTTTAAAATCTTTGCTTTGTTGTTGCTTTATTTTAGTGTTTCTTATACAGGGTGTCTCAAAAGTCAAGGACTGCAAAAAAGGGGTTTACATTGTCACTGTCATTGTTTTAGTTTTTAGGTTAGTTTTAACTTGAGTCATTCTTTTATTAGGGAAAATTGGTGGCCCTAATACAGATTAATAATCGTTTTAAACGTTGTGTTTTTTAAGCCTAAGTTATAGATAGGCATCCTTCCTTCCTCCCATAGAAGATGAACATTACGTAATTGTCACCATTAACATTTCCCGTGTACGAATTTTTAATACTTTGTGATAATATTTTGCAATTATAGTAATAAAAAAAATCAAAGAATAAAATATTTTCTTAACAAAATCATATTTTGAAGTTATTTTAATATTTTAAAGTTTAATTAAAATTAATAACGGGCAATGTTAATCGTGACAATTTCGTCAAAAATGTTTATTTAAATCGTAGTGCCATTTATAGATTCCCGTACCGTAAGGACGGCATTCCTTCCTCCCGTAGAAATTTTTAAGTTTTATCTTTCACCGTAAAGATCTTTGACATGACCAATCACAGTGCTTGTTAAGGACATGCGCTGTAGGGTGACAGCGCGTAGGCACAAAATATTTAAAATACATGATTGTTTAGTATTATTTAAGATAGGTGTTCAGTTTATTAAATAATTTGTGTCTCTAAATAGGATATTTAGATATTGTTTATGATCAACGCCTTTCATTTTTAGAAACGTTGCTTTGTAAAACCCCGTAGTTTCCCGGTCTTGGTAAAGTGGGCGAGTCTTCCAACGTCTTGTTCGATGTTTTTTTTTCATTATACTGCCCTACTATGGAGAAAGGCAGTAACTACAAAGGCGTTTTCTTGTGCTATGATAAAGCTATGGACATTTTGTATCTTAATTCAACAAAGAAATTCAGTAAACTATCATGCAGTTTATGCTAATTTCCCACAAATTTCTTGTTTAGCAGTTACTGCCTTTCTCCATAGTTGGGCAGTATACAACAAGCTGCCTGGGCAATTAAAATTGTGATCACTGCACAAATATATAAATGATTATCTTTCATATTTACACACAATGGGTAAATCGCGCATGGTTACGGAATTTTACACGGAAATCTATAAATTGACTTTTTAGAAGACGCACAAATCGTACGGGCACGACTACGGGAGGAAGGAAGGAAGGCTATCTATAATTCAGGCTTTAAATGCCTCATTTGAGGCTTACAAGTGCCTCTGTAAGAAACACAACGTTTAAATCTATTTTTAATCCCGGTAAACATAAAAATGGCCGCCGTTAGATTCTGTGCAGCGTAGTATGCGCGAAACAAGATAAAACAGGGTTTGTTGAGTGAATTGTGACTTTTGAGACACCCTGTGTATAAAAGAAAATATTCTCTACATTAAAAAGGATCTTACAACAGATAAAAAACAATGTAAGGTTATATATAAGTTAAGGTTTATATAACTTTTTGCAGGTATCTCCAATAAGATTGGCAAGTTGCAACCTGCACGGAAAGCAAGTCAGTTCCGGACTGAGTTGCATAATTTACGGAATGTCTCTTAGGCAACTTGTGTGGCACCCCCACAAATACAATCACAGCAAGTAAGTACACAACTTGAAGCAACAAAAAATTAATTAATTCAATCTTAAATTATATTCTGTACACTTTTTAGAAATATTTTTTATTGCAATTTAAACACAGCCCTGCTCTTCACAAAAAACGAAAATCTTTCGTTAATTGTCTACTTTACCCTATGTGCGTTTGCATTTGTAATGTTGGTACTCAGTGTGGTAACAGTTACAATATTTTCAGTATCTAGCTACAGTTACATTTACTTACCAAAATTTGACTAGATACTAGATACAGATACAGATACATATTTTATTGCAATAACTAGTTACAGATACAGTTGCCTTCAAAAAGTATCTAGATACTTTAAGATACATACAAATTATATTTTGCTTTAAAAATTTAAAATAGAAATAAAAGGGAATTTTTAATACAAGTACTTATTTTTATATATATACTCATTTTTGTAACAAGATTCTTTAAATTTAAATTGTAAACAAAGTTTAACTGTCAAAAGTGCAGATTACAGAAAACTGAATCTACCACGCTTTTTAAAACCTTTTATAACCAGTTTAGTATATTTCTTTACTCAACGGAAGTAAATTCGTTAAAAAATAATAATAATAATATCAGTATGACCATATATTATATGGACATACTGTTGGATGCGTTCAGAAATTAAAAATTGTGTCAGAAGTGGAAGTTGACGTATTTTCCTTGTCTCAATAAATAATAGTCGCAGTTTAATTAAAAATGTATCTTTGTATCTTAACACACCTAGTTACTTAGAATGTGTAACTAGTTACAGTTATAGTTACTAGATTGGGATAAGTAACTAGTTACACAAAGAGTTACATAAAAAGTATCTAGATACTGTATCTAGTTACTTGTAACTAGATACATTACAACACTGTTGGTACGGGTGTTTTCCTATAGATTGAACCACGACAACCCGGATTTGTGGCTAGAGGTGGGCGCGGTAAACTTCGGTCCTCTGATCGTGGAATCTGCCATATCTTCGGACGTCAAAGAGCAAAACTTGCACGCGATTCAGCAGAAGTTTCTGAAACGTCACGATGACAAGCTGAAAAAGTTGTGGTTCCTTTGGCCGGACTCCAACAAAACTACGGCAAAATGCGGCTGTACCGGTGGTTGCAAGTTCTTCGGCTCAAACAGAAACGGCACGCGATTCTTCAAGCCTAGCAGGAAGGATCTCGAGGAGGGGGTCAACGTGGCAGCCTTGAGGGTCAACGAGGCGGGAAAAGACCCCGGCTACGGCCAAAGTATACTCCACGAAGGGCAGTTGATATTCAGAACGCCCCCGTACGTTCTAAACGAGATATCTCTTCAAGACACGCTCACCAGAAGCAAACCCAAACGAAAATACTCGGGGAGTCCCCGAGTCGCTCAACTGGAAAGGGAGAAGTCGATCGAGAAAGACTCTCAGAGTTTCGGAAGTCCGAACAACACTGCCGAGAGAAAAGTGAACAGGAGGTTCTCTTCAACTTCCATAAGGTAAATATAAACACGCAGTAACACATTTTACACAGTTCGTGCGATTTGATCCTTTAAAGAAATTTAATTAAATTTTTGGCGGGTCTACCCGAATTATTTAAAAAAATTTGAAATATTTTTATAGAGAATTAAACGCTCTACAAAAAAAGGTTAGAGTCATTTTTCAGTAAGTTAACTAAAGTTTACGTGTCCGAGCGTTTTTCATAAAAATCTTTTCTTAACGAATAACGAATTTTATCCCATAAGTGAGTTCCACACTGTATATAATCAGCGACCCCAGAAAAACTCCATGTAAAGGAGACCTTTGCAGGGAGCAATCCGACATTCAAGTAAACTTTTTAGGAGTGCCAATTTGAAAGAGGTTCCTTACTCGAGACTAATAGAAAGCAGCGCTGCCAATCTACTGACGAAGTTGGATAGCGATTCTAAATTGCACGCGGAAAAAAATAAACTCGCTGTCGCTGATAGCAACGATTTGCTGCCCAAAAATAGCGTGTCGGATTCTAAGTTGGCCGTGGATTATTTCAGCAACACCCAGGCTGAGATCAAAGAGATCTACGCTTTGGTAACTTGATGTAACATTAGGTAAAACATGTTATGGGACTTTTTGTTTTTTTTTTGTAGTCGTCCGTCAATGATAACTCAGTTGCCTCCGCTTCTCCGCTTAGAGGTAGCATACATTTTAATCCTTCAGAGTCGCATCATTCCCTAGGGGGATCACCGGAGGAAAAGTACAGACTCGAGGTTAGTCGTAGTCGTAAAAAAAACCCCAACGAAGTTTTTGATTTCGTTGCGTTTGAATTTATTTTAGCAAGTGCAAAGAACGACGTCGATGTCGAGCGAAAATCATTCGGAAGCGTTTTTCTCGGCGGACGAGGACGTCAACGTAAACTCCAGAAGCTCCAGCCTGAGAAATTCCATTCTCTGTCACGGGGAAGTACTCACCAGGCAGGACAGTAACAGCGTACCACCGCAAAGGTACTTAAACGTTAAATCCACAATCCACACAACAAGGTCTGTTCTATCTCATGCTAAAAATACTAAAAATCACTGCAACACTGCACAGAGTTTAACGGCGGCCATTTTTGTTGTTTACAATTCTTGTGCTTTGGGTTTGTGCTGTTTAATAATTGTTTTAAACGTTGCGTTTCTTACAGAGGCACTTGTAAGCCTCAAATAAGGCCTTTGTGCTAAGGACAACCATTTTACTCCTCTTTTATAATGAATATACCTTATTCTATCAGGGCTGTCAAATGACAATTTGAAGGTTAATTTGCGGGTTATAATTTAACCTTAAAATTGACATTTGACAGTTTTATGACAGCCCTGATAGAATAAAGTTTATTTTTTACAAAAGAGGAGTAAAATGGTTGTTCTTAGAACTTTAAGGCTTACTATAAGGAACACAACATTTAAAACGATTATTAATCTGTATAAACAGAGCACAAACCCAAAGCACAAAAATTGTAAACAACAAAAATGGCCGCCGTTAACCTGTGAAGTGTTGCAGTGATTTTTAGTACGAGATAGAACAGACCTTGTTGTGTGGATTGTGGTTAAATCATCCAAAAACACGATTTTTAATGATTTTTGGCAGGAAAAAGTTTTCGAGCGAACTGAGCATAGCCACGGACAGAAATGGACACAAATGTTTACCGATGAGTGCCCCAGGGTCCGCACCTGAGACCACGAGGCTGCGGCTATCTTCGCACAGAAGCGACCACGAGATTCACACCCCCGAACATAGAAGTTTTATGAACAAACAGGTAATTAAATTACTACATTCTTACACTAAATATTTAAGTTATCTAAAAAATTATTTAAATACTAAAACTAATACTAATCTTGGAATAAATATAATTATATTTATGGTTTGTTTTCAATAAACACCCGGCTTCCGCTGTCCGTAAGTTTGAATTCCAACAACTTTGTTAAAAATTATCGGATCTTATTGATTTAAAAACCAAGTGAAAGCCTAACAAGCCCTTAGTAAACTCTTTTAGAAAATGTTTGTTTAGTTATTTCAGAATATTTTTATTTTATTTTGAAACTTGTGCAACACACATTTTTGCATGTCCCATTAGCGTTTTATAAAACTTACATACATGTTTTTTTTTTAATATTGAATAACCAGAACATTGTGTTGCTTTATAGCAATCCATAACATCCTTAGTTAATACAGTAAACAATTTACCTATATATAAAATAATTAATTTTAATCTACTTTTTTTAAATTTGACTCATGTCCCAGACATTTTTTTCGTTACGTTACGTCCGTCGCGTTACCGATAGAATATTAAAAAAAAACATATATATGGCAAAAAATAAATTTAATTTTTTATAATTTAACTATATTATATTAATTATCGTTAATAATGCCTTAACTTATATGAGCTAAGAGTTTAGGGCAATAATATGAAAGTAAACAACTTAATGTATGTCACCTTTTAATTCCATGGAGTTGATGTTTTTTTATAGTTAAAGTCACAAACTTTAGAAAATGGTACATAATGTATCTTTAGTTAACTGCAATTTAAGCAAAGCAAATTTGGTTATTTCACCTGAAGAAAGTTTAAATTTAAATTGTATTTAAATCCCTTTGATATTAAAGACATGGAGTTGATCTTTAATAAAAATACTTACCCGTTTTTTCGCAAATAATTGTTCTTAATAAATTTTTATTAAATATTACACCCCCTTTGCCTTGCTTACACAAATCAACACTAAACCACTCAAACGACGAAGTCTTCAAACATTACTAAAATACTTTTTATACAGGGGATTTATCATATATTAAAAGACTGCAAAGAACTCGGCTGTAAAATGGTGTCTCATGCTTTATTCGACATTTTGGGTTAAAATATCAATAAGTTTGCTTTTGGTTGTGTTTTTTTATACATTCCAAGTTAGAGGAAATGCAATATGAAAGAATCATTTCACAATTGCATCTAGTCTAATGGTATATGGATGATTTGTTGTCCCTACGCTAGGTGGTGGCAGTCCATGGAGTTGACTTTAAAGCGTTTAAGCAAATTCAAATTAATAAAATAAATAATGTTTTATTTTTTTGGTTAAGTACGTTCTACTGCTAGACATAAACTGTCTATTGTAGTGTTATTTAAATGCCAACTACTTTCATTAGTATATTTTATTTAAGAGTTTCAGCATATTTGCTCCGTTCTGGAGAATCACCCAAATGTAAGTAAACAAAACTCTAAACATTTATAAAAATCCAACCAAAAAAAATATTTTGATCTTCATTTTCCTGAAAGCGGGTGTTTCTTGAAAATGATAATATATCCAGTATAGTTTTATATCTTTAAGAACAGACTAAAGGGTGTTGTATTTTGAGTTGGACTTGCTTTTGTTAGGTCGACGATCAAGCGAGAAACGTTCAGGGTTTGGCAACGCCGCACAGACACCCGAACGTGCGTTCGGTGAGTCCCCGATTTTTGACGGGCGCCGCAAAAATATCGGCGGAAACGGTCGACGCGCACGACAGTCTCCTAAACGACACTCTAAACGACTCCTCGGACAGTTACAGCAACAACAGCTACGTTTCAGCTCAGGGCAGCCAGGAGGACTTCACGAAAGTCGACCTGCACATGCAGGTGAGAAAATCGAGACGTTTTTGCGTCGATGTTAATCGTTTTAAATTTTTTCTGACCTATACTTTTTATGGTTTTATTCAAGGCGTTTTGTAATTTTAAACATTTCTGTGAAATCGGAATTTCAATTGAGTTTACCGTTTTCGAGATATTTACAAAAAATATAAATTTTTATGACGTCACTAACCTCGCCATGTGACCAACATTCTAAGATTTCTATTGGTTGAAAATTACCCTGTTGTCAAGTTGTCTTGTTAATGATTTCATTCGGTTATGTCAGAAAATACCCGAAGAGGTTATGTACAAATACTGTCACTGTCAGTTGAGTGAAAGATGGTCACCAAATTCATTAAGTACCTATCTTCCTTATTACGAGGTATCATATTACCGTTTGATATTTTAGAGTCCAAGATATATCTAAAAGAATATAAAGAACTAGGCATTATTCTAATGAAATGCATTTACGACAAAATATGATTATAATTATAGGTACTTACTTTATTTGTTTAAAAGCTCCAATGTTCAATGTAACCAACCATTCCACAAGATTCCTCTGCTTTGGAGTCCGTTATTAATAAATCACTTATCTAATATCAATTACAAATAACGTAACAATAACATTGATTTTCAATAATCTAAATTTAAAAAAAACATAACCCGAAAAAAAGTAACGTCAAAAAATCAATTCTTCTTCTTCTTCTCAACTAAAATTATAGATCGAGTGGTTTTAAAACTAAAATATTATAACGTGGCGCCATCTATCGTAATAATCTTAAACTAAACACACCGGCAACCATAGAAAAAGCCGGCAACGTTGTCAATAGCCTAGTGACGTAATTGGGAGATTTTTTCTTGTAAATATCTCGAAAACGGTAAACTCAATTGAAATTCCGATTTCACGGAAATGTTTAAAATTACAAAACGCCTTGAATAAAACCCCATTGTTAGGTTAACAGACTGATAGTGGACTCTCCGATGCTGATGTCCAGCTACGTCACTCACTTGAGTCAGGTTAAGTGCAACAACTGGGACTCCAAGAACAAGGAGGATCAGTTTTCCATGCCAATGTTCGAGAAGAGTGAAGATGGCAAGCTGATCTATTCGGGCGGGCGGTTCGTGCCCAACATGGAGAATCTCAGCGAGGGCATAACCTCCCTGAAGATGGTGTCCAGGAATGAAAACATGGCGCCCAATAAAACCCCTACGTCGCCGTACGTTTACGTGTGGGACCAGGATGAGGTGGAGAACGAGTCCGGCTCCTTTCAGGAGGAGGAGTTGCTCAGTATACAGGGCGATGCCAGCTCGAGGACCATCATTATAGTCAAGTTGAAGGGGGATTTGGATGTTATGATTTGCCCGTTGCTTTTGGAAACGATGCAGAGGTAAGAGGTTTTCGAAAAATTACTTTGGCACTAATTTTCTCATTTTTTCACAATAATACATTTTTGTTTTTTACGGTAAAATTGAATTTAAATAATTGATGTTAAAAAAATTAATATTTTTTACAAACGAATTTTTGGACATCAAAAAATTGTTTTGTATTTTTTTCTACTACTTTAAAGAATACTACAATAAATAACAAAAGCGAAAAAAATAAAATGTAGAAGTTTAAATATTGCTGGTTTTTCTCAAAAACTGAAAAAATGCATACAAATTAAAATCAAAAATTATTTTGTTTTTTTACTACATTAAAGAATACTACAATAAAGAACAAAAAACAAAAAAAAATTAAAATGACGAACTTTAACAAATTATTGGTTTTTCTCAAAGACCTGAAAAAATTCATAGAAATTGACATCAAAAAATTTGTTTTGTTTTTTTCTACTACATTAAAGAAAACTACATTAAGGAACAAAAAACAAAAAAATTTAAAATAGCGAACTTTAACAAAATTGATGGTTTTTCTTAAAGAACTGAAAAAATGTATAGAAATTTACATTAATAAATTATTTTGTTTTTTTTCTACTACATTAAAAAACATTACATTAAAGAACAAAAAACAAAAAAATTTAAAATGGCGAACTTTAACAAATTATTGGTTTTTCTTAAAGAACTAAAAAGATTCATAGAAATTGACATCAAAAAATTTGTTTTGTTTTTTTTTCTACTAACATGAAAGAAAACAAAAAAACAAAAAAAATAAAATGGCGAACTTTGACAAATTGATGATTTTTCATAAATAACTGAAAAAATTCATTGAAATTGACATCAAAAAATTGTTTTTTTTGTACTACATTAAAGAATACTACAATAATAAACAAAAAATAAAAAAAATAAAATGGCAAAGTTTGAAAAATTGATGGTTTTTCTCAAAGAACTAAAAAAATTCATAGAAATTGACATCAAAAAATTGTTTTGTATTTTTGTCTACTACATTAAAAACACTATATTAAAGAACACAAAACAAAAAAGTTTAAAATGGCAAACTTTGTTAAATTGATGGTTTTTCTCAATGAACTAAAAAAATTCATCTTCAATGTTCTGCATTTTTTTCTACTACATTAAAGAAGAAAAAAAAATGGCGAAGTTTAAAAAATCGAAGATTATTATTAAAGAACTGAAAAAATTAATAGAAATTGACATCAAAAAATTGTTTTGTATTTTTCTCTACTACATTTAAGAATACTACATTAAAGAACAATAAATAAAATAAATTAAAATGACGAACTTTTGAAAAATGGATGGTTTTTCTTAAAGAACTGAAAAAATTCATAGAAATTGACATCAAAAAATTGTTTTGTAATTTTTTTATACTACATTAAAGAATACTACATCAAGGAACAAAACACAAACAAATTTTAAATGTCGAACTTTACAAAATGTATGGTTTTTCTCAAAGAATGAAAAAATTCATAGAAATTGACATCCACAAATTGTTTCGTATTTTTTTCTACTACCTTAAAAAACCCTACAATAAAGAACACAAAAAAGTAAAATGGCGAACTTTGACAAATTGATTGTTTTTCTTAAAGAACTGAAAAAATTCATAGAAACTGACATCAAAAAATTGTTGTGTATTTTTGTCTACTACATTAAAAAACAAAATACAAAAAAATTTCAAATTGCCAACTTGGTTTTTCTCAAAGATAAAAAGCAGCAAAATGGACGCATTTAAAACAAATCTTACGACTTCGCGATTTGCATCTCAGGTACGTCGACGCTCTGACGCCCACCGTGGCCAACCTGCACCCTCTCACCGTGATCAACCACCTGCACACCTCGTGCGTGGGCCAGGTGGAATCCAGCAACATCCTCAAAACGACGGAGAACGTCGCCGGGCTGTGCCGGCCGCCCGACAAGGCGGCCGGCGACGCCTCCTCCGCCGAAACGTGCGTCTACGAGGAGACGGTCAAGACGCAGGTGCAGGCGGCCGTCTACCTGCCCAAGGTCAACGTCACGCTGCTGCAGGTCTCCATCGTCGAGGAGATCATCTCCTTCTCCGCGCTCGACAACATCAAGGATCTCACCTGCGTCTCCCTGTTCTCCGTCAGCTTCGACAACGTCGCTGCCAAGCTGCACTGCGACAAGCAGGTGAGTACTAGCATCCGAAAACATCCCCCAACCCCAAAACAAAACGCAAAGTGCAAAGAGCTGGGAAAGTTACTTCTGAAAAGTATCTAGTTACTTTTCTAAGATACTTTAAACAAAATAACTTAGTTACCTCTGGTAACTAGATATTATATTATATTATATTGTATATCGACCCATGCAACGAAGACTATTGTAATTCAGTTTTGATTGTAGACTAGAGTAACTCAACTTAATATAGTTTTCGCCTCTAGGAATGTGGATTATTACACTTACTATACAGGGAAGTTGTTCACTGGTTGCCTATCGTTTCATGTCTGAGTTATTGTAATCTTCCACCACATAGAGCTTGAAAAAATCTGTTGATGCCATATAGTAAGTCAAAATCCACGTTTTTTGAGTTACTATAGTCTTCGTTGCATGGGTCGATATTATATAAAAGTATCCAAGTTGTAGGTTAAGTAAAAAGTATCTTAGTTACTTTAAGTATCTTAGTTACTTTCGTAGTTCTAGCAGACTTGGTTTTCTAACTTTCCTAACAAATCTCGATTTTTCTGTCCTACCAAATCTAGCATGGGTCTTGTGATCTTTGAACCATACTGGGTTGGATCGTTTGGTTTGTCCAACATATTTCTCGTCACAATCTTGACAGTTTATTTCGTAGATCCCCGACTTTTCAATTTTAGGAATCTTATCTTTGCGGTTGCCTAAAAGGGTCTGAAAGAAATATCATAACCTTCACTTTTGTGGCACTAATTTTATTTACTAACTTATCTACTAGGGTAGGTTCAAAACCATTGTCTCTAGCAATGTCTTTTATAAAACTCAGCTCTTTCTTGCATCTATTGTTATTAAGTGAAAACTTTACCAACATACGAACAAGAAAGTTAAAACTAGCCTGCTTATGTTGTCCAGTGTTTGTAGGTTTTATGTAGATATCGAACTCTGAGTATTGTTTGATCTAATCACTAGAGTATCTAAAAATGGTAGCTGGACATCTTTTTCCAATTTAAAAATGAATTTAATAGAGTTTTGATTGAAAATAGCAAAGATATACGCTAAAGAAGGTAGAATAGGTAGTTTTTTCACAAAAGAAGTCCTACTCGACAAATTTTGTTCAATTGCACAGCTAAATCGCGCACGTTATTTGTGTTTTACGTTGCAAGAAAAAAAGTAAAAAACTGGTTTAGTACTCGACTTCGATTGATTATTCTTTATATCATTGATTAAGAAACTCAACGCTTAAATGCTTATATAGTTACGTTAGTGTGTGCATTTTATCGAAGGGATCATGGCGAATTATTGTGTTTTTAATTGTACATAAAATTCAAGAACTAAATCGTTGCATTTTCATGTTTTGCCAAAGGATCCAATTCGAAAGTACATTTGTTGGCGCAGAATGATAACTTTACCTAATATAATTTATATTTAAATTTGGACATTTTTAAGAAATTAGTAAAAAAAAAGTTTACACAAACATAACCTTAAAATCAACTAATCAATGATTATTAAAAGTTGTACTTTTGTTACGATGATAACAGCCGAGTGGTGGCGCTACCAGCGATACTTTTTTAGCGTATAACATTAGCTTATAATTAGTATAAATATGGTAGATTTCGCAGTTGTATATAGTCGATTTAAACGTCAATTTAGGCCCGAGAAGTCCTGCAAAAAATACTGCGCCCGGCAGTGGTGAGCGGCAACAAAAAAGGCGCGAATAAAGCGAAAATTCTGCTGGGTCTGCAATCCAACACCAACTCCGATGTTATACAAGGGGAGCCCGCTTTTATCGAAACATGCGAGCGGCAGCAGCAACAGGTGGTGTTCTGCATGGGGGTGGGCAAGGCGCATGCGCAACTGCGCAGGCTGCGAAACGAAAGTTCCATATTGGACGACGCCGTCATTACAGCCATTCCCGCCTACAAGTCTAAGGTGCTGTTCACGCCGGCGAAGGTTAAGCCCCTGTACAGGGGGGTGGAGTATTATTTGCAGCCGGCTGTAGGGGATACGGTGAGCAGCAAGACTTAAGCCTGAATCATAGATTGCCTTCCTTCCTTCCTCCCGTAGTCGTGCCCGTACGATTTGTGCGCCATGTAAAAAGTCAATTTATAGATTTCCGTACAAAATTCCGCAACCATGCGCGATGACACCTAAAATGGTTGACGTTTGTTTTTGTTTATATTCTGCGTTTTACCCATTGTGTGTGAATATGAAAGATAATCATTTATATACTATGGAGAAAGGCAGTAACTGCTAAACAAGAAAGTGGGAAATTAGCATAAACTACATTTTTATAAAAAGCAGTAGGTATTTAACTGATTTATTTAACTTAAAAGATAGTTTACTGCATTTCTTTGTTGAATTAAGATACAAAATGTCCATAGCTTTATCATAGCACAAGAAACTGCCTTTCTCCATAGTAGGGCAGTATAATGAAAAAAAAACATCGACAAGACGTTGGAAGACTCGCTCACTTTACCAAGACAGGGAAACTACGGGGTTTTACAAAGCAACGTTTCTAAAAATGAAAGACATTGATCATAAACAATATCTAAATATCCTATTTAGAGAAACAAATTATTTAATAAACTGAACACCTATCTTAAATAATACTAAACAATCATGTATTTTGTTTCTACGCGCTGTCACCCTACAGCGCATGTCCATAACAAGTACTGTGATTGGTCATGTCAAAGACCTTTACGGTGAAATATAAAACTTAAAAATTTCTACGGAAGGAAGAAATTCCGTCCTTACGGTACGGGAATCTATAAATGGCACTACGATTTAAATAAACATTTTTGACGTAATTGTCACCATTAACATTGCCCGTTATTAATTTTAATTAAACTTAACAATTATTGATACTTTAAAATATTAAAATAACTTCAAAATATGATTTTGTTAAGAAAATATTTTATTCTTTGATTTTTTTTATTACTATAATTGCAAAATATTATCACAAAGTATTAAAATTCCTACACGGGAAATGTTAATGGTGACAATTACGTAATGTTCATCTTCTACGGGAGGAAGGAAGAAAGGCAATCTATAATTCAGGCTTTATGCATCCCCTTCAAATTTAATTTTTTATTCTGCAACTTACAGAACACCAATGAAACCGATTTGGGCACTGAAGACAAACTGGGTTTCATAATGTTCGAGTGTGGATTGGAAGGTGTAAATTTAAAGGTAATTAAATTAACACACATTTTTTAACATTTTCATTCTATCGTGAAACTTTAAGGTCGTCAAAAAGTCCCAATTCGAACATATAGAATGTAACATAAACACCCCAGGAGATTCCATATTGGAAAGCAATAAAACCCCTAATGACTTGGAACATTCCGATTCCGCTAAATCTTGCAATGCCACCCCAAAACTAAACGAAAACAAGGATAAGAAAACGCCAAACTGTAAGTATATTCGGTTGAACACTCCCGTTTGTAGTAAACTGCTCGACTGTGCGGTAAAATGAAGTACGCGATCGAATTTTATCCGGAAAACGCTGAGCGTAAATATTAACAGCATCAAGATTCCTGCCTGCTTCTCCATAAATCAAAATCGTTTCTATTTTTTCTTCCACTGTTAAAAAATCCTTTACGAATAACTGCTTAACTAAATACCATTTTTTTATACCTCAATTAGGATTCAATTAATTAATTGACAAAATAATGTTTTTTACCTTACATGAGGTATTTTTATTAAAAATAGTACAATAATCCTTTAAATTAAAGTATTTAATGCTGGCAGGTAAAAAGTGACCATGGTGCGCAATTGATAATTATCACCGAATGAAATAATGTATAAAACTTAAACCAAAGGAAACTTAAATATTAGTTAAAAAATCGCGGGTACTTAAAAAATCAGATTTAATTTAATAAGATAATTATTACCAAAAAAAAGTGATATTTTTAGGGAAAAATTATTGCAGAATCGTATACAGAAGAAAAATCGAACAAAATCGAATCATTTAATTTTTATTTTAAAGATTTTTTTGTAAAATACAAACTAACTGAGATTTTTCAAAGTTTCAGTGCAAACCCCGAAAATGCACGACGAAGAAAAAGGCGATACGGGGGAACACCCGAAAACCGAGTGCAAAGATACTGCCATTCTGGCAAAGGACAGCGGAAACGTATCGTCCTGTATAATCGAACTGAAAGTGGTGTGGTTTAATTTTGCCGCCCCTCCCAGAGCTCCGATAACACGTAAAATCGATTACACAAGGTAAGGATGACAAATTAAAATGCAATACCTCGTATCTTCCGTAGTGTTTTTTAAATCGAAAAACTGTAAACGCCATTCGATTCATGGTAGTTTTGACGGTACACCCTGAAAATTTCATCAAAATAGCACTGCTATTAACCGTTTTACAGCCGTTTAAGTATTTAGCCCTTTGGTGCTAAGTACGGTGCTAAGGCCGTAACTTCAACATTTTTTATCCGATTTAAATGAAATTTTGAGGTTATGTTGAGTAAAATACGTTTTATAAAATGACGTTTTTACATTTTCATTGCAATAATTTTGAACTGAGTTGCACAAAAAAAATATTGAAGAAATGTCATTTCAAAACCTGGAAAAAAAAATCAAGAAAAAAATTGTTTCGTCTACTTTCAAGGTAAATTAGCCATATTTTGATTCCTCCTAAATAAAAACAGACCAAAATCAATAACAAATAAAAATGCAATACCTCGTATCTTCCGTGGTGATTTTTATGGCTAAAAACAGTAAACGCCGCGATCGAGGTTGTTTTTGATGGTATACCCTGAAAATTTCATCAAAATAGCACCGCTATTAACCGTGTTACAGCCCTTTAAGTATTTAGCCCTTTGGTGCTAACTAGGGTGCCAAGGCTGTAACTTTAACATTTTGTATCCGATTTCAATGAAATTTGGAGGTTATATCAAGTAAATTATGCTGTTTAAAATGGCTTTTTACATTTTTATTTCGGTCATTCTTAAGAAAAATATGCAGTTATTTCAACACTTAACTGCGTTTAATTAAGGTAGTTGTGCTAAAAAATTTCTTTTTAACAAAATATTTTAAAAAGTTCTAGCTTATTAAATTCTTTTTTAAATGATATATCACAACCTACATTTTTCTTAAAAAACAACAAAATATACCCAAAAAACTAATCCATGTAATAGCTCCTAGACTTCTACAAAATTGTCATTTTTAGCCAAATTTCGTTGGTTTTCGACAAAAATTTACGAAGGTTATGTATAAAACAAAAGGATTTTTAATTTTCTTTTTAATAATAGCTAAAATGTACACAATCTAAAGAATGTTTTGCTGTATTTTGCAAACTTCATATTTTTTATCAAGAAATTTTTGATTATCAAGATCCACATTACAATTATTGTCGGTTATTAACTAAACGGTTAAATTTTTTTAAATAAAATAAAAAGTGTGGTGAAATTTCTACTTGTGTATACCTCACTTTTAATTTTATAAAAAAAGTCGTCGAGCGATTTGGCTAAAAAACTAGTCAATAACTTATTTGTACAAAAGACTACTTTATACTTTATTTCTCCTGAAATTTTTCAAAAAAAAACCTAAATTCCCAAATAAAATTTGTAATTTAACCGTGGGAGCCCTGAACAGACTAAAATCAATAAGAAACGAAATACAATACCTCGTATCTTCCGTGGTGATTTTTGTGGCGGAAAAAAGTAAACAGTATTCGATTGGGGGTGTTTTTGACGGTATACCCTGAAAATTTCGCTAAAATTGCACTGATATTAACCGTGTTACAGCCGTTTAAGTGTTTAGCCCTTTGGTGCTAACTAGGGTGCTAAGGCTGTAACTTCAACATTTTTAATCCGATTTTAATAAAATTTGGAGGATATATTAAGTACAATGTGCTCTTTAGAGAAAACAACAAACATTTCGAGAAAACTTGTTCTTAGGTTGGACTGGAACCTATTGAGCACAGCCTCCCCAGCCATCAAAGCTTGGATGAATCCTAGCAACCGATTGGCCATCCGAGTAGTCCACATGGTTCGCACCATGTACAGACGATCTACTGCCACGGTGGCCTGCTTGATGGCGGAAACTTTGGATAAAGATCGAAGCTGCCACACGTTGTGCAAGGTAACTTGATATATTTAGCGGTTTGGGTGGACAATTTAGTTTTTTTAGAGTCGTTACGGTAAACTGACGCCACTAGCACAAACGCTGCAGGAGGATCCGAGTTTGCAGCTGTGCTCTATACTGCAGAAGTATTATTTGATGACCGATCCTAATTTGATTGAAAGTCACTTGCGGGAGTCCGAAATACCGCAACTTTTTACTCTTAGACAAGTGAGTACCTGCAGGGACAATTTTTTTTTTTATTTTTTTTTTTAATTTTAGGGTGTTATTGTTTTGAGTCGACAATGGAAAAACATACTGTACACTCCACTTTTCACCCAGAATACAGTGAAAACAAGAATTAAACCGCTAAATGTGCATATAACAGTACCAAACATTCCGGAGGTATCGTATAAAAAATTTCCTTACCTAATTAACGATCTTTTTCAGTTAGTGCAGATTTAATATTAATTATAATTATACCGATTTCGGATGTTATAGTTTTTTAACTCGATAAACTTTCTAGGTATCTCCAAAATCTGAGTTTTACCCGCTCAGGAAATACAGTAAGATTCTAAATTTCAGTCACGGGTAGAAGATACTAATGTTTTATATTGTTCACTGCACTAACATACATTCTTGCCACTTTATCGTCGAAAAGGTTTATAGGTGAATATATTAAGATGTCCCCCAAGTAAAAATGATTATTTTTTATTTTTGGTTGTTTCATAAGTGGTTCTGCATTAATGCAAAAATTTTAAGAAATCACACATTTTGAAAATTAGAGCTTCACGGAGGTTAGGATTTTTTTTTAAACATCCCTTTGTATATTTGAAATGAGTTATTGTATCTTTTGGTAAAAAACATCTTTTTGTTTAAACCTCTATATTATAAACGTACGTCAATTTTTTAGTAATTTTTTAAAATTTGAGCGATTGTCCATTAATTTATCTACAATATTCTTTAATATTCGTTTAAATCCGACATCAAATAAAAAAGTTATTTGCGATTGAAATTCATCGAAAATTTGTGTGGATCGATTATTTTGCCTGTGAGTGTATCTATTTAATTATATATATCGGGGGACATTTCGTGAGATTCACCATTATTATATATTTTTGTTCTGTTTTAATTCACACCCCGTGTGTGGTTCACTTTTTCGACGATAGAGGTCGCAACCGTTCACTTTTGTTTTGTGCTTTATCACGTTCAAAAAAAAATTGTTGTTTCACTTCCGCTCCATACAGGAAACTTGCTTGACAGACGGCGAAGCGAGCGGTAACGAAGAGATCGACATTACCGACGAGCATGCTCGCTTACTACATGCTGGTATCATACTTAAGCCCAACGCACATAGAAACATGGGTAGGTTTTTTCGTTCAACTTAACTCATCCTTACGTATTTCTATTTCCACGCGGCCAAATCTGTACGGGTGCGCGTCATCAGCGGCATATGACGTCAGCGTTAAGGTCTATTCACACAATGTAAAGCTCGAGTATTATAATTTGGTTTTGTACAACAATATTTACACCCTGTTTTAAAACAGGGAAATTGTTACAGTTTTTGGCAAATGAATGATATTTTTTTTATAACACATCAGAGTTACGCCTTAAAAAAGCAAATTTAACGGCAGTAACTTTACAAGTTGGTAATGCTGACGTCATTATATCGCATTGATGACGTGCACCCATACAGATTTGGACGCGACTATAAAAGGTATTGAAATGACGTCCTTAAGTTACTTTATAGTAAATTTAAAACCGGCACGGATGGGGCCCAATACTAATCACCATTTAGTCGTTTTTTCAATGCTGTGTAGATTACACCACACCCGTATATATACGTATATGTTTTATGTTTAGGTACTAACACGTCAACTTAAAAATTACCTCATGCTTTTTGCTTTGTAACTAACACTTTTACACACGTAAAATCGCCAATTCATTTTACGAACTTTGTAATTCAACATGTTTCCCCCCGTTTTTCAAAAGTGCCGACGAAAGAAGCGCTGGTAGGCAACCTGCAGAACTCTCCGAGGATATTTTCGGACAGTTCCGTTCACACGCCGCAGGTGGCGATAGTGTCCGGCGGAGTCGAGAGCATTCTAACCTCGCCCAGCCCGCCAGGTAACCAAACATGCACAATGGGGTAGTTAAATTTTTTCTGACCTATACTTTTTATGGTTTTATTCAAGGCGTTTTGTAATTTTAAACATTTCTGCGAAATCGGAATTTCAATTGAGTTTACCGTTTTCGAGATATTTTAAAAAAAAATCTCCTAATTACGTCACTAGGCTATTGACAACGTTGCCAGCTTTTTAGTTTAGTTTAAAATTCTTACGATAGATGGCGCCACGTTATAATATTTTAGTTTTAAAACCACTTGATCTATAATTTTAGTTGAGAAGAAGAAGAAGAATTGATTTTTTGACGTTTCTTTTTTTCGGGTTATGTTTTTTTTAAATTTAGATTATTGAAAATCAATGTTATTGTTATGTTATTTGTAATTGATATTAGATAAGTGATTTATTAATAACGGGCTCCAAAGCAGAGGAATCTTGTGGAATGGTTGGTTACATTGAACATTGGAGCTTTTAAACAAATAAAGTAAGTACCTATAATTATAATCATATTTTGTCGTAAATGCATTTCATTAGTATAATGCCTAGTTCTTTATATTCTTTTAGATATATCTTGGACTCTAAAATATCAAACAGTAATATGATACGGCACTTAATGAATTTGGTGACCATCTTTCACTCAACTGACAGTGACAGTATTTGTACATAACCTCTTCGGGTATTTTCTGACATAACCGAATGAAATCATTAACAAGACAACTTGACAACAGGGTAATTTTCAACCAATAGAAATCTTAGAATGTTGGTGACACGGCGAGGTTTGTGACGTCATAAAAATTTATATTTTTTGTAAATATCTCGAAAACGGTAAACTCAATTGAAATTCTGATTTCACAGAAATGTTTAATATTACAAAACGCCTTGAATAAAACCATAAAAAGAATAGGTCAGAAAAAATTTAACTACCCCATTTTAAGTCGATAATCGAATGCACTAAAAATTTGTTAAATTGACGTGTTTGTGTTGTTTTTGTGTGAGCGTTTGTTGTTTGGGAGATTCGATTGATTAAAGAAAATATTTGGGCGCTGAAATATTAAGTTTCCCTGTATTTCAGTGCCTCACAGGAAAAGGAAAAAGAGCCTTCAACCGACTCAACCCCCAAACAGCAGCAGAGCTAGCGTTGTCTTGCCTTTACTCAACAACACTAATCCATTTTTAAACAAGCGGCTTTTGGAAGAAAGTATGTTAAAAACGCCACTTTTATTGTTTGCCTGTTAACAGTAAGCCCAAACATGAAATTTTTACATTGTTACTTTCTCCTCATTGAAAACAGACCAAAATGTAATACCTCGTATCTTCCGTGGTGTTTTTTATAGCGAAAAACTGTAAACAGTATTAGATTGGGGGTATTTTAAATGGTATACCCTGAAAATTTCATTAAAATATCGCTGCTATTAACCGAGCTACAGCCGTTTAAGTATTTAGCCCTTCGGTGCTAACTAGGGTGCTAAGGCTGTAACTTTAACAATTTTTATCCGATTTTAATAAAATTTGGAGGATATATTAAGGAAAATGTGATCTTTAAAATAATGTTTTTAAATTTTGATTGTATCAATTTTGAACTGAGCAGTAGACAAAAATATTGAAAACTACATAAATACAATACCTCGGATCTCCCGTGGTGTTTTTCATAGCCGTAAATTGTAAACGCCATTCGGTTGTGGGTGTTTTTGATAGTATACCCTGAAAATTTCATTGATATATCACCACTATTAACCGTGCTATAGCCGTTTAGGTATTAGCCCTTTGGTGCTAACTAGGGTGCTAAGGCTGTAACTTTAACATTTGTTATCCGATTTTAATGAAATTTGGAGGTTACATTAAGTAACATGTGCTCTTTAAGATAACGGTTGTACATTTTTATTGCAATGATTTTTGGCCTGTTAATGGGTAAACCAATTTTTTGCTGTTGGTTTCTTTTTAAAATTGCTGTTGAAAGAAGGATGCCATTGTTGTCATTTGGTTGTTGGGCTCTGTGGTGGGTTGAGGCTCCTGAGTTTTCACACTGTTTGCACAGTGTCTCTGGTTTACTTTCGTTGTTCAAGTTTCTAATATATGTATCACCATTAACATGCACTTTAAAAAGAAACCATCAAATCACCCACCCTTTATTAACGCACATTAACACAATGTATTTATATAAATGTAAAGGTTACGGCACTCTAAGAGAAGACCGTACGGTAATCAACATGGGTTCGGACCCGAGTGACGTCAACAGCCAATCTAGTAACGACTTGGGCAACAGTCCCACCCATAAAACGCAAAACTCTGGGGGCAACTACAGCGAGGATCTTTACAGCTGGATGGCAAAACAAGATCGCACAGGCGCGCCTCTAGAAGGTTGTCTAGAATCGAAAATAGACACCTTGCATACGGAGTCGTCCGGTGACCCAGGGACTCTACCTAAAGAGGAGATAACCGTCCCGGATCTTCCTACGTATCCCATACAGGATTCAGTTAGGTTCCTCGATGCGAATCAAATATTCCAGCCGCTGCTGAGCGGCTTGGGCGTTATGCCTCAACAGCTGAGGTTCACCACCATGACAGACTCCAGTTAGTACCAACTAAATATGATTTTACTTGAAAAAGGAGTACTTTGGCGCTTACCATCAAATATTAAAAATATTCCCCAACACCAAAACAAAATACAAAGTGCTTACTTTGAGTACTCTTCGCTCTTCGCTCGCTTGTTGTGTTGGGTGTATTTCGAGAGGAAATCCTGGGTTGAGTTTTTATCGGTTTTCCAATAACAGTGTTAATCTGAATGAAGAAATAAATTTCATACAGTCCCTGTAAATATAAATTGTACCTATAGATACAATAAATACACATTTTAGTAGTGATTAACGTGAAAAGTGCAAACAAATAAGTCGTCTAAATTTAAACAGCATTTAGCGTTATTAAAAGCGTTAATTAAGAATTTGTTAAAGTCTCCACTTAACGGTAAAATACCATTATATTATGTATTATATATAATATTATGATGCCATGAGTAAAATGCAGTCGGCGTTTTTTAGACAACTCAAATATAAAAACGGTTGATTTTAAGGTTATGTTTGTGCAAAAATTATTTTTTACAAATTTCTTAAAAATGTCCAAACAAATATAAATTATATTAGGTAAAGTTATCATTAGTTAATTCTACACCAACAAATGTACTTACCGAATTGGATCCTTTGGCAAAACATGAAAATGCAAAGATTTAGTTCTTGAATTTTATTTACAATTAAAAACGCAATAATTCACCACAATCCCTTAGATAAAATACGCACTCTAACGTAACTATAGAAGCATTTAAGCGTTGAGTTTCTTAATCAATGATATAAAGAGTAATCAATCGAAAGCGAGTAATAAACCAGTTTTACGAAACCGTTCAATGTAAGCTGTAAGCGTTTTGATCGTTGGGGAATATTTCCAATATTCTTTCAAAAATATGCCTTGGAAATATGTGCCGATTTCATTTCAGACGCTGGTAACGATGTGACCACTTTGGATGCTTTAGGTTCAAATTTTTGTCTTGTCGGTAACATGGAGACCATGCGTATCGATATCGTTGTATCTGAGCATGGTAAAATAGAGAAGAAGAAGGGGAAGAACAACACTAAACGGCTTTACATCGAAGTCACTGCAGGTTGTTATTCTGATGTTGTTGTGGTAGTTTAAAGTTACATCGAATGTTTTCACAGACGAATCTCCAGCTTTCGTTTGCGAAAAGGTGGGAGTCGAACTGGAAATCGATCGCATGACCGATATGGCTGTCAACGAGATGATCAAGACGAAAAACGTTCTCTACATCTCTCGTGGGCAATTGAAAAACCACACCAGCACCGTGATAAACTTCACCATAGGCGTGCGCACCATACACCAACGCGTCAACATGCCTCTTTTAAGGCTGCTGCATCAAATCAGCAACATGTACCAGAACGTCAAGGACACGCAGAACGAATTGAGACAGCAACAACCTGTGGAGATCAGAAGGCCCAAAACAAGCGCAAGCGATCATGTCGATTTAAACAAACATCACTCTTCAAGTGAGTTTTCGTCGCTACACAGCAAACGGAAAATTATAGAAGTGTATAGGATGACGCCACGTTTGAATATGGATTCCTAAATCTCCCCACGGTATAGATTTGTATTCGTCAGTCGAGCGTTTCAATACTCTACACAGTATAGAGGTCGTAATTTCACTTTTGAACTAGTATTAATATAAAAATTATTTTATGCTTAAAAAAAAACTATATACGACATGATTGTGATTTTTTTCATTTTATTAATTAATTAAGCTGTGTTGAATATTTTTCCTAAAGGAATAATTGCCAATGGGCCTTTAATTCATTTGTTCGTAGATGCTACAATAACCTGCACTGGTGTGTACTTTTTCATCGACCAGATTTAAATATTGCTGTACTAACATATACCAGTGGAGATAGTGTAGGGTCTACCGACAGACCTCATTACTAAATTATTAAAGTTTAATAGCATATCGATCATTTTTTCAACATAACCTCTGAAATTTTTAATACTTTACATCATATCCTCTGTGCTTTACATACCTGAGTTGTTACGGTAAACAAAAATCAGACAAAGGAACCAAAGAAAGGAACTATTTTCAACAAAATCATATGCAGAAATGAGAAAATTCAAACTACTTGCATCCATCAAAAGATCAAAACTTCTTGCAATATTACACCCTCTTTTTATACTCTCAGAAATATTGACTAGAACAGTATTAGAGAGACTCCAGTTTCTATAACTTGGTAGAGTAAAGAGAAGTCGAAACCGTTGCGATATTGCATTGCGCTGTTTTTGTATAATTCTCGGGGACATTGAAAAAAATCATTGCCAGTAAAATTCGAAAAGCTTGAGTTTCTATGTCTCTGAGGAGAATAGGAATCCGAAGTTGCTGCACCATTGGACTGAACCCTTTTTTAATAATTTCTAGAGACATAAATGACTGCACCATTCGACAGGGTCGAGTTTCTACCTCTCTGTTGAATATATAAAATCAAAATAACGCATCTTGTAAGACACCATTGAGTTTGACTTTAAATATAGTCGTGCATAGGTATAGAGCCGAAAAATATAAAAACAAAGCACGATTCAATACAGTTCTGATAAAACTTTAAGATTTGATATTCAAACGCGGAGTCATCCTATACAGTCCTATATTTTTCCGTTTGCTGTGTAGATCAAGTTTTTTGCTCACCGTTTCTTTTCAGCTTCCGATTTGCTGCAGAACGCGCAGAACATCATCGACGTTTCCAAGCAGTTAAGTCTAAAAATATCCGATCCGGGTTCGTTCGGATCCCAGCAAAAACCCATTATTTCCAGGTCGCCCAGCGAAAAGTCCCGACCTCAGAGCTTCGCCCAAAAGTTGAGGTCCACCGGAAAAAGCGTCAAAGGTGAGTCCCAGTATTTTTTTTACCGCACAAACGATTGTGATGGTTTTTAGGTTACGTAAATCTGAGCGAAGGCGCTGGAACACCGATGACGATGTCTAGTCCATCGGGTTCAGCTCTGGAACGCGTGACGGTCTCTTCGGACAAAAGCACCGGCCGTTGCTGGAAAAACATGTACCACCTGTTGGATTTATACGCTGACATGTCCGACCGGAAGACAATCAAGCACAGGTAACTATAGTAGCAAAATTAACTTGGTTCTTTTCAAACCAAAAGTGCTTTTATTTAAATTAATTAAATAAAAGCCCCGTTTTTAGCAAAATTTTATTTATTGTTTGTGTGCACAAATTAAATATACTCGTCAAAGTGGAATTTACTCCAGCGCTTATGCAAGCAGTTTCCATGGAATGTTGCCATCGATTTTGCGTAAACATTAACAACATCATGGGCAATTTTTGCTACAACCTGGTTGAAAATTGAATAATTTGGTTTAGGAATTGTTGACAGTATTTTCATTGCACAATCGTTTTTATTAGATATTCTGCTAGACTACTACATTTCCATCATCTCCACCATCGCTTTTAAGGCATCCCTTAAATCTACAATAAGTGTAGATTTAAGTTCTTTTTAGCCACTCCTTTTAATTTGGTTATTTCAAAAATTTTCATTCATCAAATTCATTTTGCCCGTAGTTTTACGAATTTGTTGATATCCACTGTTGATGATTTAGTTGTCATCACAATCCATACAACAATGTCTGCTCCACAATCCACACAACAAGGTCTGTTCTATCTCATAGCCAAAGCACAAGATCCGTAAGCAACATAAAAATGGCCGCCGTTCGAGTCTGTGCAGTGTTGCAGTGATTTTTAGCATTCACGAAACGAGATAGAACAGACCACAATTCACACAACAATTGTGGTGGGTTTTATCTTATGCTAAAAATACTAAAAATCAATGCAACACTGCACAGAGTTTAACGGCGGCCATTTTTGTTGTTTACAACTTTTGTGCTTTGGGTTTGTGCTCTGTTTATACAGATTAATAATCATTTTAAACTTTGTGTTTCTCATAGTAAGCCTTAAAAGAGGCCTTAAAGTGCTAAAAACAACCATTTTACTCCTCTATTGTAAAAAATAAACTTTATTCTATCAGGGCTGTCATAAAACTGTCAAATTTCAATTTTAAGGTTAAATTATAACCCACAAATTAACCTTCAAATTGTCATTTGACAGCCCTGATAGAATAAGGTATATTTATTATAAAAGAGGAGTAAAATGGTTGTCAGCACTTAAAGGCCTTATTTGAGGCTTACAAGTGCCTCTGTAAGAAACCAAACGTTTAAAACAATTATTAACAGCATCAACCCAAAGCACAAGAATTGTAAACAACAAAAATGGCCGCCGTTAAACTCTGTGCAGTGTTGCAGTGATTTTTAGTATTTTTAGCATGAGATAGAAGAGACCTTGTTGTGTGAATTGTGGTCTGTTCTATCTTCTTTCGCGAATGCTAAAAATCACTGCAACACTGCACAGACTCGAACGGCGGCCATTTTTATGTTGCTTACGGATCTTGTGCTTTGGCTTTGAGCTGTTTATACAGATTAATAATTGTTTTAAACCTGGTGTTTCTTACATAGGCACTTGTAAGCCTCAAATGTGGCCTTAAAGTGCTAAGGGCAACCATTTTACTCCCCTTTTGTAAAAAAATATATATTATTCTGTAAGTATACTTATAACCTTTAAATTGACATTTGACAGTTTGAAGAGAGCCCTGAGAATAAGTTTTATTGTTTACAAAAGAGGAGTTAAATTGTTGTTCTTAACACTATAAGGTCTCATTTGTGTCTCTGTAAGAAACACAATGTTTAAATTTTTAATCTGTATAAACAGCACAAACCCAAATCACAAAAATTGTAAACAACATTTCGTAAAAAACGTTTTTAAACAGGAAAATTGTTTCAGTTCTTGCTAAACAATACTCAAATGAATGATTTTTTTTATAACACATCAGATTTACGCCTTAAAAAAAGCAAATTTAACGGCAGTAACTTTGCAATTCAATGCTTCGTTTAGGTTCTCCGTCGGGACATATGATATTTCCGAACACTACAAAGGGAACAGGAAGTATGATATTTTACAGGAAATGAAATCCACAAATGATATCGACAAGATTGAAAGCACACCACCATTGCCAAGAGATATAAGTAAGTTAATGGAAGTATAAATGGATATTTTACAATCATTTCGATTTTGTTAAAGACAACTCTTCGCCGAACGAGCACACGAAGCTGGTAGTGTTCGGCGTTGCCAAAATTCACCGCACCAAGCTGCAGGCGACGTTGTCGGGTCTCAAGCTCGAAGCCGAGATTACGAGTTTGCACTCTAGTCTGACGGTGCGGAAAAAATCTGTCCCGCAGATGCTTGAATGCTCCTTGACGGGGCAAATAGGCAGGACCATGATTGTCCTGCTAGAAGGGGTGGCGCCCAATCAACAAACGGTTGTTAAAGTTACCATAGGGAAGTCGCAGGCGCTCTATTCGAGCGTCACCAAACGCTCGAAGGACAAGAACTCAGGTCTGCTTACCGTGGGGGCCGTCAACATCGATATACCTCAGCACCCTGTTGCGTTGCACGGGATGGTCACCAGAGGGAGCAAGCAGTTGAGTTCCACTCTGCAAGAGTTGAGGGTCACTAGAACTTCTAGTAGGATGTCTAGAGGTGCGCCGCCTGAGGAAGATGTGCAGAGCTCGCCAAACCACCCTACCAGGTACACTTTTTTACACAAATTTTCGATGAATTTCAATCGCAAATAACTTTTTTATTTGATGTCGGATTTAAACGAATATTAAAGAATATTGTAGATAAATTAATGGACAATCGCTCACATTTAAAAAAAAATACTAAAAAATACACGTACGTTTATAATATACAGGTTTAAACATTGCAATTTCCAATATTTTTCTGTATGAAGAACTAAGGTTGCTATGGTCCATCCATAGCCTATGGAGAATGACAGTGACAGTTTTGTTGAATCATCCCATACTTGGACATGTCATACACGGCTTTCAAAAGCTATCAAATTGTTTTTTGCAAATTAATGTTTGAATTTTGAGGTGTCTTCTTACTTTAAAAAATGGATATGTCTCCGACTGATGTTGCCAGAGCCATTAATTTAATCCAGGATGGACGGTCACAGTATTACGTGGCAAGTGTTTTAAACATCACAAGAAGTAAAGTACAAAGGGCAACATCAGTCGGAGACATTTTTAAAAGTAAGAAGACACCTCAAAATTAACACATTAATTTACAAAAAACAATTTGATTGCTTTTGAAAGATGTATATGACATGTCCAAGTATGGGATGATTCAACAAAACTGTCACTGTCACCCTCCATGGGCTACGGATGGACCATAGCAACCTTAGTTCTTCATACAGAAAAATATTGGAATTTGCAATGTTTTTTTTTAAAAATCCATATTTTCCACAAAAATAAATATATCAAGGTGAACCAAAAACAAAACTGTTAAAAATAGATGTGACTTGATAATTAAACCTTAATTTAGAACAATATACGGTTTTGCCACTCTACAGAGTGTCTTAAACTTATGGTAAAAAACATCTTTTTGTTTAAACCTTTATATTATAAACGTACGTGTATTTTTTAAAACGTGAGCGATTGTCCATTAATTTATCTACAATATTCTTTAATATTCGTTTAAATCCGACATCGAATAAAAAAGTTATTTGCGATTGAAATTCATCGAAAATTTGTGTGGATCGAGTATTTTGCCTGTGATTGTAGTTTATATATGTCTAAATTATAAAAATTGAAGCTTGCTTAATGAGTAAAAAATAAATTGAAGCTTGGTTGTGTAGCAAAAAAATAAAATTAAAGTAGGTTATAATTTCTAACTTGCTGACACTGTCTATATTTATTATTTATTTTATTCATTTTAATAACTTAATGTTTTGAGTTTTACTATGCAAAATTTAATCGCTTCTCCTGCAAAACTCGATTTTGGATCGCCTAGCATGTATTCTTCTTTGCTTAGGGACTTTTTGGTTTCGAGCCCGGCTGCTCCGAAGCAGGCCCCGCAAGAAAAAAGCCTCCTTCAGCCGCTGATGATGCAATTTTCGGTGATTTTGCAAAGTCTGAGCATCACCGCCGCGCTGTTGCCATCTTTACTTGCTCAATATAAGATGGACCAAGTGAATAGCACCGGTTTCACTGGGAGCAAAGCCAAGTTTACAATCGATTTGCCTCACCATTCCCTGAGTTTTACCACGAAATTACAGGTTAACATTCAAAAAATTATACGGGGTGTTGCCTAATAAATTGTCATCCTTTTGGAGGATGATAGTACACGCCAAAAAAAAGTTTTTCCTCTAGACCTATCCTGTATATCATAATGGGGTAGTTAAATTTTTTCTGACCTATACTTTTTATGGTTTTATTCAAGGCGTTTTGTAATTTTAAACATTTCTGTGAAATCAGAATTTCAATTGAGTTTACCGTTTTCGCCTGTGACCAACATTCTAAGATTTCTATTGGTTGAAAATTACCCTGTTGCCAAGTTGTCTTGTTAATGATTTCATTCGGTTATGTCAGAAAATACCCGAAGAGGTTATGTACAAATACTGTCACTGTCAGTTGAGTGAAAGATGGTCACCAAATTCATTAAGTACCTATCTTCCTTATTACGAGGTATCATATTACTGTTTCGATATTTTAGAGTCCAAGATATATCTAAAAGAATATAAAGAACTAGGCATTATACTAATGAAATGCATTTACGACAAAATATGATTATAATTATAGGTACTTACTTTATTTGTTTAAAAGCTCCAATGTTTAATGTAACCAACCATTTCACAAGATTCCTCTGCTTTGGAGTCCGTTATTAATAAATCACTTATCTAATATCAATTACAAATAACATAACAATAACATTGATTTTTAATAATCTAAATTTAAAAAAAACATAACCCGAAAAAAAGAAACGTCAAAAAATCAATTCTTCTTCTTCTCAACTAAAATTCAAGTGGTTTTAAAACTAAAATATTATAACGTGGCGCCATCTATCGTAAGAATCTTAAACTAAACACACTGGCAACCATAGAAAAAGCTGGCAACGTTGTCAATAGCCTAGTGACGTAATTAGGAGATTTTTTTTGTAAATATCTCGAAAACGGTAAATTCAATTGAAATTCCGATTTCATAGAAATTTTTAAAATTACAAAACGCCTTGAATAAAACCATAAAAAGTATAGGTCAGAAAAAATTTAACTACCCCATTGTTTTTACCTCTAGCTTGAAATCTAATTGATCGATTTGGTCAAACAAGCCCTTAAATTGAAGGTATTTAAGCCCTCTAAAACTTTCTTTTACATACTTTTGAAATCGGACAAGTATTTTGACGCTAGCGATTTTAATAACTTAAAAAAACAAAAATTGAGGTCGAAATTTTACATATCGTCCTGGGAAGGGTTTAAATCAAACAGATAACTCCAGTTTGAATTTTTTTTGTGAAGCTGACATTTTAACAAAAAGAACAAGCTAATGTTGATAAAAATACATGGAAAAAGGCGAAGTTATGAATTTTTTAGTGGAAGACCAAAATTCAGCTTTTTGACGATTTTTATTTTATTTTTTTTATTTATTTTGTAATATGTTTATTTATTAATGAAAACCTAAGTAAAGTGCATGATTGAAATTTTTTGAGTTTTTTACGTACTTTTTTCACCGAAAAAATGATTCAAAATTTAAATTTGACTCCGCAAACGTGAATTCTTTTGTTTCTCTTGTTGGCATAGTGTCATTTCACTGCTATTTTTCGATATTTCAACAAGGTATTTTTATCATGGTTTTATTTAGCTAATAAAAAGTGTAAAATGAGTAAAAGAAGTGGAGAGTGCGTAAATAACCCGCACAATCTGGGCGACGTAAGTGATGAGCACGGAGAACTTTTTCACCAGCAAATGAAGGCTATGGAGCGGCGGTATCACGGCTTCTGGGATGCAGCCATGATGGGTGATTACATTTGGTCCCTCATACGAGAAACGGAATACGAAAGCAACAAAAAACAAAGAATGAGCCAGAATTTTTTTAAATCTAAGCTCATTAAAACAAAATAAAATTTTCAATATCTTCAATGTTCAATATTAAATTTAATATAATTTAATAAAACGATGAAAAAACGTAAAAATTCTCGAAAAACTGAATTTTGGTCTTCCACTGAAAAATTCACAACTTCGCCATTTATCCATGGATTTTTATCAAGAGCAGCTTATTTTTTTCCTTTAAGAATAATCTATACGTAAAATAAATCAAACTGGACTTATCTTTTCGATTTCTATCTTTCCCAGAAAGATATGTAAATTTTCGACCTCGATTTTTGTAAAGACTTTCATATTTTGGCGTGTACTATCATATCCTTAAAGTATGACAACTTATTTTGTGACAACACGTCATCTAAAACTAAGTTCTTTCAGAACTACAATCAAAACGAAAAAGCTGAAGCTAATCTGCCTTCGGAGGCTAGCATTGCTTTGCCCGCCGTGCACGTGGTTGCCGAGTACATCCCCGAGAACGCAGCCGATGGCCAGCGCCCCCTGGAGGGGGTCGTTTTCAGACAGGGGGGTTATTTGAACGCGAACGCTGAAATTGGAGTTTTCGAACACAGTTTGACCACGGATTTGCTGAATCACCTGGTGTTCGTGCAGAAGGTTTTCATGAAGGTAAGTTTGAACAATTATTGTAAAAATAGTAGTTAGTTGTTACCATTGTTAATAATTATTATAAGTGATTATACTCTAAAGAAGGTTCCGGTTTTCGCATTATTAATCTAAAGATGAAGATAACCTTAAGAAACACACGCTGCTTGTTTGTAACGCGCAAAATAACAATGCCTGCAGCGGCGCCATCTCGTGCCACAATTATAAACTACATGCTTTACAGAGTTCTTTTTCATATAATGCTAAACTCCCGTGTATTTTTTAGCAAAGCTGTTTTTAACGAAGTAGACATTAAATATAAGGACAAGGTTAAACAATTATTCATATATGAATAAAGAATGTGATAAAATGTCTATAGACATTTTATCACATTCTTTATTAGTACTGTGGAGCTACTTATTTGTTATTTAGCAACACCCTGCATATAATACCAGTTTTTGGTCTTTTACCGTTGAGTGGAGACAACCCAATCAACTCTTTTAATAATGTACTATGCTCCACACCTCAAAGTTCCACCACGTGACCACGTACGGAACGCAGTCTTTTAAAAATTTGGCATTTAAGGCTTTTCAGGTTATGTATCTGTCAAAGTATAGTCAACGAAAGAAATAATATTATGTTTAGGCGTTAAAAATGTATAAATCTTTATAACATTACAATAACAATTTAAAAATATAAATACTGCATTCAATGAAATTCTAAAGTGTATGGTGCCAAATAAGTAATATTTTTGTGCATTTGGTCCAAATATCTGGTTTTCTCCATACAACAATTTTAACTAAACAGCATTTATTAAAAAAATCTAGCTTCTCTATTATGGAATAAGAATTTCTGTATTAAAGGTAGGTTAATATATTATAACAAAAATATCATCTAATTTTGTAATTTTAATGTTGGAAAAATTTATTTTGACCAAAATAAATAAGTATTTTGGATTATTTAAAAGACAGTATAATATTGTATTTAAAAATGTAGTAGTTTTTCTTATCCAGCTTAAAGTGTACCTACATAAAGTTTTGTCAATACAAATAGTTAAAAGCTTCGACTGAATTTGATCTACATCGAAAAATCATTGTAACTTTAATTTCAAGTTTCTCTAAAAATTGTTTGTTTTTTTATAATCTAACTTAAAGTAGGTATGCCGAGAGGTATGCACAAGTTACAAAGCTTCAATTTAATTTGAACCATATTCAACAATTATTTAGTATACCTATATTTATGACCATATTAACACACTCTTCCAAATAATCCACTTATTTATTTTGGTGAAAATAGATTTTTTTAACCTTAAAATACAAAATACCTACCTACCTTTGATACAGATATTCTTATTTCATAATAGAGAAGTAGGATTTTTTTAATAAATCCTGTTTAGTTAAAACTATTTTATGGAGAAATGTAGACCCAATGCACAAAAATATCACTTATATTGCACCTTACACTTTGGAATTTCATTAAAAGCAGTATTTATATTCCTAAATTCTTAAACCAACCATTGTTATTGTGATACTATAAAGATTTATTAACTTTTAACGCTTAAACATAAGCGGTAACACTGTAAATATTATTTCTTTCGTTGACTATACTATGACAGATACATAACCTGAAAAGCCTTAAATGCCAAATTTTCAAAAGACTGCGTTCCGTACGTGGTCACGTGGTGGGACTTTGAGGTGTGGAGCATAGTACATATAATGCTATACTCCCGTGTATTTTATAAAACGTTTTTTCTTTGTTCTGCCTATCTTGTAATTACATACTTTAGGAAGTGAACGAAGTGGTGCAAAAAGTATACGGGGGCGAACGACCTGTACCGATATGGCTCGAAGACACCGAAGAACAAAGCATAAACCGCTTACTTTTCTCTCTGGCCATTAAAATACAACGTATTCAGCTAACTGCCACGACAGCTGGAAGTTCTGCAGTTCGACTGGAAACCGGGGCAGTGATGTTTGAACTGTCCAACAGAGTGCAAAACGTTTCCGGTGGCACGCAAAACAGCACGGCTGCAAGGTATGACGTCACCTTGTGATGACTCCGCGTTTGAATACTAAATCTTAAAGTTTTATCAGAACTGTATTGAATCGTGCTTTGTTTTTATATTTTTCGGCTCTATACCTATGCCCGACTATATTTAAAGTCAAACTCAATGGTGTCTTACAAGATACATTATTTCGATTTTCTATATTCAACAGAGAGGTAGAAACTCGACCCTATCGAATGGTGCAGTCATTTATGTCTCTAGAAATTATTGAAAAAGGGTTCAGTCCAATGGTGCAGCAACTTCCTATTCTCTCCAGAGACGTAGAAACTCAAGCTTTTCGAATTTTACTGGCAATGATTTTCGTTAATGTCCCCGAGAATTATACAAAAACAGCGCAATGCAATATCGCAACGGTTTCGACTTCTCTTTACTCTACCAAGTTATAGAAACTGGAGTCTCTCTAATACTGTTCTAGTCAATATTTCTGAGAGTATAAAAAGAGGGTGTAATATTGCAAAAAGTTTTGATCTTTTTCTTTTGATCTTTTGATGGATGCAAGTAGTTTGAATTTTCTCATTTCTGCATATGATTTTGTTGAAAATAGTTCCTTTCTTTGGTTCCTTTGTCTGATTTTTATTTACCGTAACAACTCGGGTATGTAAAGCACAGAGGATATGATGTAAAGTATATTTATGTATTTTATAAAGTACCTATATTTGTATTAAAAATTTCAGAGGTTATGTTGAAAAAATGATCGATATGCTATTAAACTTTAATAATTTAGTAATGAGGTCTGTTGGTAGACCCTGCACTATCTCCACTGGTATATGTTAGTACAGCAATATTTAAAACTGGTTGATGAAAAAGTACCTACACACCAGTGCAGGTTATTGTAGCATCTACGAACAAATGAATTAATGGCCCATTGGCAATTATTCCTTTGGTAAAAATATTCAACACAGCGTAATTAATTAATAAAATGAAAAAAATCACAATCATGTCGTATATAGTTTTTTTTTGAAGCATAAAATAGTTTTCATATTAATACTAGTTGAAAAGTGAAATTACGACCTCTATACTGTGGAGAGTATTGAAACGCTCGACTGACGAATACAACTCTATACCGTGGCGAGATTTAGAAAATTGTATTCAAACGCGGCGTCATCCTATGCACTTCTATATTTTTTCGTTTGCTGTGAATCTACCTCTTCGATTGTAGGTTGTTCGGGAGGGCTCAGGTGGACCTGAACTTGTCGCTGGGCCAAATAATACGGAACGCGGTTTTCGAAGAGGCCGACACGGAATACCAACCGGTGGCGTTTTTCAACACCAGAATCAGTCTGAGGAACGCCTTTCAAGGCGAAATAGTGGAAGGGGAGGACAAGGAGGTGGTTCTGATAACCCTCAAACGCCCTCTGATCTACATACAGCCCAGCGCTATCGACAAGGCGATATTGGTTTGGTTAAACTATAAGAACGCCTACGATTACTGGAACGAGAAAAGGGCCAACTTGAACAAGGAAGTGCAAAGTGCCACGCAGCAGATCTACGAGAAGTTCCAGTTCGGGCAACTCACCAGTCAACTAGGTAAGCTTTACTATTTTCGATTTCCAGGTTTTTTGTTGAATCCTCAGTCAAAACTAGAAATTACATTTTGGGATTGTAAAAAATAGGTACTGCGTTTCTTTTGAATTTCTTACAGAACTATATTTAGATAGTAACAAAAACCTTTGATTTCAAAAATGTCATTTGTTTTTCTCTAGGACGTCTAGATTTTAAAATAATTTCGTAATAAAATGCCCTGCTCAATCACCTTAAAATGTAAGTTTTTTGTTTTGCTTAAATTTATCTTGAATGTACTGAAGTAAATGGTGTACGACAAATACATCATATTTATCTAAACAATTTGACATTTTAAATACCCACTAAAACTAAAATTTTAATATATTTTCTACTTTAAATTTTTTAAATCGTATCAAATATCGAATTGGATTATAGTATTATTGTGCTTAATCCTCATCATCGTCGTACATCTTTTGCTGCAAATTCCAGCAAATGTCTTCTAGCAATGAATCCAACTTCTTTCCGCTATACCCATAGATATCTACCAATGCTCTAGATTTGAAGTTACTTGGTGAAATCGTTCTCCATGTTCATCAGTTCGGCAAATTTATGAGGATGAAAAAAAAAGAAAATGTATTTTGAATGACTTATTAACGGTCATTCTTTGCAAAACGAAGAGCATTTTTTCAATGAATTGGCGCCAATTTTAGGCCCGATATGAACCAAGAACAGCTTTAATACTGCCATATGCCACAAGCTCGTCAACTTTGAGAGCATTTTTGAATGCTTGATCTTTCATTAAACGTCGTATAACAGGTCCATTTAATATTCCTGCAAAATTAAAGTAGTAGGTGTATCTCATAAAATTTTGTAATGAAATATTGCGTTGGTTGTTCTTGGGCGTAAAGGTACCGCAACATAAACAAAACAAATTTACAACGACGACATAAATGTTCGTCTCCTTTCTCTTTCTCTGCCACTTCCATTTCCTGCTCTTTTTTCATTTTTGGTTCTTAAAATCACTTTCAAGTAAAAATACAATTTAAATGTCAATAATTAATAGATGCACTTTAATGTGCTTGAACGATAAAGTAGATAAAGGCGCCTTTATACTTCAATTCGATATTAAATTTTGATAAGTCTTAATAAATAAGATTGGAAATTAAATTTTTGGGTACTTTAGGCATGATGTGAATAAAAAAAATATCAAATAATAGTTGCTTTTTTAATTTAATTATTAATTAAAAAACGACAAAAAAATCATACTTCTTGGCAGAAAAGTGCTTTATTAAATATCCCTTATTTAATACTACTAAACTAAAAAAAAAAAATCTATTTGACATTTATCTACCGATGACTTTGTATGGAGTCCCTTTTATTTTTGACAAAAAACGTCAAATATATACTGAAAATCCAAAATAGATTTAAGGCAAAATAATTTAATAAATAATCAAAATATTAACACAAAAAACTTACATTTTGAGATAATTGGGCATAGCATTTTATTACGCAACTATTTCGTTTTGTGAGTGGCATTTTTGAAATCAGCAGCCCAAAATTAGGTAATATAGGTGGGCGCAAAGATTATTATCTTTGGGTGTTAGTAATTCGAACTATCACAGTGTAATTAATGACTTCTTAAGGTGGACCCCACATGGGCACCCTGTTCCTTCAACTCACCGTCGAAGACATGGGCATATGTCTGCCCTTAAACCCGCTCCCCGTAGCGTGGAACCAACGAAACACGTACGAAGAGAGCCGCGGTGCTGTGGTGATAACCCTCGAAAACACTTCTATATCGGCTTGCAGCTCCGGCTCTTTGGTGAGCAAGGGAAAGTTCTCGAACCTCTGCCTCCGTTTTGCGGAAGATTTCGAGAACTCTCTCGACGACTGGAAGCCTGACATGTCCGACAGCACCATAATGAATTTATGCGTTGTTAGCGACGGTACATACGAAGTATGTAGCCGGACTATAGCCGCGAAACAACCCAATGAAAACGCGAAGTGGTTCCTCAACGTGCAATGGCAGATGGAGGGGGTGGATATACACCTGGATACCAACGTGGGCAAGCAGTTGAGCGCCCTAGGTCACACTTTGACCATGATCACCGGCGCGGAAGATACGGGGATCCCGTTCGATTACGATAGCGACGATAACGAACCAACAGATGGCACCACAAGAGCCTCTCAGGAGAGCATATTACCTGCGTTCATGTTTGACCCCAAATTGGACAACCGCAGTCGCTCGAAACTGATTGAAAAGGAAATGAACGAACAAGCGAAGATCATAAACGATCTAAGATCGTTGGGCGCCTCTCACAGCACAATTGAGCAGGAAATGAAGAGGCTGCAGGAGTTAGAAACGATGGTCTACAAAGACTTCCGCAGAGATATGATACAAAAACTGCGCAGGCAGAGCGTCAAGGCTTCCTCCATCAAAGGAAAATTCGGTTTGGGGTCAAAATCGAACGCCTCTAGATCCAAATCGTTCGTAGTGCCCAGTCCTATGCCGGAGAGAAAGGATAGGTAAGTTTGGTGGCAGTAAAACGTTACTGCAAGGTCTAAAAGCGATTTTACGCTTTTAGTTCCATGTCGTTCAGTCCTGAGAGCGGTAAGGTTGGCATTACCAACACTTCCAGCTACGAAAGTTCCCCCAGATCGGGTCCATCTAGATCTGCTTCTCTGAGGGTTAAACAGGGAGAAACAGGACCGCGCGTTACTTTCAGCGATACGCAAACCATGTGTCGGTAAGTACAAAACGAAAATTAAACTACATTTGTACTTTTGTTTAATGAAACGTCCATGTAAGTTTAAGTCACATAAAAATGCCACCAAAAACTGATTGCAGTTTCTTGTTTGGAACTCTTTTTTTTTTAAATTTTTGTTTATCTTAAAGTCTACCTTTGACAGACTACACATTTGTACACCGATTTTTATAATATTGAAGTATATTGTTAAGGAGATTTTGAGAATACTTTTTTATACTGTGCACATCATTTAATATATACAGGGTTAGCCAAAAATCGCTTCTTTTAATAAAGCAAAAGCGTAAATTCATGATTTTGGCATAACACGCAAAAAATATATATATACCCACCCATGCTTTTTTAGATATTTTTATGTTTATCCCAAAATGGGATTCTTATTAAGACTATAAGAAAAATTGATTTTGAATAAAATTAAATAAAATAACATTTTTTGGAGATAAATCTTTTTTGGGCATTATGCTTTTTACTACATAAAAAAGGGATTTTTGGCTAACCCTGTATAAATCTAATGATGTGCTCAGTGTGAAAGCAGTATTCTTCAAGTCTCGTTAACAATATACTTCAATATTGTAAAAATCGGTGTACAAATGTGTACTCTGTCAAAGGCAAGATAAACAAAAATTAAAAAAAAAATTAAGAATTTTCAAAAAAGAGCAGCTAGGATTTTGGTAAATATCATTTTAAAGTTAAAAGTATTCTTTAAGTCTCTTCAATAATATACTCTAATTTTATAAAATCGGTGTACTAATGTGTACTCTGTCAGGTAGACTTTGAAATAAACAAAAATTTAAAAAACAAGAATTTCCAAAAAATTTCGAAAAGAGGAGCAGCTAGGATTTTAGTAAATATCATTTTTAAGTCACCAAATGGTCCCGAACAAGAAACTGCAATCAGTTTTTGGCGGCATTTTTATGCGACTTAAACTTCGTTCAGGCACACCGTGCATGATAGTTGAACTTGATGAGGAGCCTCTAAAAATTTTCTTCGATGTTTGAATTTTATTTTGAATGCTTTCTCCTAAACAACCCTCAGCAGAAGATGTTGAAGATCATCCCCCAGTCTTTTCAAATCAGGGATACTGCCCCCCTTATCAACCAACATGGTAGCTGCACTCCTTCGCATACAACGCCCTGTGTAGCTATTGGAATCGGGAAGCTTTAAATATTCGGCAATTTTTCTCGGCAAACTTAAAATGTGTTGATCCCCACCGGTTGCGCAGTGCATTTACCATTCCGGTAACAAACGAAAATTCTGGAATGATTCGTGTTTTGTGGCCTTAATTTGCGATACTTTCGGTACAACTCAATTCCGTTCGCTTCCGAAGTTATGCTTCTTTTTCGATTTTGTATTACGTAGTGTTACGATAATAACCGATTCATTCTCTTCTATATCGTTAATTGTTAGTGTTCGTGATTCTTCCCCTCGCATTGCTCCGTTTAAAGCAAAAATTAATGCCACTTTCATACATAGATACGATTCATTCGAAGCGTCATTTAGAAACTTTAAAATTTGTTCAATTGATTTTAGGTTCATATCCTTTATTGTGTTTTTTCAAAAATGCCATTAATGCTTGCATTTTTAAATGTCACTGCCTTCATATATTTGCAACGTACTCTTCAGCATCGAATATGTTGACCACAGTGACGATGCCTTCAGATTTTTGGACTAAAGATACAAGAAAAAATTGGATAATTTATTTTTTAAAAGCATTACCTTCCTATATTTCCCAAAAAAAAACGCTAGCATAAAATTTTCACTGACACCTTGTACCCCTTGATTGTTTCTCCATTGACAGAATTCTTCAAAAGTTTTATCGTATTTTTCTTTTGACTTAGGTGGAAGCAGATTTTGAGTCGCTTCTCTCGCAACTTCCAAAATACCCTCATTTTCTTCAAAAACACTCATCTTTCGACAAAATTCTGTTTTTATTTAATATAAGTTTGGCGTAGGTGTTTTTTGTTATAAAGGAGAAAAACATTATTGACGTTTCCTCTGCACTTTTATACTTTTTCACAACCCTGCATATCGGGGATGTACCCACAATTGTTCATCATTGTTCGGCCTCACATTTACATACTATTGTGTTGTATATCCAGGCAAACTTCTCTCCCTAGCGCGAGCTCGGAAATCAGTTTGCCCGAGACGCATCTCGATTGGACGGATCACATCGACATTGACGGCGTTTCGGTGCCGCTGCGCAAAAAACTCCCCGCCTCCTACGAATCCGTGGACGAGTCCTACATGGACTCGATCTCTTTGGACCAGCCGATCGCCTCGAGCTTCGCCCAGACGAATTTGAACCAATCGGGTGGCGTTGGTGGCACGAGCGTCGCGCAGAAGCCTCAAGAGCCTAACATCGATTTGGAGTTGGACGTGAAGGTTTTCATAAACAGCGGCAAGTGCGTGCTGCACACGAAAGATCCCGCTAGGGAGGAGGAGATCAAGCTGAGCAGGATGAGGAAGGACAGGAGTTGCTCGGCGGGGCTTTTGGAGTTTCCCACCACTTCTTCGAGTCCCGATGCTGGCAGGAGGAACAAGGATAAACTTTTGGGGCAGTCCAGTGCCAGCAAGATGCGCACCACGCCGCACGCCAGTCTGGTAGATCTCACCATCTTCCACATACCTGGTAAGTTTTTAGTATGTAGTTTTAACATTTTTTTGTGCCTTGATTGCCCTTTAAAGGTAAGTCATTTATATTTCACACCCACTTCATCAACAAGCAACATGTTGCTTCGGCAGGCAAAACAAATCTAATCATTTACCAAGGTATCAATATTGTGGGTCTGGTACCTATTTTTATAAAAATGTCAACATAATATTTTTTCACTGCATAGTGAAATAGTAATCATAATTTGTACTGTTTATACATACAGTAAAAATACATTTTTTTCAAAAATTCATTCTTAATAAAAGTTTTTACATGAATTAAATTAGGAGATTTTTTTTGTAAACATCTCGAAAACGGTAAACTCAATTGAAATTCCGATTTCACAGAAATGTTTAAAATTACAAAACGCCTTCAATAAAACCATAAAAAGTATAGGTCAGAATAAATTTAACTGCCCCATTATGCAAGCGTAATTTTATAATGCTCCAAAGATGTTCAACTGAGTTTAAATCGGGACTATTGGCTGGCCACTCCATAACACTTAAGTTTTATTCTTCAAATAACTTTTTGCGTAACTTGTAGCCTAGTGCAACATTTTGACCTATTTGATAGCGCAATAAATTTAGCATTTAAGGTTGCATAATTAACTGTCTAACTTCTCTAACCGTGAAGTCCAAAGCACCAACATTTCCGGTACTTTCAGGCATGGACGTGAAGCTACAGTACCAATCGAAAGTGGTGACCGCGGTGGACACGCCCACTCAACCCGATCAAACCCCCGACTTCGACCGAGCCTTCTCGAGCCCGTTCTCGAGCTCTGATCAAAGCCGAATCGATCGGGCGTTCGAGCGTCGAGAGAGTTTGGATTTAAAATCTGACCCTTCGATGCACGGCATTACGAACCCGAACTACGGCGTCAGTCCGTCGTCGAGTCTCGAAGATTTGCAGTTTAACATGACCCCTCCCAACGAGAGCTACCGAGGGTTCACGGCTTTCCCGCAACACAACAAAAAGTCGGGCGTCAAGAAGGCCTCGCTGTTCGCTTGGATGACGCTTCAAAGCGTGCCGGAAGAGACCATCATAAGCCCTCACATTCTGGAATTCCTCGAACAAACCCTAGAGCCAATACCGAAGACCATTTCGACGACGTCATTCCTCAACTCCGACCAGGACTTAACCAACTACGGCAACTACGTTTACGCCAGCTTTCCGGTCGATGTTATCGTGTACTTCCACATGCAGCCGAGCACCTTTAGGTTCAGTTGTCTTCCCGTTTCGCGGGTGGAATGCCTGCTGCAGCTGCCGTCGTTGGACATCGTGTTCAGCTCGAAGAGAGCCGAGGACGAGCTGTTTTCAAAGTAAGTAGCACCACACGTTAAGAAGCTTCGACATTAAGTGGCGTTTTTCAGCGAAATATCTGCGGCGACTGCGATAGGCGGCCTCAGCGTTACAGGGTGCCTTTCAGACTTTTCCGTGTACATCTTCCATCCCTACGGGGGGAAAAAATCCGGGCTCAAAGAAACCCAGTGGTCGCCTCTGTCGGACAGCGAGAGAAAAGATTCCTTATCAGTAAACGTGGAGTTCGTCAAAATACATTTGTCCCGATCTAGGATGTTGAATCTGAAACAGGAGCTCAACAAGGGAAAGAGCAGCGACCAAAGCAAAGCTATGATCAGATTTTCCAGTAAGACGGTGTTTAATACATTTTGTTTTCCGTGTAATTATATTATTATTATTTTTTAGCTATTATCGATATTGGTTCGGCTTCCTTCAAGTATGATATGAGACGATTGACGGAGATCCTGGCTTTTCCCAAAGCTTGGTATAGGAGATCCATAGTGAGAAGAATGTTTTTAGGGGATTTAAGTATGTCTCAATGCTATGCCGATGAAGAGGATAGTTTGCCAAGTAGTAGTGCTTCACCTGGAACCAGCAGAAGCCACGACAGCCGGTAAGATACAAAGTTTTCCTACGACTCTTAATTTGGTAGTCGTAATTTACTACTCTTAAATTACCACTCTTAATTTGGGAGTCGTAATTTAAGAATCTTAATATAAGACAAAATTGGACGAGATGTGAATTTACGACTCTTGATTTAGGAGTTGTCCTATGACTCTTAATTTGGGAGTCGTAATTTACTCCTAATTTAGGAGTCGCAATTTAAGACAAAATTAGATGAGATATGAATTTACGACTTGATTTGGGAGTTCCAATTTAAGACTATTAAATTAGGAGTCGTAATTTACTACTCTTAAATCACGACTCTTAATTTAGTAGTCGTACTTTAAGAATCTTAAATTACGACTCCTAATTTATGAGTCGTAATTTAAGACTCATAATTTAGGAGTCAAAATTTAATACTCTTAAAATTAGAAGGGAAGTGTTAATTATCGAATCTTGATTTAGGAGTTCTAATTTAGGACTCTTAAATTAGGAGTTCTAATTTACTACTCTTAAATCACGACTCTTAATTTGGGAGTCGTAATTTAAGAATCTTAAATTACGACTCCTTATTTATAAGTCGGAATTTAAGACTCCTAATTTAGGAGTTAAAATTAGAGTGTTAATTTACGACTCTTGATTTAGGAGTTGTAATTTAAGACTTTTAATTTAGGAGTCGTTATTTAAGAATCTTTAGGATGAGTTTCTTTCGCCTGGTGTTTGTCTGAACTTGATTGATTCATTAATGTTTATGTTAACGTTCTTTATGAGTTCGTTGCCATGCTGTTTTTGTGTGAAATGTTGGCTTCTTATTAATTTTTACCTGGTAAAATTGTTTTTTACCTAATCATGCAATCTTGTTAATTTTTTAACTTATAAAATTCCTAAAATTTGGCTAAAATTTATTTTAAAAAGTAATTTAAAAAATATATATTTTTAGGTTCTAGTTTATTAAATTCTTTTTAAAATGATATATTACGACCTACATTTATCTTAAAAAACAACAAAATTTACCTTAAAACAAAATCCATGTAGTAGCTCCTAGATTTCTACAAAATTGTCATTTTTAGCCATATTTCGTTTGTTTTCGACAAAAATAATCTAAAGAATGTTTTGCTGTATTATGCAAACTTTATATTTTTTCAATTATGATATTTTTGTGTAACAAGATCCACATTACAATTATTGTTAGTTATTAACTAAAAGGTTAACATTTTTTTTCTCAAAATATAAATATAACATAATTTGACTTGGCCCTAGTTTTTTTAGCCATATCTATCGACGCGTTTTTTTTTTTAATAAACATAAGGCGTAACGGAAAAATATTTAAAAAAATAATTTCTCAAAGATAAAGAAAAAATATGCATTAGGAGTTTTCTATAATTTTTGTGTTACGTCATTGGTTACACAACAAAGTAGCTGCGCGTGGCCAGTTGTAAAAAATTGTTACTAAAAGTTTTTCTTGCAAAAAATAAATAAAAACTCAATAAATACAAAAGTTGTATACCCTTCTGTATTTATTTGCTCATCCAGCTATTAGCTTAAGCGATGATTAGAAAATTAAGTGCCTATTTTAAAAACTCCATAACTACAAAATTAATTTTTTCATCGGTTTTTTCTTTCTGTTTACTCAGATGAAATTAGGTGCTAGTTCACAGGTAAAACTTTAAACATTCAATTTTGTTAGTTAAGATATTTACAATTTGGGCCCATAACCTTAAATTTGAAAGAAATGCACTAGATTCTGTGGAATATTGATTTTTTTTATGTATTTGTCCTAAGACAAGGCAAAATTGCAAATCTTTCTCATTACACTCAGCTCTGGAAAATCCGACAAATCCCCCCTCCTAAACGGCAAGGACAAGGCGAAACTGGGCTTCGAGAACGACCCGCACCGCCACCGGAAGGTGAAGGACATCGGCAAAACTTACAGCAACGATTCCGCCTCGAAACCCAGCCCTTCGGAGCACAAAAACCTCACCACGTGGGAAACGTGCGTCTTGCTCACGGTGAACTTCAAAAAACTCAACGTGCACATGAACATGGGCAACGTGATGGGCAACGTCACGTGGCTGACGAAGGATTTTAGGAGCGACGCGCGCCTCTCCATCGGCAGCACCGGGCATAAAAACTTGTACGTCGCGTTGGGTCTGGGGGGGTCGGGTCTGGACGCCAAGGGGGGCATCGTGGGTGGAAACATCGAGATCGCGAACATCGACACTTTTGTTCACATCAGGGAGGAGCCCGACGTGGAGCCCGATCACACGGTGGGCGTGAAATTGCACGCCTTGGAGCTGCGTTTGGACTACATGGCGACTTCCGTGTTGATGTGCAGAGTCAGCGATTTGAAGGTGAGTGGAATTTTTTTTTTTGCCATAAAAACTAGTCGAGAATTAAGAGAATTAAGAGTAATTTTTTAATGACAAAAAGGTTTGAGATAATTTAAAAAAGGTAAAAATTGATCTCGAGTATTATGGGAAGTAACAAAATTTCATTTGATTTCATATTTCGTTTTTTTTATTTATTGTCAGAGATTCCCTTAAAACAATTATTAATCTGTACAAACCCAAAGCACAAGAATTGTAACCGACGTTTTGATTGGTAACATACGAGACCATTATTTGCAAAATTCTCTCTTTGCTATTTGGTTTACTTTTCAGGACTAATAAATATGATAATTGTACTATGCTCCGCACCTCAAAGTCCCACCACGTGACCACGTACGGAACGCGGTCTTTTGAAAATTTGGCGTTTAAGGCTTTTCAGGTTATGTATGTGTCAAAGTATAGTCAACGAAAGAAATAATATGATGTTTAGGCGTTAAAAATGTATAAATCTTTATAACATTACAATAACAATAACAATGGATGGTTTAAGAATTTAAGAATATAATTACTGCATTTGGTCCAAATATCTGGTGTTCTCCATAAAATAATTTTATCTACGCCAGTGAGATAAGAACTTCTTATCCCACTCATTTTGAGTGAGATAAGAAGTTCATTAACGCACGCGTTTTTCTCTGCTTTTAACCAATCAAATAAAAAAGTCAAAATGTCAAAATAACCCTAAATTAAGTCTTAAACAAAAATAATTACCGTTTATTTTTTCATTTAGAGGCGTACATAAAAATTTGTACAATATACGTGTGATAACGCTTTATTAACGTACTTTTGCGATTGCCCAACTCGTGATACGCACTCGTTGGGCAAATTTCGCATGCGTACGTTAATAAAGCTCTTATCCCACTTATATCGTAAATAACTATTAACTAAACAGCATTTATTTAAAAAAAATATTATGGAATAAGAATATCTGTATTAAAGGTAGGGTAATATATTATAACAAAAATATCATCTAATTTTGTAATTTTAAGGTTAGAAAAATTTATTTTGACCAAAATAAATAAGTATTTTGGATTATTTAAAAATGTGGTAGTTTTTCTAATCCGGCTTAAAGTTTTGTCAATACAAATAGTTAAAAAGCTTCGACTGAACTTGATCTACATTAAAAAATCATTATGTCAATAAATATTTTTAAATTGCAAGTTTCTCTAAAAATTGTTAGTTTTTTTATAATCTAACTTAAAGTAGGTATGCCGAGAGGTATGCACAAGTTTTGTCATTAGAAGTATAAAAGCTTCAATTTAATTTAAACCATACTCAACAATTATTTAGTATACCTATATTTATTTATGACCATATTAACACACTCTTCCAAATAATCTACTTATTTATTTTGGTCAAAATAGATTTTTCTAACCTTAAAATACAAAATTAGATGATATTTTTTGTTCTAATACATTAACCTACCTCTGATACAGATATTCTTATTTCCTAATAGAGAAGTTAGTTTTTTTAATAAATGCTGTTTAGTTAAAACTATTTTATGGAGAAATGTAGACCCAATGCATAAAAATATCACTTATATTGCACCTTACACTTTGGAATTTCATTAAATGCAGTATTTATATTCCTAAATTCTGAAACCAACCATTGTTATTGTGATACTATAGAGATTTATTAACTTTTAACGCTTAAACATAAGCGGCAACACTATAAATATTATTTCTTTCGTTGACTATACTTTGACAGATACATAACCTGAAAAGCCTTAAATGCCAAATTTTCAAAAGACCGCGTTCCGTACGTGGTCACGTGATTATTTTTTCGATTAGAGGGTTTTGCAAATAATCCTTGTAAATCCACATTTTACGTTTGCGTGAAGGTGAACCTGCGCGACGAATGGAAACTGAATAAGGCGACAAATCGGGACGCTTTTATCCCCACCCGCCGGCCGGCCAGCATTTTCATGCACGGCGATCTCAGCTGGGACCAGCTGCAGATGATGATATCCAAGTCAACCACGGCCGATTTGTTGAAAATGTTTAACAAACTCGAGGAGTTCTTCTCGCAACAATTCAACAGCAGCAAGCGCGCTTTCATCAGCATTTCGGGCTCGAGGTCGTCGAGAATATCCGTCGCGAAACGCGACGTTGCCAGCGTTCAGCATCCCGGTCAGGTGACGGACGCGCGACACCACCGGCATTGGCAAAGAGTTTTGGCACAGGTGAGTTTTTATGTATATATTTTTATATATAAAAAGTATACAGGGTGTTATGTAATTAATGTTATATATTAAAATGGGTTGTTCCTTACGGTCCATAAAGAAGCACCTGAAACTTTTTTTTTCTAAATTCCAAAGTCTAAAAATAATTTATAATAACCAAAAAGTACGCCACTGATCGACTAGCAACTTTAGGTTAATCTGGTGGATTTATTATGTTATGGTTGGTAACAACAGTCTTTCCAAAATCTCTCAAAAAAGTTGACAAACATTGTTTAAATTTAGCTTAATTGCAAAAATGACAAAATTAACAATGCAAATTGTCAATTTGGCGTTTTTATTAATTGTTGGTTATTTCATTTTTGTACTGAAGGTAAATTCAAACAAAATCTGCCAACTTTTATGACAGAATCTAGTGCATTTCTTTTAAATTTTAGGTTATGTTTTCAAATTGTAAATATCTTAACTAAGGGAAGTGCTTTTGGATTTATTTACACAAATTAAATGTTTAAAGTTTAACCTGTGAACTGGTCCCAATTTCATCTGAGTAAACATAGAAAAAAATGATGAAAAAATTAATTTTGTGGTTATGGATTTCAAATTTCAAAGGTAATAAATTTTCTAATCGTTGCTTAAGCTAATAGCTGGATCAGTAAATAAATACAGAACGGTATTAGAGCTTTAAGGGCATAAAACTTTTGTATTTATTGAGTTTTTTTATTTATTTTTTGCAAGAAAAATTTTTAGTAACAATTTTTTACATCTGGCAACGCATAGCTACTTTGTTGGTTGGTATCTATGTACTCACAAAATACAGGTGTGCAGAGATAAACAAGTGTGTAACCAGTGGCGTATCACAAAAAATATAAAAAACTTCTAATGCATATTTTTTCTTTATCTTTGGAAACATGTTTTTTTAAATATTTTTCCTTTATTCCTTATGTCAAAAGGTATTCAGTATTTTAATATATAACATTAATTACATAATGCTATAAAGTGTCCGATAACTGATGATTTTTTCCCCAGGTTGCTGGTTTGCAGTTGAGTACCATGCACGTACCGTTACCACCGTTCGGTACTGTACTTGGTGGTACAATGGAACTACACGGAAACAACATCTCTTTGGCATGTTTCCACGGTATTAATTTCAAGAGCAAATCCTGGGCGTTGTTTAGCTTAAAAGAACCCTGCATCAACTTCAATACCGAGAGCCAGGAGATATCTTCGGCAACAGGTGAGTACAATAAAACATAATCACTCGAAATTTTAATCATTTTTAATTTTAGATCCAGCACCAGCCCAGGACGTGCACATAGTACAAACCTTGACGTGCAGTTTGGGCTTGAGCACGTACAAAACGCACTGTTCCATGGCGACTGTTTGCAAGGTTTCCCGAAGCGTGATTTTCCCGCCTCAGTTCAAAACTCTGCAAGAATGGTTCCACTACGCCTTCGCCAACAGCCAGATAGACGGTAAGTCTTAATTTTTTTACTCTTAATTTGGGAGTCGTAATTTACGACTCTCATTTAGGAGTCGTAATTTATGACTCTCAATTTAGGAGTCGCAATTTAAGACTCTTAAATTGGAAGTTGTAATTTACGACTCTTAAATTAGGAGTGCTTGAAATCAATTGATTTAAAACTTTTTTTGGTTTCTTTTTAAAAGAATTACCCCTAACATTGAACTTTGGTGAAAAAATTTATTGATTTATTTTTTTATTAATAAAAACACATACCTTCCATAAATTTAATAAATAAGGATTATAAAATAAAACCTAAATTGTGTTTAAAAAATATTTTTTAAATACTTTTTAGAATTTTAAATTTGGACAGAAAAATAGGTAGGTACTATTTAACATAAAATAAAATGAAATGGAGGAACAAAAAGGCAACAACATGGGTATTTCAAATTGAATATACATATTATAATATTATTAACAATTTTTGCCAGTAATAAAGTTTAAAAGGCATTTTATAAGAAAATAAAAAATACACCCTGTAGGTAAAAACAATTGTTTTTGCTCGAAATCAAAAACAGGCGCAGTATATAAAACTATTTTTTAATATTTTTGGTTCAAATTGTTTTTATCATTTGTAATATTTATTTGACAAATAATTAAAAATATGCTCTGAAACAATATTTTTATTTTTAAAATAAAATACACAGGCTGAAAAAAATCAGGACTAGAACTGCAACAGTTATTGCTTTATTAAAGTAACAGTTTTTAAAATTTGTGTACCTATATTTTCATGATAAATTACTTTAAAAACAAAGTGTATAAGGCATGCATAATTTTTTTAATTAAGGAGTTTTAATTTGACACTCTTAATTTAGGAGTTGTAATTAACGACTTAAATTTGGAGTCTTATACGACTTTTGAATTCCTAATTCGTAATTTATCACTCTTAAATTATCAATAAGGAGTCGTAATTTACGACTCTTAAATTAAGAGTTATTTAAATTGAAAGTCTTAAATTACGACTTCTAAATTCGTAATTTATTACTCTTTAATTACGACTCCCGATTTAAATTATGAGTCGTAATTTACGACTCTTAAAATATGAGTCGTAATTTACGACTCTTAAACATAAAATAAAATAAAATAGAGGGACAAAAGGGCAACAACATGGGTATTTCAAATTGAATATACATATTATAATATTATTAACAATTTTTGCCAGTAATAAAGTTTAAAAGGCATTTTATAAGAAAATAAAAAATACACCCTGTAGGTAAAAACAATTGTTTTTGCTCGAAATCAAAAACAGGCGCAGTATATAAAACTATTTTTTAATATTTTTGGTTCAAATTGTTTTTATCATTTGTAATATTTATTTGACAAATAATTAAAAATATGCTCTAAAACAATAATTTTATTTTTAAAATAAAATACACAGGCTGAAAAAAATCAGGACTAGAACTGCAACAGTTATTGCTTTATTAAAGTAACAGTTTTTAAAATTTGTGTACCTATATTTTCATGATAAATTATTTAAAAAACAAAGTGTATAAGGCATGCATAATTTTTTTAATTAAGGAGTTTTAATTTGAAACTCTTAATTTAGGAGTCGTAATTTACGACTCTTAAATTAAGAGTTATTTAAATTGCGACTTCTAAATTCGTAATTTATTACTCTTTAATTACGACTCCCGATTTAAGAGTCGTAAGTTACGATTCTTAAATTAAGAGTCGTAATTTACGACTCTTAAAATATGACTCTTTAACTATTAAACAGAGTCTTATACGACTTCCTAATTCGTAATTTATCACTCTTAAATTATCAATAAGGAGTCGTAATTTGCGACTCTTAAGTTAAGAGTTATTTAAATTGGAAGTCTTAAATTACGACTTCTAAATTCGTAATTTATTACTCTTTAATTACGACTCCCGATTTAAGAGTCGTAATTTACGACTCTTAAATTAAGAGTCGTAATTTACGACTCTTAATTTAACGACTCTTGAAATATGAGTCGTTATTTATATTGGAAGTCTTAAATTACGACTTCTAATTCGTAATTTACGACTCTTAAATTAAGAGTAGTAATTTACGACTCTTAAATTAAGAGTCATAATTTACGACTCTTAAATTAAGAGTCGTAAATTACTACTCTTAAAATGGGAGTCGTAATTTACGACTCTTAAATTGGGAGTCTAAAACTGAACCCTCCGTTGCAGAGGTGGACAAGTTCCCGTCTCTGGAGCGCGAACGCGCCACCGACTCGAACTCAATCGAGCGCGCCAGAGGTGCTAAGCTGGCCGACCCGTCTCACAACCGCGAGGTGATTTTCGCGCTGCCCAGCCTGCACATGCACCTCAAAACCGAGCATCTGCAGCCGGCCACCGTTCCGGACACGACCGAGGAAAAACCGACGGTCGAGTGCAGCTTCATCACGGAATTCGAGGACCACATCTTCGTCACCGTCGACGCCGAGGCATTCTTCTTCCTCCACGACCTGATCACCTCCTACGTGAACGAGAAGGAGAGAGTGGTGAGTTTTTTTTTTATTTTTTTTCAGTTTCAGTTTTATTTTTCTATCAAACCTTAGTTTTTTATTGAACTAAACCGGCATAACTTTTTCTCGATAGCTCGGTATGACCGAAAAACGGTCGAGTCTCGACCAGGACAAATTCAAATCGAGCCTAAACGAGACCCCTAAAAAGGGATCCATAGACGTGGACATATTCGCCAAAGACTGGCGCAACTACAATTGCAAAACTTGGCGTTTAGAGCCGACGGTACGTTTGCTGAGCGTTGCGGGAAAGTACATCGAGCCCTACGGTATAGACTACATTCTGCAAAAGTTGGGCTTCGCTCATGCCAGAACCACGATACCCAAGTGGATGCAAAGGGGCTTCATGGATCCCCTGGATGCCATACTTGCGGTTTTGACCTTGAGAATGGTGCAAGTGGTGCGGGGGGATAAAAAAGAGGAGAAGGAAAAGGCCATAGAGCAGAAGAAATGATGAGGGGAGGGTATAACTGTCTTGTTATGGTCATTAGTAAAAAAAATATCAAAACAGTTCATTTAGGTAAACCTTATACTAGTCAAATGTTAAGCTATGTAATGTAGATACATATACAAAAAAAGTGTAGGTAAAAAGTTATTTTATATTGTTCGCTAGTATTATTTAAGTTTAACTTGTTTTAATCACGATTTATTTAAATAAATGGTATCCAAAATATGGTGTTTTATTTATCAACCGATTTCCAGGATCTGGGATTTTTCGGAAATCTGGCAACATCGCATTGTATCAGGAGTACACCTCCTCGCTTTTCTGCTATCCTAATACAAATACGAAAATTTCAAAATTTTAAGAAACGGTTTAAATTTTTAAGAAATTTTTAAAATGTACCAGGATCTGGAATTTTTCGGAAATCTGGCAACATCGCATTGTATCAGGAGTATACCTCCTCGCTTTTCTGCGATCCTAATAAAAATCCGAAAATCGAAAATTTTCATAAACGGTTGAAATTTTTCAGAAATTTTTAAAAAGTACCAGGATCTGGGATTTTTCGGAAATCTGGCAACATCGCATTGTATCAGGAGTATACCTCCTCGCGTTTCTGCGATCCTAATAAAAATTCGAAAATTTCAAAATTTTAAGAAATGGTTTTTAAATTTTTAAGAATTTTAAAAAAAGTATCAGGATCTGGGATTTTTCGGAAATCTGGCAACATCGCATTGTATCAGGAGTATACCTCCTCGCTTTTCTGCGATCCTAATAAAAATCCGAAAATTTCAAAATTTTATGAAACTGTTTAAAATTTTTTTAAAAAGTACCAGGATCTGGAATTTTTCGGAAATCTGGCAACATCGCATTGTATCAGGAGTATACCTCCTCGCGTTTCTGCTATCCTAATACAAATTCGAAAATCGCAAAATTTTAATAAAAATATCTTAAAATTTGAAATTTTCGGATTTTTATTAGGATCGCAGAAACGCGAGGAGGTATACTCCTGATACAATGCGATGTTGCCAGATTTCCGAAAAATCCCAGATCCTGGTACTTTTTAAAAATTTCTTAAAAATTTTAAACCGTTTCATAAAATTTTGAAATTTTCGAATTTTTATTAGGATCGCAGAAACGCGAGGAGGTATACTCCTGATACTTTGCGATGTTGCCAGACTTCCAAAAAATCCCAGACCCTGGTACTTTTTTAAAATTTCTTAAAAATTTCAACCATTTATGAAAATTTTGCGATTTTCGGATTTTTATTAGGATCGCAGAAAAGCGAGGAGGTATACTCCTGATACAATGCGATGTTGCCAGATTTCTGAAAAATTCCAGATACTGGGTACTTTTTAAAAATTTCTTAAAATTTCCTAATAAAAATCCGAAAATCTCAAAATTTAACAAAATTTGTTTTATATTTTTAAATTGTTTAAAAAAGTACCAGGATCTGGGATTTTTCGGAAATCTGGCAACATCGCAATATATCAGGAGTACACCTCCTCGCTTTTCTGCGATCCTAATAAAAATCCGAAAATCGCAAAATTTAACAAAATTTGTTTTAAATTTTTAAGAAATTTTAAAAAAGAACTAGGATCTGGGATTTTTCGGAAATCTGGCAACATCGCATTGTATCAGGAGTATACCTCCTCGCGTTTCTGCGATCCTAATACAAAGAACCTTTTAGAAGTATAGGTAGGTAATAAATAAAAAACAACCTTACATAGAAAATTTATAATTTCACAATAACAAAAATTACAATAAATAATAAATTTTGAATAAATACCAGCTTTTTTAAAAATTATTGAGTATTAAAATAAGTTTTAAGACAGTCTTTCGATAGATAGTAAAAATTAAACCTTAACTATTACTTTACTTACAAAAATAAGTTATCTACTTATTAGTTAAAAAATAAATAAGATTATACAATTAAAAAACAATCAGGCAGTAAGGAAAAATAAATAATATACATTTTACTTCAAAAAGACAGACTCGCAGAAAATTGGCAGTTAGGTTCGTAATACGAAAAATTTAAGAACACATCGTTCATTTTCTGAAAGTCGCTTTCGAAAAATTGTTATTTTACTTACAAATCGGCGCTATACATACGGATAAAGCTTCTGAATTAATTTAAAAAATATAACCCCTCTACTACGGTACTGTACATTTAAGGTCTCAATATGAGATATAAAGAGCATTACCCTTATAATTACTTCTATCAAAAACAACGTACGTTATGTGCACCAATCGGAAAAGCAGGCAGTAAGAAAACTACATTTGTCAGCTCAGACACGGAGTTGTAGTAGTGCACATTTCGTACGCTGTTTTTACCAGAAAGCATTGCTTTTTTTAAAGATAAATTATGATAGTTTGTACAAATGTTTGGCAGTATATTATTGTGAAAACAAGCCTTTAGTTACGAAAAATGCAATAGAAAACTAAGAATATTCCGCAAACGCTGAGGTAACGAGGAAATGTCATGGAAAAATTACATTGGGATGATTTTTTTTATTATAGAGGTATAAAGTATAGTAATTGGACATTTTATATAGTAATTGGACACATGGACCATAGTTATTGGACATTTTTGGATTCCTCATCCCTTTTCTGGATTCTGAAACTACTAATTCCTTGGTCTGACTTCTGAAATAGTTTGTTGCAAATATCATTAAGTGTGGTATCTCTAGTTTGTGAAGCATTTATAATGTTTAGGCCGGAACAGGATGATTTATTTATATCCAATATTTTTTCGGGTGGTATGTTAAAAGTATTTTCCGAATTTATTAATTTTGTTGCCATTAGTTTTTATGTTCTCTATCATGCACTGTTATTCTGCAAGATGTCCTGTGACAAAGAAATCACTCTCTAAAAATGAATTAGTCAAAAATGTCACAGCGAAAAAGCAGCCACTAATAATTCTCGTCAACAGCAATTTGTATCCGGGACATTTAGCAGTCAATTCCTATGAAATATTATTCGCTGAATCCGAAAATGTCGTCAAAAGTTATAAAAGTAAAACAGTTTTTGAAACATAATCAATTTTACATTTAATATGGAATAGACTATATCTCAAAAACTGCTTAACTTTTATAGTTTTTGACGGTCTTTTCGGATTCAGGGGACAATTTTACATAAGAATTGGCTGGTTAATGTCCGGAATACAAATAGAGTATGATATTGGACATACGTCCAATAAAAGAAATTTACATTTTTTACCAACCAGTAATTGGACACTGGCCATTTTACTGTTTGTTTTCAGAATTAAAATTAAAACGCATTAAAGTGACAATTTTTAAACCGTGAGGAACCATTTATACCACACACTGATCTGTACATTTTTTAGAAATATTTTTTATTGTAATTTAGACACAGCCCTGCTCTTAACAAAAAAACAAAAATCTTACCACCAAAGTATTTGACTTTAAGGTAACTATTTATAGACAGTATTAATGTTAGATGTCCAATAACTATAAAATGTCCGATAACTACCTACTTTACCGTATATGTCGAGCACAAATATTTTTCATGAAACGTCATGGAAAAAGTGCACTTTACGCAGTTAGTCGGTTGTCATGAATCTCAAATTTTAGTTAGGTATTATTCTACAACTAAACAGAGCTAAACTAAATTGCACTACTAAAAAACGTACGGTAAGGTAAGGTGGGGCAAGGTTGCGCAAGGTTGCGCACTATTGCGACGCATTACCATACATCGAATTTTTTAAGTCATCCTACACGATGGGCAGTTGTTTTTTTAAATATAGTATGGCATAATACTGAATTATTAAAGCTTGTTTTCCGTTTAAAATGCTGAGTTCTATTTATTTTTTTTTCGTTATTGTTAAGTCACCTCGACTTTTAGACCGGTTTGTGGGTTGGGAACGCAATTTCCGCAGTAACCACCGCATTTTCCTTCCACGATGGTTTTTTCCTATGAAAAAAATATTAAAAAACAATTCCATTGAAAAAAAAAACTCTTACGTTATTAATGTATATACGCGATGTGGCATTGCTTCCTATGTTGACCCACTCCACGTCACGGGCAAGTTTAAATGACGTCAAAGTTAAATCTATGGAAAACCTCCCTTGTGGACAACCTCTTAAGGAACTGTAGCAATCTCCCGAAGAACCGTACGGAATACTAGTGCCTTTAATGCTGTTCGAGAATGTAAAATCGTCCTCTAAAAAAACCCAACAAATTTGAAAAAAAAATCCCTAAGAATATGGAGTCTAAAAGATTTACCTATAATTTTAAGGGTGGTAATGTTGACTCTAACCTTCCAAAAAGTTGTCAAACCGGATCTTCCCTTTCCTATGGTGTCACATTGACAATTATCCCTTCTTTCACCATTGTTTGGACAAGTTGCTAAATTTAATAACCTAAAGAAAAGACGCTTATTTTTTTTTCTTCACTGTGTTAAAAATGAAGTTTAGTTAGTGTTTAGATTTTAACTAACAGGGGACCTAAAGTTAATATTTTTCGAGTCATTCATTTTTCAATCAAATATTTTAATTAATTTTAAACAATGACGAATTAAAATTAAAAGCTTGCTTATCGAGTAAAAAAAAAATTGAAGCTTGGTTGTGGAGCAAAAAATAAAATTAAAGTAGGTTATAATTTCTAGCTTGCTGACACTGTCTATAATTATTATTTAGTTTATTCATTTTAATAAATTAATGTTTTGAGTTTATAGTACACTTATAAATTTGCAACTTATAAACTGAAATGTCAAATTATCTTTCATTCTATTATGAAAAATTTTAAACTTATAAATAAAAGAAATTTTAGCTCCATCTATGGCGATTTTTTAAAATAAATATGTAAGAATTGTATGTTATATGAGGCCTTTCAGAGCAAAGTCAATAATCTCCCATCAGACTAAAACTGAGTAAATTGAGATAATTGATTTTGGTATTTTAAATTCTAGATTTGTAATTTTTTTATACAGGGTGTTTCATAATATATGCGCAGGACTTCAGGATGTGATAGCTCATCCAAAAAGATGAAAAAAGTCGCTATTAACTTACGCTCTAAAATGCAGAATTTTCGAGATACAGGGTGTTGAAATTTTAGAGAAAAAATCGTTTTTTTCGAATATCTCCGGAACCGTTTATCGTACAAAAAACAGCTTTTGTAAGCATTTTCTACTCAAAATAAGCTATGTTTTGTGCTAGAAAAATTTTTTTTTCCTCATAATTGGTGGAGATTTTGAAGGGTTAGCGGGTGTTTTTCTCCTTAACTTCTACGCCAATGTTTTCTACACAAAAAAGGTACTCTTGGTCATAAGCTCTAAACTTGACCGTTTTCGAGAAAAAACAACTTTTATGTTTAAAAACATGGTCAATTTAAAAAAAAAATTTTTTTTTTACTAATTAAACAAAATTTATTTTAACATTAGAACAAGTAACAAAACCAAACCATAATTTCAAAATAAAAAATGATTCAAAAGTTGTCTTTGCTAAATTCTCCAAACCGTAAAGGTAACGCATTTCGCACATTTCAGCATTTGTGTAAAAAATCATTTTTTATTTTTTTTTTAATTTTGCAATTATCGTTTGGTTTTGTTACTTTTTCTAACGTTAAAATAAATTTTGTTTAATTAGTAATAAAATTTTTTTTTCAAAAAATTGACCATGTTTTTAAATATAAAAGTTGATTTTTCTCGAAAACGGTCAACTTTAGAGCTTATGACCAAGAGTACCTTTTTTGTGTAGAAAACATTGGCGGTTCGAATGGGCCTCTCAAAACAGTACTTTTTCAGGGGCGTAGAAGTTAAGGAGAAAAACACCCGCTAACCCTTCAAAATCTCCACCAATTATGAGGAAAAAAAAAATTTTCTGGCACAAAACATAGCTTATTTTGAGTAGAAAATGCTTACAAAAGCTGTTTTTTGTACGATAAACGGTTCCGGAGATATTCGAAAAAAACGATTTTTTTTCTAAAATTTCAACACCCTGTATCTCGAAAATTGTGCATTTTAGAGCGTAAGTTAATAGCGACTTTTTTCATCTTTTTGGATGAGCTATCACATCCTGAAGTCCTGCGCATATATTATGAAACACCCTGTATATTATATTGAAATATTGTTATTGTTAGTCTAGTAACCAATTACAAGGTCTCCAGGATGCATAGTATAGGTGAAATCTATAATTATAAATTGGAGATTGCTGACTTTGATATGAATTGCTGGATATTGCTCATTTTGTTGTAAACGTTTAAGGAGATTTATAAAAAAAATAAACAAAAAAATAATTGTTTTTTTATTCCTTTAATGGGTATAAAATTTAACTATAAAATAAATGTGGGAAAATTCTGAACTGGAGGACATAAATCTGGAGTTTTTTTTAAACCTGGGACCAGGTTGCCTCGTGCAAAAAAGTTTTTATAGTACAACTCATCATCTTCTTCCCACTTTGCCCCGTAATGTTTTACTTGTAATGTTTTGACATTATCATTCTTGCTTTACCTTTACGTCTTATTATGATATAATAGCACAAAATAAACAAGATAACTTTTTTTATAATTCTTAAAACAATATAACGTATATGTACCTATTTTAAATATATTTTTAAGTGCCATTTACTGCAATAGAACTTAACAGTATGTACCAGTAAAAAACACAAAATTAAATCTCTAAAATACGTTATAACATCAAATGTTAGGATATCAGGTGACACAAATTACTAATTTCTAATGGTGGAATTAGAGATTGTATACTTTGCTGCAAATCTATCAGTGGAGATTGTCGACTTTGCACTAAATGTCATTTTTAAAATAGGATTTTAGGCAGGATTTAGCTCCTTTTGCAGCACATAAATTTTATCATCTTATAGATAATTAGTTGAAGTACAGTCTCCGCCAAAAATCTAATTTTTGACCAAAAGTGGAGATTGTCGGTTTTGCTATGACAGGTAATATATAATACATTATCTCATAAAACTAGATAAAAGAAAATATACTTTGTAAAACACGTAAGTATTATGCCCTTTGAAGGCCTAACTTAAAAATGATGTCTCTCATAGAAACATAATTTGCATGTAGAAGTTTGTATATCAAATAATAGTTAATTATCAGTACTTTAACGTGATATACTCAAAATTATAAAACAGCGTTGCTTCTTCGACTTTTTAACCCTTAAAAAATGGTAAAATTTTAAATTAAATTGTCTCCAGCGCCCCCGTATGTTAAAATCTAAAAAAACTAATACGGGGATTTATTGCCATTAATAAGGTCTACATTTTATCTTAATTTCAAATCGATACGTTTTTAAATAAAAATGTTATTAGAAAATATCGAAATTTATCTATTTTTAACACAGTAGAGTGGAAAAGTGTTTGTTTAAATAAATTTACTAACCTTTTATCGTAAAACTCGGCGTAATTTCTGGGGTTTGGTTGCAATGTTATAAATTCCTCAGGGTAATGTGTGTCCATTTTAAAACAATAAACACTGGCCAATCTACCGCCAATATTTATCGTATAATCCCTATTCTCCTTCGTATTCTTGTGTTGTTTTATCTCTTTACAACTCCTGTAAACACCTAAAAAGAGAAAAAAACAATTTTCAGTTTCACTATTCGTTTATTTTTCACATAGGGGGAGCCACTGTATGTCACTGACTTATCCTATGCATCATCATTGTTTTTACTTCTAAAAACAATTTAGAGGTTTGGTAAATAGGGTACCAAAATTGGTTGCATTGATTAAAACAAACTAAACTAAAAAACAACTAAAAAAGTAGTTAAATATAGGTGACTACGGCCCAGGAGAGACATAGTATTCCTAGCGGATAATAATCTTCGCTTTGAAAAGAATTTATATAAAAGAAATTTAAATTTTATGTGAACACACGTGAATGTTTGTATATGTTATTTTACTTTAGAATCTGATATTATTTTTGGCATAGTTATCTTTTTATATCAATAGGGTAAACCACTTAGTTATTGGACACTTAAGGAATATTATTTATTTAAAATTTTATATATGCCTTTGTTTTAAAGATTTGTTTTTTTCTTATAAATATATAAAAAGAATAGTTTGTTTGTTTATACTTTATTTACGTTTAATTAAAAATAAGAATATTTGAATTTTTAATATTAGTTTTATAAAAACACGCAAAAAAGTATAGTAATTGAACATTTTATATAGTAATTGGACACATGGACCATAGTTATTGGACATACAATTTTTATATAAACATAACAACTTTACATTAAATAACATAAATTGTTAAATATTTTTTAAAGATAAATTGCTGTTTTAGGTAATTTTCTGGATTCTGAAGGTAACTACTAATTCCTTGGTCTGACTTCTGAAATAGTTTGTTGCAAATATCATTAAGTGTGGTATCTCTAGTTTGTGAAGCATTTGTAATGTTTAGGCCGGAACAGGATGATTTATATATATCTAATATTTTTTCGGGTGGTATGTTAAAAGTATTTTTCGAATTTATTAGTTTTGTTGCCATTAGTTTTTTATGTTCTCTAGCGTGCACTGTATTTAAATCCTGTGACGAAGAAATCACTATATTACTTACTCTTTAAAAATGAATTAGTCAAAAATGTCATAGCGAAAAAGCAGACACTAATAATTCTCGTCAACAGCAATTTGTATCCAGGACATTAAGCAGTCAATTGCTATGAAATATTAATCGCTGAATCCGAAAATGTCGTCAAAAGTTATAAAAGTAGAACATTTTTTGAAATATAATCAATTTTACATATAATATGGAATTGACCATATCTCAAAAATTGCTTAACTTTTATAGTTTTTGACGGTCATTTCGGATTCAGGGGACAACTTTACATAAGAATTGGCTGGTAAATGTCCCGGATATAGAGTATGATATTGGACATATGTCCAATAATAGAAATTTAAATTTTTTACCAACCAGTAATTGGAAACTGGCCATTTTAGTGTAAGTTTTCAGAATTAAAATTAAAACGCATTAAAGAGACAATGTTTAAACCATCAGGAACACATTTATACCACGCAATGATCTGTACACTTTTTATAAATATTTTTTATTGTAATTTAAACACAGCCCTGCTCTTACAATATTGTGGGGCTGGTACAAAATTGGAAAAAACATTTTTTCTGTTTGTAGGACTTCAGTTCAAAATGAACAAAATCTTATAAACTGAACTCAAAAGTTTAAAAAAAAAATTTCGGTTTTTACATTTTTTTGCATATATAACAAAAAATTAAAATTTTATATTGTACTTACATGGTTTTCTAGGGCATTTCCTTTTACGAATGGGCTTCAATTTTATCGAGCAATACTTCCTAGCCACTTTTTTATTGTTAGCCCTTTTAACACAATACAATTTCCTTATTTGTTTCTCGTTAGTTCCACATCGTCCTTGACACTATAAATATAAAAAAAACAAAAACATTTTTAACGAAGCACTTTAAAAAAACTTACTTCCGACCAAGGACCAGGTATCCAATAATACTCGTCGTGGCAATTTCTCAACAAACATGTCGTCAAATTCGAAGGTCTTTTGGCTGAAGAACAAAAATCCCTAGGGTCCCTAATGGAATTTTCATCAAGTGGTTCTGGGTGTATGACACTGTCAGGCAATATTCTATGACAAGATACGTTCCTAGTCTTAACGCCATTCCCGCAGCTTTGAGAACACTACACAGAAGTTAAATGCAGTTTTAGTTAGCTATGAGACCGCGAGGCAAAATCTTGCGACTTACTTCTGACCAGTAGCCTTGTATCCAGGCCATCTTGCAGTGGTACTGTTCGCAGGGCTGCTGGTGCTTCGGTTTCCGCTTCAAGTTGCAAAAACTATCCACCAGAGTGTAGTTGTTGAGCGTGTCTCTGCACTCTACGGTTCGACGGCGGTACCCGCGGCCGCATTTGTTGTCGCACTGCGTCGAGATAAAGAAGTAAAGTTTTCAAGATGTGCGATTTAATGTTTGCTGTGTCTGTAGTCTTTTCACTTAACAGACCGAGACGTTCGCAGTTGGACAGCGCGGTCCCCATTGGTCTGACGAGATTCTTAATGCAGGGCATACGACATCTAACGTATGGGTTAAAGAAACTGTGGCTAAAAAAATCCTTCAGGAAAAGGAAAACGGCTAATCGTCTGCCATATTGGCAACGAAAAATGATTTTTGATTGATCCACGAGGAAAAAAAACGGAAAATCATTTGAAAAGTGATCGTTCTTGATAACGCACCTTAACACTCCCGAAGAACCGAAAAGAAATACATTTAAGAATGTCAAAACACTTTTTAAAAGGTCTAAAAACATTTTAGAAGGGCAAAACACAATTTAAAAGGTTTTAAACACATTTTAAAATAGGAAACCATACATAAGAATGTTTTAAAAACATTTTTAAAATTTACATCTCAAAACAAAGTCAGAAAACTAATTTTGTAATGTTAAAAACACATTAAAAAATGTAAAAATATATTTTAGAATGTCAAAACAAAATTTAAAAGGTCTGAAACACATTTTAAAATAGAAAAACATATTTAAGAATGTTATAAAACGAATATTTAAAACCATATTCTAGAATCTCAATTTAGAAAGTTTAGAATGTTAAACACATTTTAAAATGTAAGAAATACATTTTAGAATGTCAAAACAAAATTCGAAAGGTCTGAAACACATTTTAGAATAGTAAAACATTTAAGAATGATATAAACCGAATATTTAAAACCATATTCTAAAATTTTGATTTAGAAGGTCTTAAAGCATTTTAGAATAGCTAAACATATTTAAAAATTTTATAAACCTTAATTTAAAAGGTAGAACACAAATTTTAGAATGTTAAATACTTTCTAAAATGTAAGAAATACATTTTAGAATGTCGAAAAACAATTTAAAAGGTCTAAAAACATTTTAGAATGACAAAACATATATTATAAAACGAATTTGTAAAACCATGTTCTAAAATCTCAAAACACAATTTAGAAGGTAGAAACCACATTTTAGAATTTGAAAAGCACATTTTAGAATGTCAAAACACAATTTGAAAGGTCTGAAACACATTTTAGAATATCAAAATGTTTAAGAATGTTATAAAAACGAATATTTAAAACCATATTCTAGAATCTCAATTTGGAAGGTAAAAAACAATTATTTAAGAATGTTTTAAAACACATTTTTAAAATCATTTTCTTACATCTCAAAACAAAGTCAGAAAACTCATTTTGGAATGTTAAAAAACACATTCCAAAATATGAAAAATACATTTTAGAATGTTAAAAAAACACATTTTAGAATTTCAAAACACAATTTAAAAGGTCAAAAACACATATGTTATAAAACGAACATTTAAAACCATATTCTAGAATATCAATTTAAAAGGTAAAAAATACATTTTAGAATGTTAAACACATTCTAAAATGTAAGAAAAACATTATAATGTCGAAACACAATTTAAAACGTCTAAAAACATTTTAGACTAGCAAAATTTATTTAAAAATGTTATAAAACGAATTTTTAAAAACATTTTCTAAAATCTCAAAACACAATTTAAAGAAAAAATATTTTAGAATGTTAAAAACACATTTTAGAATAGAAAACCATATTTAAGAATGTTTTAAAACAAATTTTTAAAACTATAGTATTACATCTCAAAACAAAGTCAGAAAACTCATTTTGGAATGTTGAAAACACATTTCAAAATGTGAAAAATACATTTTAGAATAGCAAAAATATTTAGGAATGCTATAAAAAGAATATTTAAAACCATATTCTAGAATTTCCGAAACACAATTTAAAGGGCAGAAAAAACATCAAGGGATATTCAAAACTGGCTGCAATCGAAGAATACAAACTTTGAACTGTTAAATGAAAAGACTGTCGAGTTTGCAAGTACCACCAAAATAAAAATAAATCAACTAAAACATACCTGTTTCCATTTTCCAACCTTCCACTTGAACCTCGACTGTTCCCCTCTGTTCTGCACCTCGTTCAAGTAGGAACACTGGTGCGGTTTGCACTTTTGAACCGTGTCGGGCTTCTTCACTCTGTCGCAATGCTCGTCGTGCACGAAAATACCTTAAAAACGCGTACAAAGTCAAAAAGAGTCCACCTCCAAGTCTTATGCAATTTACCCGTGTAATTTTGGCAGCTGACTTGTCGCATCTGCTCGCAGTTTGAGTTGCAGTTGCTCCAACCGCCGAATATCCACTTCGGACATGGGTGCGTGTTGCACGGAGCCAGCGATTGCGGTTTTTCCTCGTTGTTGCAATATTCTTCTTGCACCTTTTCGCCGAAAGAATCTTCGCAGAACACGTGACGAGTCTGGTTACCTCCGTTACAAGATTTTGAACACTTGAAATTTAATTTAATACCTAATATATTTCCCCTTGAATTTCCTAATCATAACTTACCTTTGTCCATGCTGATGTTTTCCAAGTGTAACTAGCTATCTCGTTATCACCATAGTCCCCATAGTTATAATCATCATAAGGGTACTGGAAATAGTACATTATTTTAGAAGTAGATATGGCGAGATGACAAGTATGAAGAGTGCCTAAAGATGTGTCTCAAATTTTGAAATTACCAAATTGCTTAAGAAGAACATTTACTACACTTCTGGTAGATGATGGGTGGAAATCTAGTGGTGTGGCAGAAGGTTACATTGAGGAATCCATATTTAATAAGAACGATGTTCAATAAAATAATTCTCAACCAGGTTGTAGCAAAAATTACGAAAAAACATCATCTTAAAACCAAGTCAGAAAACTCATTTTGGAATCTTAAAAACACATTCCAAAATGTGAACGACATTTTAGAATGTTAAAAGAACATTTTTGAATGTCAAAACACAATTTAAAAGGTCCAAAAACATTTTAGAATAGCAAAATATATATGTTCTAAAATTTCAAAACACAATTTAGAAGGTGGAAAACACATTTTAGAATGTCAAAACACAATTTGAAAGGTCTGAAACACATTTTAGAATGGAAAACATATTTAGGAATGTTATAAAACGAATATTTAAAACCATATTCTAGAATCTCAATTTAGAAGGTAGAAAACACATTTTAGAATGATAAGCACAATGTAAAAGGTCTAAATTTTACAATTTAAGAATATAGAAGGAAGAAATCACATTTAAGAATGTTAAAAACACATTTTAGAATGTCAAAACACAATTGAAAGGTCTGAAAGACATTTTAGAATAGCAAAACATATTTAAGATTTTTATGAATCATTTTTTAAGCCATATTCTAACATATCAAAACCAAGTCAGAAAACTCATTTTGGAATGTTAAAAACACATTCTAAAATGTGAAAAATACATTTTAGAATGTTAAAAGAACATATTTAAGAATGTTAAAATTTTTTAAAACATGTTCTAAAATCTCAAAACAATTTAGAAGGTAGAAAACATATTTTAGAATGTCAAAACACAATTTGAAAGGTCTGAAACACATTTTAGAATAGCAAACATATTTAAGAATGTTATAAAATGAATATTTAAAACCATATTCTAGAATCTCAATTTAGAGGGTAGAAAACACATGTTAAACACAATCTAAAATGAAAGAAATGCATTTTAGAATGTCGAAACACAATTTAAAAAACCTAAAAACATTTTAGAATAGCAAAATATATTTAAAAATGTTATAAAACGAATTTTTTAAAACAATTTAGAAGGTAGAAAACACATTTTAGAATGTTAAAAACACATTTAAGAATGTTAAAAGACAATTTGAAAAGTCTGAAACACATTTTAGAATAGAAAACCATATTTAAGAATGTTTTAAACACATTTTTAAACCAAGTTGGAAAACTCATTTTGAAAGGTTAAAAAACCATTAAAAAATGTCAAAAATACATTTTAGAATGTTAAAAGCACATTTTAGAATGTTAAAAACACATTTTAGAATGCCAAAACAGAATTTGAAAGGTCTGAAACATATTTTAAAATGGCAAAACATATTTAAGAATGTTATAAAAGGAATATATAAAACCATATTCTAGAATCTCAATTTAGAAGGAAGAAAACACATTTTAGAATGTTAAAAGCCCGTTTTAGATTGTCAAAACACAATTTGAAAGGTCTGAAACATATTTTAGAATATAAAACCATGGGTTTTAAAACCCATTTTTAAAACCATAGAAAAAACAAAGTCAGAAAACTCATTTTGGAATGTGTTAATATTCCAAAATGTAAAAAACACATTTTAGAATGTAAAAAACACATTTTAGAATGTAAAAAACACATTTTAGAATGTAAAAAACACATTTTAGAATGTTAAAAGAACATTTTAGAATGTCGAACACAATTTGAAAGGTCTAAAACACACTTCCTTAATACATCCTATGTAATAATACTTACACATTCAGTTAAGAAACAAGCAGATGTATCGTTGGGTTTCAAAATTTGGCGGCAATGTTCATCTCCATGTACTTCGTTATCCTGTTGACAATAAACCCCCCTCCTCGTAATACCTAAGAAAAAAGCATGTTTTATGGAGAGAACTAGAAACCTTCTAAGTCAAGTTCATACCTTCTCCACAGGTGGCAGAACACTCGCCCCAAGCTGTGGTAGTCCAACTGACATTGCAAGGTCTCTCGTTGCACTCCTCCCTTTCGTTGGGCAAAGTCGACTGATCGCAGTAAGAATGAGGGAAAACCCTGCGATCCACAAGGCAGTAGTAGCGTTTGGTTTTGAAACCTCTACCGCAAGTCGTAGAACACTAAAAAAATGTACGTGCCGTCTATATTTTTTCATGTCAATGGGATATACGCGTGAACATCCCAATGACCTGCCACAACAAAATGTAACTTACTGGGCTCCATTCGCCGCTTTCCTGCCAGTACGGGCACTTTTGTGGGTTGCACTGCTGCGTGGTGATTTTTTGATCCGAGTAGCAGTTGGATTCGTCGATTTCTTTGCCCTCTTGATCCCAACACCGGGCCGATCTGTGCCGAACTCCTCCACCGCAAGTTTGAGAGCACTGAAAAAAATCAGTGGGTGTAAAACAATAATAGTAATCTAGGAATATTCCACAATTTTGTTTTCCATTATTGTTTACAACCACTTATTTTTTTCACACTGACAATGGATAAATTATAAAATATTTTATACAAATTGTTTCGAGAGATATCGAAAATATAAAAAGTAAATATAAAATCAGACGACTTATTAAATGAACATTTTCCAAGGTGTCAATATTGTGGGGCTGGTACAAAATTGAAAAAACTAATATGATATTTGTGACTTTTAATTTGTTCAAATGCGGATTTTAAAAGGGTTAGGTAACATGTATTGTTTCAAGAAGAATAGAGAGATATCGAAAATATAAAAAGTAAATATACAGTGTGTCTCAATTTTATTAATATTAATAATAGTTAATTTTAAGATTATTATTTAATTAGAAGTATTTGAATGAATATGTAATAATCACAATCCACACAACAAACCCTGTTTTATCTTGTTTCGCGCATACTAAAAATCACTGCAACCCTGCACAGAATCTAACGGCGGCCATTTTTATGTTTATCCAGATTAAAAATCGTTTTAAACGTTGTTTTTCTTACAGAGGCACTTGTAAGCCTCAAATGAGGCATTTAAGTGCTAAGAACCACCATTTTAAACCTCATTCTATCAAACTATCAAATTTAAATTTGTGGGTTACGGTAAGTTAACCTTAAAATTGAAATTTGACAGTTTAATGACAGCCCTGATAGAATACGTTTTATTTTTACCAAAAGAGGAGTAAAACGGTCGTTCTTAGCACTTATTCTTACAAGCGCCTCTGTAAGAAACACAACGTTTAAAACGATTATTAATCTGTATTAGGGCCACCGATTTTCCCTAAAAAAAGAATGTCTCAATTTAAAACTAACTAAAAACTAAAACACTGACAGTGACAATGTCAACCATATAATTAAGGTTATTTTTCAGAATTTCTAGTATTAAGTTGCACATTATAGTTCTAAGGTTTATTTGTGTAACTTACCTCCGACCAATCACTGTACTCCCACCTCGTCTGAGGACAGGAACCCTTGCAGGTTTCCATCAGGGGAGGCTTGGCCAAAACTTGGCTGCAGTATCTCTCATCTACAATTTCACTTCTGCCAGCTGACGCGTGCTGACCGTATCCGCTATACGCTTTTTTACGCATCTCGACCTTCAGACAGTTGTAAGTAATTTCGCGATAACTAAAAAAAATGATTACGTACATACAACTGGGCTTGAAATAAAAATTAAAAAACGTCATTTTATAGAGCGTACTTTGCTTAATATAACCCTCAAATTTCATTAAAATCGGATAACAAACGTTAAAGTTACAGCCTTAGCACCCTAGTTAGCACCAAAGGGCTAAGTACTTAAACGGCTGTATCACGGTTAATATCAGCGCTATTTTGATGAAATTTGATGAAGTATACCATCAAAAACATCCTCAATCGATTTTCACTATAAAAAACACCACGGAAGATACGAGGTATTGCTTTTTTTTGTACTCACCCTGGTCCACAATGGTTGGAACAAGGTCCTGTCGTGACATTGTTCCACGTAAACTGACAATGCGTGTTGCACGGTCTTTGTTGCGCAAAATGTTGCCGGTCCAGGTTGTCGCAATGCCCATCGTCCACTGGGCTACCGCTGGACGTTTCCACGCATATGGGTCTAATTTCTTGCGTACCGCTGCATATGGAGTCGCATTTCGTCCATTGCTTTTGATACAACCTCCACGCGTATCTACGATAATTTTGCTCGGTTTTTACGCTGTTTATGATTGCGGTTCATGTTTTAAAAGGTGCACAACAAGAACTTTAGAATGTTTAATAAAAAATATAGTTAGGCTCTTGTTGAGACATCTTTTTTAAGTACAGAATATTGATGATTGTAGAGTTTTTTTTAAGTACCCTGTATACCACATCCTAAGGCCTATTTATAATGTAGCGTTCGAATGTTTTTAGTATTTTTATACAGGGTGTTTGGTAACAAAACAAAATTTGTCAGTTTTACAAGGGTGTTATGTAATTATTGTTACACACTATAATTTATTCATTGTCATTTTTGTAATTAAGCTAAATTTAAACAAAATCTGGCAACTTTTTTTGACAGAATCTGGAAACGCTGGATATTACCAACCGTAACATAAATTAAATTAGGCAACCAGATTAGCCTAAAGTTCCTAGTCGATCAGTAGCGTAATTTTTGGTAGGATAAAGGTTATAATAAATTATTTTTAGTCCTTATAATATATTACATAAATTACATAACACCATGTATATATTTTGTCATTTGTAAGCAAGATATATTAAAATATTGACATTTTTGACACTTTCTAGAAAATATTGGATACCTAATTAATTTTCATCCAAATTTTGTCATGTATACCTACCCTGTTATTTTGTTAGTGTAGATTAATGATTAATAAAATTAGGTCTTTTGACATGTGGGACGAGATTTATAATACATTTTGTAAGTAATAGATGACACCAGCACAGTTACAAACATAAACGCTAAAGAAGTATCGCTATTAGCGCCACCACTCGGCTGTTATCATCGTAACATTTTCTATGCATCGTAACAAAATTACAACTTTTGATAATCAGCTTGTCAAACGCGTGTGTTACAGTTCCTGTAAATATAAATTGTATCTATTAGATACAATAAATACACATTTCAGTAGTGATTAACTTGAAAAGTGTAAACATTTCAATTCAGTAAAAATCGTCAAACAAATAAGTCGTCTAAATTTAAACAGCAATTAGCATTATTAAAAGCGTTGATTAAGAAAGTCTCCACTCAACGGTAAAATATCTTTATATTATGTATTATATATAATATTATGTTGCTATGAATTCGTAGGTATATTTTGTTGGTTAAAATGCAGTTGTCGGGGTTTTTTAGAGAACTCCTATATAAATTGGTTGATTTTAAGGTTATGTTTGTGCAAAAATAATTTTTACTAATTTCTTAAAAATGCCAAACTTAAATATAAATTAAATTAGGTAAAGTTATCATTAGTTAATTCTGCACCAACAAATGTACTTACCGAATTGGAACCTTTGGCAAAACATGAAAACGCAACGATTTAGTTCTTGATATTTATTTACAATTAAAAACGCAATAATTCACCATGACCCCTTAGATAAAATACACACACTAACGTAACTATATAAGCATTTAAGCGTTGAGTTTCTTAATCAATGATATAAAGAATAATCAATCGAAATCGAGTAGTAAACCAGTTTTTTAGTTTTTTTCTTGCAACGTAAAATTTGTATGCTTTAAATGCGCGTTGCGAAAACCCAATACTTCTTTAACGTATAAACTTTTTGAAATAATCATTACGAAAACTGCTACTCTATGCTGACGCCACCCATTATCGAGGAGCTGAAGTAAAAACGCCATCTATCCTCGCAACACCAAATTAATGCGTGGTAAAAAGTTATGACATCGAGAACAGAACGAGAAAAATAGTCACGACACATAGACGTAGATGATATAAATAAAAGCTGCACGAATAAAATATTAAATATAATAAATAGAATTAAATTTTGCAATTTTTTATTGTTTCTATACCTTGTTGCGTAATAATGTCGCCGGTAATAATCGTACTTTGCCATTTCGTCGGACCTCCTGATAAATAATTAAAAACAAAAAACAAATAAAATAAAACATGCAATGTGGGGGTGGGGGGGAAATGCTTTTTGGGTTAAGGGGCTACCAAAACAAACCTGGAAAATATCCTTTTATGTATTATTAGTGTTTGTATGCCAAAATTTACAGTGCGGGGTGGGGTTTTTTTTTTTTTTTTGATCCCAGCGACTATAAATTTTGACATAAAGTTCATTTTTTTTTATTCTTGACATTTGAGACACCCTGTACAGGGTGTTATGTAATTAATGTTATATATTAAAATGGGTTGTTCCTTAGGGTCCATAAAGAAGCACCTGAAACTTTTTTTTCTAAATTCCAAAGTCTAAAAATAATTTATAATAACCTTTATCCTACCAAAAAGTACGTTACTGATCGACTAGCAACTTTAGGTTAATCTGGTGGATTTATTATGTTATGGTTGGTAACAACAGTGTTTCCAAAATCTGTCAAAAAAGTTGACAAACATTGTTTAAATTTAGCTTAATTACAAAAATGACAAAATTAACAATGCAAATTGTCAATTTGGCGTTTTTATTAATTGTTGGTTATGTCATTTTTGTACTGAAGGTAAATTCCAACAAAATCTGCCAACTTTTATGACAGAATCTAGTGCATTTCTTTTAAATTTTAGGTTATGTTTTTAAATTGTAAATATCTTAACTAAGGGAAGTGCTTTTGGATTTATTTACACAAATTAAATGTTTAAAGTTTAACCTGTGAACTGGTCCCAATTTCATCTGAGTAAACAGAGAAAAAAACTGATGAAAAAATTAATTTTGTGGTTATGGATTTCAAATTTCAAAGGTACTAAATTTTCTAATAATTGCTTAAGCTAATAGCTGGATCAGTAAATAAATACAGAAGGGTATTAGAGCTTTAAGGGCATAAAACTTTTGTATTTATTAAGTTTTTATTTATTTTTTGCAAGAAAAATTTTTAGTAACAATTTTTTACATCTGGCAACGCATAGCTACTTTGTTGGTTGGTATCTATGTACTCACAAAATACAAGTGTGCAGAGATAAACCAAGTGTAACCAGTGGCGTATCACAAAAAATATAAAAAACTTTTAATGCATATTTTTTCTTTATCTTTGGAAAAATGTTTTTTTAAATATTTTTCCTTTATTCCTTATGTCAAAAGGTATTCAGTATTTTAATATATAACATTAATTACATAACACCCTGTATATTGTCCGGGACTATTAATGATCAGTGACTTGCAAATTGAAAGAAAAAAAGTCCAAATAAAAAAAATGAACTGTATATAAATAAAATAAAAAAATTCTCTTACCTAGGAGCACTGTCAGAGTTAATGTAGTAACTGTACGATATATTTGCTGGCGTTACGTGTCCAACCGCCAAAACTTCGATCAACAGGTCTTTTTCCAACTTTCGTTGGCGGGGCGACGTAATTTTTTCTATCGCCACGTCGGACCCCGTATAGTTTATTATGATCCCGCCGAAGAAGAGGTCTTGTTGGTCCTTCATCACCAAGTGCTTTCCGTTCAGGACATAGTCACCAGTTTCTCCATCCACAAGAACTACAAAATATGTTTGTGTGGAATTTTTATGTACCCAATAAACAATTTGTACTACTTATGGCAACGATAAGTTATATAAAGGTTATATAAGAGTTTAACATGGTTTTATAAAATCGCCATTTAGTTTACTAGTTTTATAATGGTCATATAAGGCTACTGTAAACTCTGGGTATATAATTAGGTTATATAATTGTGCCTACAAACATTTTATACAACCTTTAGTAACCGTTACCAGAAGGTTTATAAAGGAGTTTTATAAAACTATTGTGTCTTTAGTATTTTTATAATTTTAATTAAAAATTGTTTGAAAAGAAAATATTTAGCATTGAATATATAAGTAATATAATATTATTAACATAAATATTTTAAAAGTGGATTAAATCGAATCTTTAGTGAAATAAATTGATTCCATTGCGTTAAAACCATTGCCTGTCAAAGGTTTTATAACATCACTTGTAGTAACGACAGTTACTACAATGTATATAAGAGTTTCAAAATTATATGACAAACCTTTAAGTAACTTAGATAGTCCTATAAAACTGAACTAGTACCTTAGGTTATATAAAATTACCTTGAGCAATATAAGAGGGCTCAAGTTTGAAACATTCTTTCCGCCATGATTGTTTTTTACATAAAATAAATGTTAACCGAATTGTATTACAAAAAAATTCATATATTTTTTAATAGTATAAAAAATATTCCATTCCTGTTGTCTCTAGTTATAAAACTTGGGTTTTATAGTGTTACCAAAAAAGGTACCGATAACCTTCATAAGCTCTTTAAGGGGTATATAAGAGTGATATAAACATTTATGTAACCAAATTAAGAAATTTAGGTTTTATAACTAAGAATGAAAAAAGTTATATAACTCTTACCTAAGTAGTTGCTGTCGGAATGGTCGGTATCGGAATGCTGCAAAATTTCAATATTGGAGCTACCTTTCGGTATTCTCACAACCTTATTGTACCCCGTGAGAGATCTATTATACACCCCGGTAATTTTCTCGCATTTACTGTTGTCACCACCGCAAACCCCGCAGTCATCTACAACAAGAACAAAATGTTTTTTTGTTTTGTTTTTAGTCACTCATTTCCTTACCCAAAGTAAGGCTGGAATCCAACTGGTTGTCGCAACCAGCAGACTTGCAAATACCATTGACGCAAATGTCGAAACTGGCGAGCCCACATTTTGTTCCATCCTCGACTTTATCTTTTAAAACGTAGAAAGCATTTGAGCTTTTTGGTCTGCAGTAGAGTTTGCACAGGTCTTCTCGTATGTCTATGGAAATTTTATCGAGGAAATATTATTTTCCGGGTATTAAGGCGCCTATGTACGAAGGCGTAGAAGGACAAACAAAAATTGTAGGTTCAAACTATAACCTACAATTGTGACTTGAACTTACAATTATTGTAAGTTCAAGTTACAATTGTAAGTTGAAGTTACAATTGTTGGTTGTAGGTTAACCTACACTTGAGAGTTTAAGTTACCAAAGGTAAGTTCATCCTACAACTTGAACTTACAATTGTAGCTTCAACCCACAATTGTAACTTGAATTTACAATTGTAAGTTGAAGTTACAACTGTAGGTTGTAGGTTGAACCTACACTTGTAAGTTCAAGTTACAAATGTAAGTTCATCCTACAACTTCAACTTACAATTGCAGCTTCAACCCACAATTGTAACTTGAATTTACAATTGTAAGTTGAAGTTACAATTGTAGGTTCTAGGTTGAACCTACAATTGTAAGTTCAAGTTACAATTGTAGGATAGAAATTGCAAAAATCAAAGTTAGTTTTGGTGGCCCTTCTACAACACCGTACTCATGTGACTATGTATTACCTAAAACATACTTTGGGATCCATTCCACTTCATTGGTCAAGTTGGGCAAATTTTTCGTGATACCGTTGAATCTTGCGCACTGTAGGGCTCTGAAATGAGTTGCATACAAAGAGATATTTTTATTTACCGAGTTTAACTAGAATATGAGCAACATTTTAATATATTTCTAAATGTAAGAAGATTTTATTTCTTAGCTTAAAATCAAGTACAGTTGAAACAAGATGATTGTCAAGGCTAAAACTAACATTAAACTAAATATTAATCTTTCTTCAAACAGAGATGGCATAATCCACTCTTTACCTTTTGAAATAAATATGGTCATTGTATCCTAACCTTTATTTAAAGTCAAAAAATGACTGAAATGATGAATCTTTAATATAGAATAGCTTGTTACCTAAAATCTGGTTCCTTTGGATCGCAGTCCTGAGTATTGCAGGACATATGTTTGACTTTTTTGCCCGTGCAAAAATCTCCTCCGTTTTCAGGTGCGGGATTATTGCAGGACCGTACTGAACGCGACACGCCGCCACCGCAGGATCTACTGCAGGGGCCCCATCTAAAGTTTACAGTAGCAATTATCAAAAAAAAGAGAAAAGTCTTTACTTACCTTTGCCAGGGTCCCCACCCTCCATGAACAGGTATCAACAGTTCTCTATTTTTACTAGTACACTCCCCTTGAAAACACCATCTATGAAATAAAGTTGTGAATAAAAAATGGTAGATTGTTCTACAAGTAAGGAAAAGTGAGACTTTTCTTAAGCCTGAATTATAGATTGCCTTCCTTCCTCCCGTAGAAGATCAACATTACGTAATTGTCACCATTAACATTTCCCGTGTAAGAATTTTTAATACTTTGTGATAATATTTTGAAATTATAGTAATAAAAAAAATCAAAGAATAAAATATTTTCTTAACAAAATCATATTTTGAATTTATTTTAATATTTTAAAGTATCAATAATTGTTAAGTTTAATTAAAATTAATAACGGGCAATGTTAATGGTGGCAATTACGTCAAAAATGTTTATTTATATCGTAGTGCCAGTTATAGATTCCCGTACCGTAAGGACGGCATTCCTTCCTCCCGTAGAAATTTTTAAGTTTTATCTTTCACCGTAAAGGTCTTTGACATGACCAATCACAGTGCTTGTTGTGGACATGCGCTGTGGGGTGACAGCGCGTAGGCACAAAATATTTAAAATACATGATTGTTTAGTATTATTTAAGATAGGTTTATTAAATAATTTGTGTCTCTAAATAGGATATTTAGATATTGTTTATGATCAATGTCTTTAATTTTTAGAAACGTTGCTTTGTAAAACCCCGTAGTTTCCCGGTCTTGGTAAAGTGGGCGAGTCTTCCAACGTCTTGTTCGATGTTTTTTTTTCATTATACCCTACTATGGAGAAAGGCAGTAACTACAAAAAAATTCCAAATGCGTTTTCTTGTGCTATGATAAAGCTATGGACATTTTGTATCTTAATTCAACAAAGAAATGCAGTAAACTATCTTTTAAGTTAAATAAATCAGTTAAATACCTACTGCTTTTTATAAAAATGTAGTTTATGCTAATTTTCCACAAATTTCTTGTTTTGCAGTTACTGCCTTTCTCCATAGTTGGGCAGTATACAACAAGCTGCCTGGGCAATTAAAATTGTGATCACTGCACTAATATATAAATGATTATCTTTCATATTTACACACAATGGGTAAAACGCAGAATATAAACAAAAACAAATGTCAACCATTTTAGGTGTCATCGCGCATGGTTACGGAATTTTACACGGAAATCTATAAATTGACTTTTTACAAGACGCACAAATCGTACGGGCACGACTACGGGAGGAAGGAAGGCTTTACGAGTTGAACATGCTATTTTTTTGTATCCTTAATGGAAAAATGGCTTTAATTCTATTAACTCACTTGTTTTCCCCACATTTGGTGCCCTCTGCCATAGGCATAGAAGATGTTTTACATCCCTCCCTATCCCCTAATATAGTATCCTGGCACCAAAGGCTTATACAAGTTATCTACAAAAGATAACAAAGATGTGTGATGGGAAAACAACAATGTTTATTTTTCCATGCTTACCATGTAGGGACACACGCTCATCCCCTCTCCAAACTCCAACTCACACTGTCGGTTAACATCGAACTCTTCCCCCGGTAACATGAAAACTCCCGTGTTTTTAAACTCCTTTTCGGGGGGATTTGTGAGGCAAGTTGCCTTCTGAGTTCTAAGAAGAAATCAAGTATTAATTACTTCACTATACCTACATGAATACTTGAAAGTCTAGATGATGATGCTCCCCGTTTGAATACTAAGTTTCATCAGAACTGTATTCCCTGATAGCACAGTTTATTCTAAGAACGTTTTTTAAACCTTCCAGTGGGAATATTCTTAGGATCATGCTATATTACTTCTAGTCATGTTCTAAGAATGTTTTTTAAACTTTCCAGTGAGAATATTCTTAGGATCATGCTATATTTCTTCTAAAGAACATACTTAAAAGAAATATAGCATAATCCTAAGAATATTCTCACTGGCCTATAGGCATGTTCTTAGAAGGTGCAAAGTTTAGTGGTAAAAATTAATCCACTCTAAACATATGCTTGGAATGTTGAGAAAGTAATTGCTATAGAAAGTTCAATATTCCTGGAACATTCTGTTAAGCATATTCAGTTCAGTTACCTATATAATAGTAAAATATACCATAATCTACGTATAAAGGTGCCTATACTTAGTATTAAATACTAAGTAAAAAATAAACCCAAAATATTTTTTTATAGTTATTTGTCAAATTAATTTCTTTTATGAAGAATTATTTTATAAGGAAATATTTTGTTTTTTATATTTTATTTTATGTTAAAAATAAATATTTATTAATTTGTATACCAATTTTTTATATCTGAATTAACATTTTTATGTATAATAATCCCAACTATCTTCAACTTCAATCTAATCTGACTTATCCCACAAAATTTTCCAATTTTACTTTTTATGAAATAATGTCATACAACTTATGGTTTAGAGGTCAAATTGTTTATTTAATATTTTTAAATAAATATATATTAATATGTCGCAAAATTTTTTAAGGGGACGACAAATACATTTCACTGTCATATTATGACAGTGAGGCGTATTTGTCGTCTCCTGAAGAATTTTACGAATGTAGAATACAACATATTAGAACGTGGGTATCTGACATATTTGGAAATATTCTCAAAAGATTCCTAGAAGCTCCATAAGAAACCTTCTAAGAACATTCCAAAAACGTATTCTTAAAATGCTTTTTAGGAAGGTTTTAAGTAGCTTTTAAAAATCTAATTGCATCATTAAAAGGGTATCTATTGAATGTTTTAAAAGTCCCTAAGAACATTCTTAGCAATAAGGGAAGGTTCTAAGAATATTCCATTATTTCAGGTCATATCTTCTTAGAAGATTCTTAGAATCAAATTTTGCTATCAGGGTTTGATTTTCTGTATTCAAAAAAGATGCAAAAAAAAATATTTTTGTAAAATGCATACTAACTTATATATTTTAAAGTTTCAAGTTAAATGACCAACAACCTCCTTAAGTTTACTTATATCTTAATTCTCGTAATTCAAAGTAATTGAAAACAATTATTCTTCGAAGCAAAAAAACGCAACAGGCCTTTTAGCGAGAATAAGATCTTGAAGACATCTAGTGGAAGCATTAATGAGGTCGATTTTTCCTTTTTAAAATCGATCTTGCTCGAGGTAAAAATTCAGGTCAGCCTGCCATTTTTGGAGTCGAATGAAAATTCCTCGCGATCACCGACAACGATTTTTTCTGCATTTCCTCGTTTAGGAAATTATTGTGTCAATACGCCAGTTTAAATGCCATACGTAGAACTTTCTTAAGTTATGGCGTAAATTGTTATATGGGAGTTTTTCTTGATGTTTTAAGGAAATTAAAACTATTTTGACGCCATAAATTTATGTTGAAGTACATTCTTAATTAATTTAACCTTTATTGTTTTTTGCTATATAAAGAGAACGGATGTAGATCGAATAGGCCGATATTAGAAAATATTTCAACATTAATTTTCCAAGAAATCAGTACATGCAGCTTACTGAAAATTTTTTTTTGTGCAATTAAAATTACCATTTTGGTTAAAGATTTATAACACAGTACCCTCCCATAAAAAATGTCTATAGATTTTGAAAATAGACTTAAAAAAATGATACCCGTGTCTCGGCGTTTTTTCAGATCACGTCATTTTTTTTTTTAAGTGCGATCCAATTAAATGTTATCCACGGTATTTATCACTTAATATAACAGATTTCATAATAGCTAGACAGTATATTTTTATGAAAAATTTATTCACTGAATAAATGGACAACCATTAAGATTATTTATTTATTTATTATAAGATAAATACAAATCTGTTGTTTTATTTTAAAAAAAAATTCAAACCAGAATTTTTTTTTACTTAAAAAAAATAAAATTGCTATTTTATTTAAGTATAATTTTTTTATTATGTAAAAACATAATATATTTGAAGAAAAAAATGATTTATAGCAAAATAGAGAATTAAAAATCTGTTTAGGTTAAAATAATAAGAATGGCTGTGTAAAAAAATTAAATGACGTGATTTCGTGAAACAGTGAGATACGGGTACGTTTTTTTAACCTTTATTTTTAAAATCTGTTAAAATTTTTCATAGAAGGAAAATCTACTACAACTCGTAGTAATTTGCCAAAAATTGTTTAGAAATGGGAGGTGTGACTGTTTTATAGTGGCCTTCTTGGTCACCAGATCTTAGTACAATTGAGCACTCGTGGAATAAAGTTAAGAGCTCGACAAAAAAACCCTTGAGATGTTTCATGTAAGAAGCTGGAATTCAATTTGAAAGACGCAAAAAATAAATCTAAAATACTAAAAATACCCAACAACTACAAAAATAACTACACAATTATTGAATACTTACTCCAAAAATTCCGACAAAAAATGTCGCGAGCATTTGGACCACATCCAGGGCTTTGTGTCGTTTTTCATTACATTGTTCATTATGTTCAAGTGACCTTGACCTTTGTTGAACTCATTACATCTTATGTCATTGTCATGGGGCATGCTAAAAATAAAAATTTAAATCGCTTAATAAATGCAGCAGATGGAGGTACTGTGGCCAGCTTACGCACCCGATTCGACCCCAATTTCCGTATATTTTTTTTTGTAGCTTCTTACCTTAAAACGTGTCCCAATTCGTGAGCGATGGTATACGAAGTCGACAGACCTTTGTCTAAAACAATAGCGCAACTTTTTTCGCTACACATCGAGCCTACTTCGGCTACGCCGAGGAATCTGCAGTCTTCCGCCCCTGTGCATATTGTACTCCTAAAAATTGGGAAACAGGAGTGAAATTCGTTCGTTTAAATTAAATTCCGGAACAGGGGACTGTTTTTTGTTTGCTTTACCTGGTCAACAAAAAGGCAACGTCGTGGTTTTTGATGGTGTTCTTTATTTGCCAGCGACAAAATTGTCGCAAAAGGTCTAAAAATAAAAACATAACGACAAACTTTAAAATCACATTATCAATCACAATCCACACAACAAGGTCAGTTAATTTCCCAATAAACATTTTTGTTTTATAGTGCTTTTCATAAATGTTATATAACCCAAATTATAAAACCTAAATTTCTTGATTTGGTTACATAAATATTTATAGCACTCTTATATACCCCTTAAAGAGCTTATTCGGGAAGTTCATGAAGGTTTTCGGTACCTGTTTTAGTAACACTATAAAACCCAAGTTTTATAACTAGAGATAACAGGAATATTATGGAAACCACTATATCCCTGATGGCACACTTTATTCTAAGAATGTTTTTTAAACCTTCCAGTGAGAATATTCTTGGGATCATGCTATATTTCTTCTAAAGAACATGCTTAAAAGACATATAGCATGATCCTAAGAATATTCTTACTGGCCTATATGCAGGTTCTTAGAAGGTGCAAAGTTTTAGTGGTAAAAATTAGTCTACTCTAAACATATGCTTAGAATGTTAAGAAAGTAATTGCTGTAGAAAGTTCATTTAGGAATATTTCTGTTAAGCATATTTAGTCCAGTTACCTATATAATAGTAAAATATACCATAAACTATTAGTAATTAGTATTAAATACTAAGTCAAAAACACAATCCAAAATATTTTGTTATAGTTATTTGTCAAATTAAATCAATATTCGATAACAAAAATACAGTTACTATAGGTATTTTATTTTATGTTAAAAATAAATTTTTATTAATTTGTATACCGATTTTTTATTTCTGAATTAACATTTTTATGTATAATAATCCTAACTATCTTCAACTTCAATCTAATCTGACTTATCCCACAAAATTTTCCAATTTTACTTTTTATTAAATGATCTCATACAACTTATGGTTTAGAGGTCAAATTGTTTATTTAATATTTTTGAATAAATATAATATATTAACATGTCGCAAATTTTTTTTAAGGGGGCGACAAATACATTTCACTGTCATATTATTATTTGACGGTTAGATGACAGCCCACAGATCATACAACTTGACAGCCCTGATAGAATAAGATAGAATAAGGAACAGACCTTGTTGTCTGGGTTGAGTTATTAATTATAATTTCCACAACAATATATATTTATATTTACCTGAAGAATGATCATAATTAAAAACCTTATGCTTCAAAATATGGATATAGACTAAATTAACGCTGATCGAGTTGCCTACAGATACGTCTTTAAATAGATGAGTAACCTGTAAAAATGAAGAGGAATAAAAATGAGTTTTCTCATTGCTCATGTCCAAAAACACTTAAGTCTGAATTATAGTTTGCCTTCCTTCCTTCCTTCCTCCCGTAGAAGATGAACATTACGTAATTGTCACCATTAACATTTCCCGTGTAGGAATTATTAATACTTTGTGATAATATTTTGCAATTGTAGTAATAAAAAAAATCAAAGAATAAAATATTTTCTTAATAAAATCATATTTTAAAGTTATTTTAAAATTTTAAAGTATCAATAATTGTTAAGTTTAATTAAAATTAATAACGGGCAATGTTAATGGTGACAATTACGTCAAAAATGTTTATTTAAATCGTACTGCCATTTATAGATTCCCGTACCGTAAGGACGGCATTCCTTCCTCCCGTAGAAATTTTTAAGTTTTATCTTTCACCGTATGACCAATCACAGTGCTTGTTATGGACATGCGCTGTAGGGTGACAGCGCGTAGGCACAAAATATTTAAAATACATGATTGTTTAGTATTATTTAAGATAGGTGTTCAGTTTATTAAATAATGTGTGTCTCTAAATAGGATATTCAGATATTGTTTATGATCAATGTCTTTCATTTTTAGAAACGTTGCTTTGTAAAACCCCGTAGTTTCCCGGTCTTGGTAAAGTGGGCGAGTCTTCCAACGTCTTGTTCGATGTTTTTTTCATTATACTGCCCTACTATGGAGAAAGGCAGTAACTACAAATGCGTTTTCTTGTGCTATGATAAAGCTATGGACATTTTGTATCTTAATTCAACAAAGAAATGCAGTAAACTATCTTATAAGTTAAATAAATCAGTTAAATACCTACTGCTTTTTATAAAAATGTAGTTTATGCTAATTTCTCACAAATTACTTGTTTAGCAGTTACTGCCTTTCTCCATAGTTGGGCAGTATACAACAAGCTGCCTTGGCAATTAAAATTGTGACCACTGCACTAATATATAAATGATTATCTTTCATATTTACACACAATGGGTAAAACGCAGAATATAAACGAAAACAAACGTCAACCATTTTAGGTGTCATCGCGCATGGTTACGGAATTTTACACGGAAATCTATAAATTGACTTTTTACAAGACGCACAAATCGTACGGGCACGACTACGGGAGGAAGGAAGGAAGGCAATCTATAATTCAGGCTTTACATGATTCATCAACGTCATGATGTAGTGGTGGAGCTCCTCCTCGGTCCTGTGGTAATCCATCATGCTTTTGTCCACCACCAACATAACCTCAACGAAGTGCTCGTGAGAGCGCTTTTGGACCTCGGCGTTCCATACGGCGTGTCTAGCCGATCGCACCGGTTCGGGTTTCATCGGGACGAGTTCGTGCTCGCCTCGGTGGAGGCTATCGATCGAGCTATCGGTGTCAAGATCGTCGAAGGTCACGTCGCGTTTGTTGATGACGTGATGGCTACGCGTCTCTTCCGGAAAGTGGTCCGTGATCACGGTACCGTGTTCTAGACGAGAAGCAAAATTTATTATCAAAATCTAATTTTTAATTAAGTATTTTTTTTAATCTATACTTTTGTTAAAACTTAAAAATGAACAACTAAATCTAATTATTTTTTATCTTATATGGTACCCATCTCTTTAGTAATAACTAAGCTACAAGTAAATAACATATTTTTTCAATATGTAATACAGGGTGTTTTTTATACCGCGTGAAAGTTGAAAAAGTTGAAAATGGTCGTTTTTTTCAATGGAACACCATATATCACAACGGACTGGGGTACACAAAGGACTTAATCAGATATCGAAAAGAAACTATATAGGGTGGTACGATTTTAGAGTAATGCATAAACAAAATCCCTTGTAGTGGTGCTCACTTGCAGAATAACAACTTAGATTTCTAAATAGTAGACACCCTTTTTCTTTGACTGAAGGTCCCTTTTAGTACTTTTATATTGCGTGGAATTTTCCCTTGGATGTAATCTATATCACGAGTTGTAATCACAAATAATTTTAAATTGGTTTATCATAAACTACTTTTAATAAAAGGGACGGTAAATATCCACTTTGTTGTCGAAAAATTTTATTGCGTTACCCTAAATTCCATTGCGTTACCATTATGTAACATAATGGACTCGGTAACGCAGTGGACAAAGTTTTATAAAACCATATTTAAAAAATAATAATAAAACATTACAGTCATTAATTACTCTCAATGAGCTTTAGTGCCCTAAAATAAACATAAACATGAAAAATAGTATTTTTTCTTACCTTATTTTTATTATTTTTTTGAGTAACTTAGAGGACAAACAATTATTACATTCGCGTTACCCGCACCTGTTTCAACCGATATCTTCTTCCTGATTGAATTAATAAATTCAGCTGGGTAATGTGTACGTCCGAACATCATTTGTTGATCACGTGAGTGCCAAAAAATTTGCCATATATATGTTTTTTTTAATATTCTATCGGTAACGCGACGGACGTAACGCAACGGAAAATATGTCTGGGACATGAGTCAAATTTAAAAAAAGTAGTTTAAAATTAATTATTTTATATATAAATTGTTTACTGTATTAACTAAGGATGTTATGGATTGCTATAAAGCAACACAAAGTTCTGGTTATTCAATATTTAAATAAAAACATGTATGTAAGTTTTACGCTAATGGGACATGCGAAAATGTGTGTTTCACAATTTTCAAAATTAAAAAAAAATTATTCTGAAATAACTAAACAAAGGGCTTGTTAGGCTTTCACTTGGGTTTTAAATCAATAAGATCCGATAATTTTTAACAAAGATATTGGAATTCAAACTTACGAACAGCAGTAGGCGGGTGTTTTTTGAAATCGACCCTTTAAAAGTATCAATAACTAAATTAGAAGTAAATAACATTTTTTTTAAATGTTATAGGGTGTTTAAAAAAAAATACAGGATGATCCATTGAAAATAAAAAAGTTGGTGTCATCCCAGGGAAAACCAAACACCCTGTATAAATGAAAATATAATATTTACAAAATTTTATTTGGATCATAAAATTTGTCTCCTTACAAATTTTTTGTAACTCCAGTATTTTCTGAAATTATTTTTTATTAATTTTAGAGACTCGACAATTTAAATTATATTTTAGAACGTTAAAAAAAAGAAAAAAAACGTTACATCTCCACTCAGATATGCCTACTTATTTAAATATGAAACCCAAACAATGTTTTTTTATATACCTATCTATAGACACTAAAAATGCATTCGCTGTCTAAACATACTAAACATCTTCAAACAGTAAGACAAACAAAAAAGACAAAGTAAAAATTTTATCTCGAAAAATAAAACATCGCCGACATTTACATTAAGTATGCTATTGTGTCCAACATTAGTGCACACGCTAGAGTGAGTTAATAGAATTCCAGAAGCCTTCCTAGTCTTATAAAACTACACATGCACAGTAATCTTAAATTAAAAATAACCGAACAAAAATATTTTTAAGGCGGTAAATATTTCATAAAAATGAACTAGGGTAAAGTGGACAGTTATTGGACACTTTATAGTTATTGGACAATTAACATTAATACTGTAAAAACAAGATTGTGTTTAAATTACAATAAAAAATATTTCTAAAAAGTGTACAGATCAGTGCGTGGTATAAAAGTGTTCCTCATGGTTTAAACATTGTCACTTTTAATTTTAATTTTGAAAACAAACAGTAAAATGGCCAGTGTCCAATTACTGGTTGGTAAAAAATGTAAATTTCTATTATTGGACATATGTCCAATATCATACTCTATTTGTATTTACCAGCCAATTCTTATGTAAAATTGTCCCTGAATCCGAAAAGACCGCCAAAAACTATAAAAGTTAAGCAGTTTTTGAGATATGGTCAATTCCATATATGTAAAATTGATTATATTTCAAAAACTGTTCTACTTTTATAACTTTTGACGACATTTTCGGATTCAGCGAATAATATTTCATAGGAATTGACTGCTAAATGTCCTGGATACAAATTGCTGTTGACGATAATTATTAGTGGCTGCTTTTATGCTATGCCATTTTTGACTAATTCATTTTTAGAGAGTAAGTAATATAGTGATTTCTTCGTCACAAGACATCTTGCAGAATAGCAGTGCATGAAAGATAACATAAAAAACTAATGGCGACAAAATTAATAAATTCGGAAAATACTTTTAACATACCACCCGAAAAAATATTAGATATATATATAAATCATCCTGTTACCTAAAACAGCATTTATCTTTAAAAAATATTTAACAATTTATGTTATTTGATGTAAAGTTGTTATGTTTACATAAAAATTTAACGTCCAATAACTATGGTCCATGTGTCCAATTACTATATAAAATGTCCAATTACTACATTTTTTATAAAACTATTATTAAAAATTCAAATATTCTTATTTTTAAGTAAACGTGAATAAAGTTAAACAAACAAACTATCCTTTATATATATATATAAGAAAAAACCTAAAATCTTTAAAACAATGGCATATATAAATTTTAAAAAAAATAATATTCCTTAAGTGTCCAATAATTAATTAAAAGCTTTTTGGCCAAGGAATCTTATATTTTCATAGCCTGAAAAACGAGGTAACCCTACTTTCCAATGCAATTTAATAACTGAATCACTGTGCGAGAAGACTAAAAGAAAGGAGATATGAACCTGCTAGACTTGGCGGCTCCTTTGCGGTTCTCTTCAGCGAACTCAAGTATAAATAAAGAATTCCTAAGTTTGATTTTTTAATGGGTTTCTACGGGGCTGTGCTCTATTCCACCGAGTTTTAATTAGTTTAGGCACAAACAAATATTTATTTATTCGTCTACATTAATGTTGTCGCCTTCAAAATAGTCCCCATTGGATATTATGCACATGTGCCAGCTCTTCTTCCAATACTCGAAACACTTCTAAAACTCGATCTTTGAGATAGCCTTTAGTTCTTTCAGCGATGCGCTTTTAATGTCATCTATGCTTGCAAAACGACGGCCCTTTAAGGTTCTCTTTATTTTTGGGAATAGGAAAAAGTCAGACAGAGGCATGTCTGGCGAATATGGAGGCTGGGGCATCATTACAGTATTGTTTTTGGCCAAAAATGTTGTTCAAAATTTAACAATTTTAGAACAAATTTTGCTGCCACGCGTTTCATACCCAAAACATTCGAAAAAATTTCATGGGATGAGCCAATCGATATACCAACATCATCAGCGACTTCTCTGATGGTTTATAACCATCTCTTCCACTTCTTCCATGTTTTTATCGGTTGTTAATGTGCTTGTGCGTTCGGGGCGTTCGTCATTTTCATCTTGGAAACTCTTATACCACTTGTAAACTCTTGTTTTACTTACAGCAGACTCACTATACCCTTTGTTATCATTTCACAGAATTATTCATCAGATTTAATGCAAAAATGTTCACCCTTAGTATCGTTTGTCATCGACCCACGTGAATTATGGAATCAACAGGTGTTCAGCCTGGGGCCTCCAACGCAAAGCTAGCGGGCAAAACCAAGCTAATTGTCGAAACTATACACAACAAGAAAGATAAATAAATAATTGGATGTTTAAGAGGAAGATTTATCTCGTATTTTGACATCGTTGAAAGTTAAATGAGTTGTGTAATTGGGCACCGTTCAAAATTTACTATCCACTGTCTTTTACCTCGTTTGTTCTTTTTGGTTTTGTGTTGTTGTGGCTTTGTCTTTTTCCCGGTGATTTATGGTTTCGTTTAGGATTGTATATACATATATTATAACATTATAATTTATTTGACATTTGAACATACTTTAATCTAATCGGCTCATATATATATATATGTATACGAGGTGTGTTCAGAAAATAACGGGAATTGTTAAATTTCGCGGGTTCGGAGGGTCCGGTTGTCATAAAATTTTCTTTATTATGTTGATACATGCCCCCGATGTATGATGGATCAAAGAATTTGTATCCAATTTTGCTTAAAAAATAAAATAAATTCTGTGAAATGTTAACAAAGGCCTATAGTGAGTCTTCTATAAGTAAAACAAGAGTTTACAAGTGGTATAAGAGTTTCCAAGATGGCCGTGAAGACGTTGAAGATGACGAACGCCCCGAACGCACAAGCACATTAACAACATGGAAAAAGTGGAAGAAATGGTTATAAACCCTCAGAGAAGTCGCTGATGATGTTGGTATATCGATTGGCTCATCCCATGAAATTTTTTCGAATGTTTTGGATATGAAACGCGTGGCAGCAAAATTTGTTCTAAAATTGTTAAATTTTGAACAGAATTTTTGGCCAAAAACAATACTGTAATGATGCCCCAGCCTCCATATTCGCCAGACATGCCTCTGTCTGACTTTTTCCTATTTCCAAAAATAAAGAGAACATTAAAGGGCCGTCGTTTTGCAAGCATAGATGACATTAAAAGCTCATCGCTGAAAGAACTAAAGGCTATCCCAAAGATCGAGTTTTAGAAGTGTTTCGAGTATTGGAAGAAGAGCTGGCACATGTGCATAATATCCAATGGGGACTATTTTGAAGGCGACAACACTAATGTAGACGAATAAATAAATATTTGTTTCAAAAAACGAAAATTCCCGATATTTACTGTACTTTTATAATAATAAAAACGTATTTGAAATAAGGAAATTGTACAATTGCTTTGAGGTCATACATTTCAGCATAATTATGAAGATTAAACATCCACAGTGCTATTTAGACGCCTCTGCGTCTTGTCTTGTAAAACGTTTATTAGCGTTAAAATTTCAAAATTACCATAATGGTAGTCGCATGGTGCCCACATTTGGTTGGCACACCTTTTTGGCACTCACTAGGTCAAACGTCCACCCATGCTCTTCAGTTTGCATTTGGAAAAATTACCAATTATCTGCCAAGTCCTTTACTACTTAGGTACAGCTAATTTGTACTATTTGTCGCTTGCTCTGATTGGTGGTTTAATATCACATGACTGAAGATGTTGTGGGGGGCAGTTTTTAGCAACGCATGACAACAAATTAAATAAAAACAGTATTTTGCCTGAAGGTGAGTGTTTTTGAAGAAACTGATGGTATTTTGGAAGCCGCGAGAGAAGCGACTAAAAATCTGCTTTCATCTAAGTGAAAAGAAAAATATGATAAAACTTTTGAATAATTCTGTCAATGGAGAAACAATCAAGGGGACAAGGTGTCAGTGAAAATGTTATGCTAGCGTTTTTTGGGAAAGGTAAGAAGCTAATGCTTTTAAAAAATAAATTTTTTCTTGTATTTTTAGTCAAAAAATCTGAAGGGTCAACATATTCGATGCTGAAGAGTACGTTGCAAATATATGAAGGCAGTAACATTTCAAAATACAAGCAATTAATTGCATTTTTGAAAAATCAGAATGAAGGATATGAACCTAAAGTCAAACATTCAATTTTCTTAGTTTCTTTAAGAAACTTTCTTGACCCATCACTGGTAATATTCATAAGAATATAAGAAAAAATTGAACCTACACCTCGCCAAAGTTTTTTGTTTTGAATGCGTTCCACCAACTTCAAATACCGACAGACAGCTGTTTCGACCTTTATTGGGTCTCATCAGTGTCGGGCAACTTGGTGTAGTGGAACACAATCAAAACAAATTACTCCCTTAGCTTATATGCTCGGTTGTTAAGTCAACAGAGGCGAGATGTAAGAACATCAGGTGATCCACACCTAAAGTCAATTGAACAAATTATGAAGTTTCCAAATGACGCTACGAATGAATCGCATCTATTTATGAAAGTGGCATTAATTTTGCTTTAAATGGAGCAATGCGAGGGGAAGAATTACGAACACTAACAATTAACGATATAGAAGAGAATGGATCAGTTATTATCGTAACACTACGTAATACAAAAACGAAAAGAAAGCATAACTTCGGAAGCGAACGGAATTAAGTTGTACCGGAAGTATCGCAAATTAAGGCCACAAAACACGAATCATTCCAGATTTTTCGTTTGTTACCGGAATGGTAAATGCACTGTGCAACAGGTGGGGATCAACACATTTTATAGTTTGCCGAGAAAATTGCTGAATATTTCAAGCTTCCCGATTCCAATAGCTGCACAGGTCATTGTATGCGAAGGAGTGCAGCTACCATGTTGGTTGATAATGAGGGCAGTATCCCTGATTTGAAAAGACTGGGGGGATGGTCTTCAACATCTTCTGCTGAGGGTTATATAGGAGAAAGCATTCAAAATGAAATTCAAACATCGAATTAGTAAAATAAAACATTTCTTTTTTGAATTCTAGCTAATCAAATGGCTGTTGAGAAAATGCAGTTTGGAAATGATATAATTATATATAAAAATAGCTTGCATAAGTACAGGAAGTTGTAAAATATGTAAATCTTATCTATTTTTAAAAAATATGGCTCATATGAATATTCTGCCAATTTTATTTTTGTCAAGAGCTTTATTAATCGTGAGTAATACTTACAGATAAATTTTAAAAATAAGTTACGATTCGACCTCTTTTTGTTTTGTTAAATATTAGTTTTCACAGTATAAAATCTTGACAGGTCCTTGCAAAGTCGGAAAGTGTTAAAAAAACTCAACTGTCAAATTCACTTATTTATTTACCGGTTGCTATGCGACGATCGCTCGTTGCTAGGAAACTTGTTTATCGTTGCCATGGATACGGTGCATCGAAGGTGGCCACGCCGATTTATTTGGTGGATTGTGTCGGATTTTTTTTCGTTTAATTCAACCTACTTTTCAAGCCCTTTGAAAAATGTTGAAAATTTATGATGGCCCCAAGTAAAACGGGCCATTGTTTAAAGAATATGTTTAATAAATCTTGCAAGGTACTACGTAATGCTGTAATTATGCGTTTCGGGTTAACGTTTTTTTTTCTTCAGATTTGGTTCACACAGAAGACATTTACAGGTGTGAGTTTTTTATTTATTACTTTTTACTTTTTGCCAACATTTTAACAGTAACATTGCGATTTATGTATTAACAATGTTTTAAAAGTGTAAAACCTATCCACCGTATTTCTAGGTCAAATAACTGAGGTAGTAAAAGCATACTAAAAATATCAGTTCTCTAAGTAAATTAAACACATCCAAAGCAATCGAATCAAATATAAAATATTATTAAAAATTAAAAGAAACAATTTTTATAACCATTTATGTAGGTGTTACAAAAATTGATTCTATCCTCCGTGAATCTGTTTTTGCTTTAAATTTTATGCAAGCGATGGCGCTTTAATCATCTTAAATAAGCAAAAACCTCTGTTTACGATATTTTAGATGAGAGTGTTGCTGTTTTATAATTCAAAAGTTTAACTTCATTAATTTGCTATTTAAAAACATATCCTCCGTGAAGTGTATTATCTTAGTAAGTAGATTTTTTTTATAAATATTTTATGTATGTACAATTGTATTTTTTTTAAATATTAAGGTGTCAAAAGATACAAAAACTTATTTCAAATATACAAAGGGATGTTTAAAAAAAACATACGAAATCCTAACCTCCGTGAAGCACTAATATTCACACTTATATTACTTACCGACATTTTCTTCAGACACGTTGTGATCGAAAATTTCATTTGAAGCCTGTGGGGTGAGATGAATTCTATGAATTCTGTGCAAAATGCTTCCAATGGTGTTGTTGTGGAATTTTTCTGCCGGTTCAATGTGAAAAGCTTGTTTTGAGGTTTTAATATACCCAGTCTGAAACAACAAAAAATATATTAGAATAAAAATATAGTTATAAATGAGTTGTCAAAATTCGTAGTTAAAAATGCAGAAAAAACAAATTGAAAAAATATATAAATCCGTACCTATCTATTCATATTAATGTCTATGTTTTTTGTGGTTTGCGCGAATGCTGATTATTTCAATTAAGGATCATTCCGAATCGAATTTGAAATAAATTATGATAATTTACAATCAACACACCCAGTGCTGCTCTAGACATGCTAGATTTATATTGAAAACGTATGCTGAAAGAAAATTGAAATTGTAGATTTAACTTAAAGCTTTCCATACACTTGTATTTCCTATTTATCTGGGTTCAAATAAATGTGGGTTGATTTTGTTTTGTTAATAAGAATTTTTAAAATTTCAGACCATCAGTAATATACAGTGTCTACTTAATTTGGCAACATATGGGAAACTTTTTTATTATACGAGGTGTGTTCAGAAAATATCGGGAATTTTCGTTTTTTGAAACAAATATTTATTTATTCGTCTTCAAAATAGTCCCCATTGGATATTATGCACGTGTGCCAGCTCTTCTTCCAATACTCGAAACACTTCTAAAACTCGATCTTTGGGATAGCCTTTAGTTCTTTCAGCGATGCGCTTTTAATGTCATCTATGCTTACAAAACGACGGCCCTTTAAGGTTCTCTTTATTTTTGGGAATAGGAAAAAGTCAGACAGAGGCATGTCTGGCGAATATGGAGGCTGGGGCATTATTACAGTATTGTTTTTGGCCAAAAATGTTGTTCAAAATTTAACAATTTTAGAACAAATGTTGCTGCCACGCGTTTCATACCCAAAACAAATTTCATGGGATGAGACAATTGATATACCAACATCATCAGCGACTTCTCTGATGGTTTATATCCATTTCTTCCACTTTTTCCATGTTTTTATCGGTTGTTAATGTGCTTGTGCGTTCGGGGCGTTCGTCATCTTCAACGTCTTCACGGCCATCTTGGAAACTCTTTTACCACTTGTAAACTCTTGTTTTACTTATAGCAGACTCACTATAGGCCTTTGTTAACATTTCACAGAATTTATTTCATGTTTTAAGCAAAATTGGATACAAATTTCTTTGATCCATTTCTTTTAACGAACGAAAATCGCCGAGCTCATAAAACACGTCTAACCTTAGCGGCTGCCACAGACGAAGTAAACAATGAAAACAGCTAAAGTTTTTATCATACTTCGGGGGCATGTATACCAACATAATAAAGAAAATTTTATGACAACCGGACCCTCCGAACCCGCGTTATTTTCTGAACACACCTCGTATATATATATATATAGTAATAATTCATTTTAAATTTAATTACCTAAGACGTCTTTTTAAAGTGAGTAATTGTCTTTAAGTTAGCGGTCGTAAAAATTAACTAAAATAATCGTAAAACTCAAGTGTTAGGAATAAATTTAGGCCCCTCTATGGATTAATTTAAAAAAATCGTTAAACTCATTTTGTTTACGATAAGTAATTAATTAAGCGATTTCCTAGACTGAGTTTATAATTTTTTTACGAGCCCATAAATTTCTATTAAACCATTATTTTTAAAATAAACAAATAGGTCAATATCTTCATAGTTTATTCTGTAAGGCTTTTTTAACGCTTGGACTATTAAGCTATAAATTGGGTCAATTTGTATTACATATGCGTCTAAATTCAAACAGCGTATGCATTATTACATGCGTTGATTGGGAAAGTCCCCACTCAACAGTAAAAATCAAAAAACGGGTATTATATATAATATTATGTATGTATATAGATATATATTATGTTATGGTTGGTAATAACCAGCGTTTCCAGATTCTGTCAAAAAAGTTGCCTGAATCTAGTGCATTACTTTAAAATTTTAGGTTATGGGCCCAAATTGCTTTTGGATTTAGATTTGGAAATATAAAAAATGTATTGTTGACAAATATTGAATTCCCAGTGCAGTGTATGGCAAGCTTTAGGTGCGAATTGGCGAATAATGATGGTAATTGCATTAAGATTAATATTGAATTGCTCGCCGAATTTAAATAATTTTATTGCTGTACATAAATTTTACTCCAGACGAAGACAATCATGCGGTTATTAATTAATGTGATTTGTTTAAAAACAAAATATGCGTCAGCCAGTCAGAGAGATCGTGCAGAGGTTTAAACACTTTGAGTTTTTGATTTACATTCAATGGAAATTGTTCAATTTTATGCAGGTTTATTTATTTAAGTATATGGTTGGGCTTTAATTTAAATAGAATTATGGGATGAAAAGTTTATATTGTTTTAAAACGTAAAAATATATATCTGAAACTTAAAAAATATATGGGTCATTTTCAAGAAACACCCGCTTTCAGGAAAATGAAGATAAAATTTTTTTTGCTTAAATTGACTTTTGGTTGAATTTTTATAAATGTTTGGAGTTTTGTTTACTTACATTTAAGACAGGCAGTGCACTTTTTAATTTTTTTGCGTTTTTTTTTCAAAAAATATGTTAGCTAGCTTTATATATCTCCACTGTGTTACCAATTTGAAATCCAAAATTTCCATTCCGATTCTTTGTTTAAAAACAATACCATTAATATTTTCTTTTAGTCACTGTATTAGTGAGTTAAACTCTAATTTATAAACAGGTATTACAAGTGATAGTAAAATTATTTTAAGGATTTTTTTTAACAGAAACTAAAAAAAGGAACGAAATAGACATTGGTATCACAACAGACTGGGGTACACAAAGGACTTAATCAGATAACGTAAAAAATAAACTATATAGGGTGGTACGATTTTAGAGTAATGCATAAACAAAATCCCTTGTAGTGGTGCTCACTTGCAGAATAACAACTTAGATTTCTAAATTATAGACACCCTTTTTCTTTGACTATAAGCTGGTATCTTTTAGTACTTGTATATTGCGTGGAATTTTTCCTTGGATGTAATCTATATCATGAGTTGTAATCACAAGTAATTTTAAATTGGTTTATCATAAACTACTTTTAATGAAAGCGACGGTAAATATCCACTTTGTTGTCGAAAAATTCTATTGCGTTACCTTATGGTAACGCAATGGACTCGGTAACGCAGTGGACAAAGTTTTGTGAAACCATATTTAAAAAATAATAATAAAACATTACAGTCATTAATTACTCTCAATGAGCTTTAGTGCCCTAAAATAAACATAAACATGAAAAATAGTATTTTTTCTTACCTTATTTTTATTATTTTTTTGAGTAATTTAGCTGACAAACAATTATTACATTCGCGTTACCCGCACCTGTTTCAACCGATATCTTCTTCCTGATTGAATAAATAAATTCAGCTGGGTAATGTGTACGTCCGAATATCATTTTTTGATCACGTGAGTGCCAAAAAAGTTGCCATATATATGTTTTTTTTAATATTCTATAGGTAAAGCGACGGACGTAACGCAACGGAAAAAATGTCTGGGACATGGGTCAAATTTAAAAAAAGTAGATTAAAATTAATTATTTTATATATAAATTGTTTACTGTATTAACTAAGGATGTTATGGATTGCTATAAAGCGACAGAAAGTTGTGGTTATTCAATATTAAAAAAAACATGTATGTAAGTTTTATAAAACGCTAATGGGACATGCGAAAATGTGTTTTACAAGTTTCAAAATTAAAAAAAAATTATTCTTAAATAACTAAGTTTACCCTTGCACCTAATATTGAAATTATATCCAAATAAGTATAGGTTAGTTCTTGCCACCCACCACATCTTCAGTCATGTGAAATAAAACCCCCAAATAAAAGGAGCTTTCACTTATATTGGTAAATATAAAGCCTAATTTCATTAAAAGCAACTTTAAGGCCTTAAAAGTGTTTGCAAATTATTTTGTATGACATGGTCGGGTGTCTAGAAGGTCTGTCGATTTGAATAACATTGTTAAAGCCAAAATGTTACGAGTGGGTTGAAGTGGAGAGAGCATTTGCGTGTTAGCGTTGCATAAATTGCTTTTTAAAATTGTAGGAATATATTCATTCGCACATACAATCGTTTTTTTGGGCGCGGGCACTAAACAATATTTTATTGCGTAATTAATTTGGGATTTATGAGCGTTTAAATCATTTGGGAACACCAAGAAAATGTTTTTCAAAAAAAAAAAATTTATAATTAGTATTTATTTCGTAAAATAAATAAAAAAATCATTAAAAATTTTGGGCCTCCACTGCAGTGCACTGGTTGTACCTGGCAATAATCTACATTTATTAAAAATTTACATTTGTGTTATCATCTATATTTAGGTAGAAAATTACGATGTGTCGCTCTTGCCATCATACCCGGATGATTTATGATTTCTTCTTTAATAAAACTAAATGAGTTTGACCTACACTTTTATTGTGTTTTGATCTTTCATAATTAAGTAGATATTACTGCCCAGGTTCCAGATTTTTAACCGCAATTAATTATTTTTTACAATGTTTTAAAAGTCTAAAACCTATCCTCCGTGACGTTACTCTTTCTAGGTCAACCTGTATGTCTTCAAATATCTGAGGTAGTAAAAGCATACTAAAAATATCAGTTCACCAAGTAAATTAAACACATCCAAAGCAATCGAATCAAATATAAAATATTATTAAAAATTAAAAGAAATAATTTTATAACCATTTATGTAGGTGTTACAAAAATTGATTACATCCTTCGTGAATCTGTTTTTGCTTTAAATTTTATGCAAAGGGTGGCGCTTTAATCATTTTAAATAAGCAAAAACCTCTATTTACGACATTGTAGATGCATGTAATTCCTGAAGGTCAGTTAGAATTTATATGTAGATGAGAGTGTTGCTGTTTTATAATTCAAAAGTTTAAGTTCATTAATTTGCTATTTAAAAACCTATCCACCGTGAAGTGTAATATCTCAGTAAGTAGATTTTTTTATAAATATTTTATGCTAATTGGTAAAATTAAACTTCTTCTTAAAGGTAAAATTAAACTTCTCGTAGACAATCTAATTCACGAGGTAGAAA